CCTCCTTCACTCGAGCGCGGCTGATAGAGATCGTGTCGTTTCGCGTCATCACTCCTTCCTCCGGATAATAAACCGCTCTCACTCGCCCTCCTCCCTCCTTCTCTCACACTTACACACACACATTTGTTTCTGTGACTTGTGGGGACATTACTTAGACTTCCATTCTTTTCCAGGAGACTTACCCAAACCTTAACCATAACTACCACTAGCCTAAACCTAACCTTAACCCTAAGCCTAACCGTAACATCTTCACCTTAAAAATGAATGATTTATCACAAGCTGGTCCCCACAAGGAAGAGAGGTCCCCATAATGTAAACGTATAAACAGGTTTAGGGTCCCTCACAACGTGACATAAACCTGGTACACACTCACACACACAGCTGGGTCACCATCTTCATCATTTACACTCGACTAACAACGCAGTGATCCTTCTGAGAGGCAGCAGAATTAAATGTGGATCCAGAATGGACACCAGACAAAACCAGCAGCGTTTACAAACAGAGAAACAGCAGAAAAGGAGGCGGAGAGAAAACCAACCGTACTGTATCTTATACTGATGGTCAAACCTTGTTCTCTGCTGCTATTGAGTGTGTTTACATGAACTCCGTTCATAATCGGATTTCTGCAGTGATCTGATTATTCAAAAGGTCATCTAAACACCATACTCCGATCCGATTAAGAAATCCGATAAAGAGAGCTGGATTTTAGCTCAGTAATCAGATTTCTCAGTGCATGTGAACTCTTACTCTGATTTCTTTCGCATTTCTGGAACAGACTGCAGCACCGGAAAGAAACAAGCAGCATCGCCGGGAGACGCAGCAAAGCACTTTCAGAGCGACACTAAAACCAAATACATGCCTGTCGAAATGAAGGATTTAAGTATTCTTCATCTTCTAGATGATGTACGTTCATAATTTTAAGTGAAGCAGCTCGTTGTTTTAAAAAAGCAGCGGTGTAAAGTTTGAGCTTCTGTGAGTTTATTGGCTGGTTGTAAAGCAGAAATCTGATTACTGTCTGACTCATGTAGAGCTGGAGTTTCCTATTATCTGATTGCTCAAGTGCATGTAAACACATTGATCGGATTACTAACAAAATCTGATTTTCTGAAGTTATCGGTTTATTAAGTCCATGTAAACGCACTCATTGGTGTCAACCAGAGGAGGATGGGTTCCCCTTCCGAGTCTTGGTTGCTCTCTGGGAGTTTTCTTTGCCACTGTAGCCGTTAGCGACGCTCATGGGGGCTCGGACCCAGATTCTTTCTGTAAAGCTGCTTTGTGACGTCTGTTGTAAAAAGTTCTATATAAATAAACTTTGATTTTGACCAAAACCGATATCAACACCAACACCACCACAGACAACGACACTAATCAACATTTCAGTGATTGACAGTCACTCTGACAGTAACAACTTTGAGAAAGAGAGCAACAAAGAGAGAGCAAGAGAAAGAAAGAAAGCAAGCAAAAGAGAAAAACAGCAAGAGAGAAAGAAAGAGCAGAGGAGTGAGAGAGAGTGAGAGAGCACAAGAAAGAGCATGAGAAAGAGAAAGAAAAGAAAGCAAGAGAAAGCGAGAGAAAAAGAGGTGAGAGTGAGAAAAAAGAGAAACCTAAGGTAAGAGAGCAAGAGAAAGAAAGTGAGAAAACAAGAGAAATGAAAGACTGAGAAGACAGATGAGAACAAAACCGAATAAAAAATAGAAAAAATAAATAAAACAAGTCAAAAATGAAAGAAATGAAAGAAAAAAGGTGAAAGAAAGAAGACAACAAAGAAAAGATTAAAAAGGAAAGAAAAGAAAGAATGAAAGAAAAAAGATGAGAAAAAGATAAAAGCAATAAAACAAAAGATTCACAGAGCGATAGAGTGAGAGGGGGAGAGAGAAAGAGCGAGTAACAGAGAGAGCGAGCGAGCGAGCAAGAGGGAGAGAGCGCGAGCGAGCAAGAGACAGAAAGAGAGAGAGCAAGCAAGAGGAAGAGAGAGAGCGAGAGAGAGAGAGAAAAGAGAGAGGAAAGAGAAAGAAAGAGGGAGAGAGAGAGCGAGAGAGAGGAAAGAGAGAGAGAGGAAAGAGAGAGAGAGAAAAGAGAGAGAGCGAGAGAGAGGAAAGAGAGAGAGAGAAAAGAGAGAGAGCGAGAGAGAGAAAGAAAAGAAAGAGAGAGAGAGGGGAAAGAGAGAGAGAGAGGAAAGAGAGAGAGAAAGAGAGGAAAGAGAGAGAGCGAGAGAGAGAGAAAAGAAAGAGAGAGAGAGGGGAAGAGAGAGAGAGAGGAAAGAGAGAGAGAGGAAAGAGAGAGAGGAGAGAGAGAGGGAGAGGGAGAGAGAGAGAGAGAGAGAGAGAGAGGGGAAAGAAGGATCGCCTTTCGACTGTGTTCTGTCAAGGGAGAAATTACACACTTACTGGGTTTTTTCTGAAGACGGCCGTCTCCATAGATCACACTGCTGGATTTACGAGCCAATTTTCAACATGAAATATAGACACCAAGAATCAATTTTACCACTGTTACTCTGTCCTACACCCCCCGACCACCCCCCCAACATCAGATCAGCTGCAGGACGTCTCCCACCCCCCACACCTTTCACTCACTCAGTCTCTCCGTCCGAACAGCAGCAGCTCAGATCACAAACTGACACTGAAAAGAATCAAATTTGTCATTTTTTGTTAATCATCACTGAGAGAGCAGTAAGCCTCACATCATCTGTCTGTCAGAAACCTCTGGGTGCCTAAATATTTAACCATCTGTACCACATGCAAAACTTTTAGCGCCCCACGGTCAAGCGTTTGGTTAGTTTTAAGATGTTCAGCAGTGTGCTCTCTGTGGAGGACGTGTTCACGGATTTTCTCCCAGAAAATCAACAAAACATATAGTTTCGACAGGGTGCCCAAACTTCTGCACACAACTGTATAAGTGCACACTACTGTGTAAAAGTCAGAGACCGCTTTTATATTAACTTCCAGTCAAAAGAGTACAAGTTATTTTTTTGCAGCATCTGGAAAAATGCAGAAAAAATTTATTTAACAGAAAAATAAACAAAAGCCTCAACAAATAAATATAATATCAAATATTTTATGCATTATTATGGCTTTCATACTTTTCAGGAGACTTTCAGTTTTTTTTCCAAGAAATCTGCCGGGATATTTTTCCACTCCTCCAAAGTTCAGCCTTAGAAGTTGTTTATACACACACACACACACACACACACACACACACATACTTACTTACATACATACATACATACATACATACTTACATACATATATAAAATGTATTGCTGTTGTTGTTTTCCTTTACAGGAGAAGGAAAAAACATACTTTACTTTTAATGTAAGTCAATGGAACCAGACTTTTTTCCAAGTCATTCTGGGCCGTTTCTTTTGGTCCCTTCATTATGAAATTTACATACAATGTAAAGGGCAGCAGGCACTTTTCAAATTATGTCAAAAACTGAAAAACATAAATGCAAATATGAAGATACAAGGTTTTGTTCCGACAGCAGCGATATATATATATAAATTCACTGTATCATTAAAACTACAGGATTAGCAGCTGATGGTCACGGTTCTAGTCAGCAGCCACATTTATCAAGAGAAAAACTGAAGTGACGTCAATTATAAACGCATCTGTCATGTCAGTAGTGTAATGAATTGACTGGAGATGGTTTTATCATCAGTTCATGAAGTCACGCTGAGTGTGTGAGTTCACACTGTCACGCTGTTATTGATGACCAGTCCTGTCGAGGCTCACACATGAAGAGGTTCAGGTCTGGCTCTCTTAGACGGTATGAGACTAGGGCCGTCACAATGAATCAGTTAAACTCTATTACATAATTAAAACAACATTTGCATGACGATAAGGCTTATTTCGAAGTCTTTTACAGTAAGAAACGAAGCCTGACCTGACGGACACTGAACTACTCTCCCTGCATTGCTGCTTACTGGACGGACCACTGGACGAATGGCTGTTATCCAATTTGCATGCAAATGAACCCCAGGTGAATGACATGAAATTAGAAGACGGCACAAGTCCCAGTAAACACCTTCTGAAATGCCGTTTCATTTCCACAGTTCTTATGTTTTACAGCGTCACCGACGCAAAACTCTAAGTTTGAAAAGTAGAAGGATATAATGCATAAATGCCAGCCAATCAGCATGCAGTAGCAGTAACGCCAGCCAATCAGCACACAGTAGCAGTAATGCTGACCTACTACTCAAAACCTTTTTGCTGTAGAAAAAACCTGAAAGATACTGACAAGTTTTCATTTATTGCATAAAGTAATAAACATGGGCATTACTGCTACTGAGTGCTGATTGGTTAGCACTAATGCCACTGCACACCGATTGGTTAGCTTTACCGCTACTGAGCACTGATTGGCTGGCATTGCTGCTACTGAGTGCTGATTAGTTTGCATTACCGCTACTGAGCACTGACTGGTTGGCATTACTGCTACTGAGTGCTGACTGGTTTGCAATACTGTTGCTGAGTGCCGATTGGTCAGTGAGCTGATCAGATTATTGGCTGAATAAAGTGGTTCATGCTCACTGGTGTCATTACTGTACATAAAGCGCTGTCTGACTGTACTATAACAGGAGTTGAAAAGCCCTCAAAAATGTGACAGGATGAATATAAGAATACATAATAAAAACAATACAATAGAACATAATATACCTTGCAGTCTGCACAGAAAGTCGATGGAAACGTTGCTAGCAAGTAACAGTTGTCATCACTACCAATTCTCTACTTTTACTTAATACACATACAACAATATACAGGAGAACTTCTATGGAGATCCCCAGATCCTGCTGGTGTGGGTTAACGCCAGTTTCCTCTCTTGCAATGATGCTCACTAAAGCCACCTGAATGCTAAACACACCCCATTGTGGATAATCTTTAGCCTGCCAAAAGTGACCGAGTGAGTGTGGGACCGAGTTAGAATGAACTTAAGAACTCTGGTCGATCAACTGCTTTGCATCTGAAATAACAGCAAAAATCCCACAAGCACACGGAAAACACCAGAAGTGAAAAAGCACAACATTTATTAGATCTTAATTAATGGAGATTCACAGCCAGGTGTTGGGTCTGAATACAGCAGGCAGACTGTAGAGGGCGCTAGAGCAGTCGCTTGGTCTGTCCATCTCAGCCAGATTACTCCGAAATGGGGGTCAGGACGAGAGCTAAGAGACGTGGTTGGCAGAATAACACTTGTAGGCACACTTGTTGAACCAAAACAGTCCAACTTTCACAGGAGCCTGTAACATGAAACTCTGAGGATGGAAAACGTAAATTTTTTTAGGACTTTTAAGACATAGATAGGATCCAAAACATCCTTTTTCCATACCATTCAGCAAATACTCCTTCATTCCAGACGTGTTCCCCTATTTCATCTTTTCTCCAGCAATTCATATCTCAGCAGGCTTCCCCTGTGCCAGAGCTGCATAACATGAAGATAAGGCAGCAGAGGAATAGGATGATAAGACTGGCTTTCTGAAGGAACAGTGAAGAGCAGAAAGGCTTGAGAAGGAGAGAACAGAAGGCAAGAGGTGGTCAGCCTGTGAAGACCACGTCAATGATGAAGATACAACTTGATCTTCAGTTGCTGGAGTGATGAACAGCCCACAACCATAACCTTGCGCTACAAACCCCCACGCTCAGAGATGCAGACTGCTTAACAACGTCCCTTTCTTCCCAGAAACGTCCTTTAAAAAGTGATCCATGTCAAGGTTTCTTCATCTTCTTGATGGAGGAGGAGCTGGAGGCGGACTCTCTGCGTTTGCGCTGTGGAATGCAGCAGAGAATTTGGTTTAAACACAAACAAAACTTCGCGGTTGTAAATCATATACCTTTAAAACTGCTCAGATCTGCAGCTTTTCAGGGTAACAGATGGCAGCTGTTCAACCACACAAAAAAATCTCATGAACCCAAATCTTCATGACGACAATACCTGCGATTTCAACTATAGCAATTATATCAACCATAACCATTAATTGTAGCAGTCAGTGATGCTGGCGGCTTTATTCTGTACAAGCTTTGTACCTTTCTTGTTAAAGTATATAAAAGATTAGTCACATTTCATCTTCAACTCGAAAACAGCAAGCTTGTGAAAAATGAGCTGATAGCAAAAGCACTAACAGACACTGGAAGCTCTATTCCTCTTAATGAGCTGAGTTTATCACATTTCAAATGCAAGCAAATATAGCAGCAAAATCAATGTAGCCTATCGAATTTTATCTGTATAATCACAAACATAATCAGCAAAAGAAATTCTAAAGTTTTCTGTTTGTAGCCATTTATCCATGGCTGATAAATTGCATATGATCAAAAAGTGAAATGTTTTGCATCGACTTGCACTGAAAATATAAACATGGCTATATAAATATGCATTTTGCCAGAATAATCACTGTGCTCAACCTAACTATTGACATTTTGATTACTGATTAGACATTTTGACACTGATTATTTATTTTTGCTAATGGTTATGTCAACAATAATATTAATAATAATAATCATATTTGTGACATTTAATAATTTTAATATTGGTTTAGTGTGCGTGTGTGTGTATATATATGATATATATATAGTATATATATATATATATATATATATATATATATATACACACACACGCACGCACGCACGCACGCACGCACAGAGAAAAGAAGTTTTGTGGTTTTGAAATAAATAGAAATTAAAAGAAAAAGAAAAAAGAAAACCAATATTTCTAAGCCACTATATTGGAACCTCTGGCTAAAACGTAAAATGCAGGCTCTACTCTGTCTTCTGGTGGAGCATGATGTTCAGACCATTACATAATGTTAGAAAGACGTTACATTGTTCCAGTGAATTATATAGTTTACTTTTTTCATATGATTTCACAGACTGTACAGGTAATAATCATTGTGGGTCTGTGTGAAATGTGAATATTGCTGTGTGCAGCTGGGCATCTGTGCTCGGTGATCAGGAGAGCTCGTTACTTGTTCAGGATCAGGATTATGATAACTGTGCGCTTTTGGTGCATTGTTTTTGTTGAGATCCTGAGAGGAATGTTTTGTAAATGGTCCCTGACAAAATCCAAAACCAAGACTTTGTAAAAAGCCCATTTGGTGGGATCTAGTGAGCAAAAACCCAATAATTAAGTCATTTTGTCTGCTTACCGAGTTGGGCGTGAGTGGCGCTCCCACCACATCGATAATCTGCTCCTTGGCTTCTGTTTTGATGTCATCAGGTCCAGGCCAAGCTTGGCTGTCAGGACCCCCGCCGCTCTCACTCTGGGGTGTCATAGCACCCCCTGCCTTCAGCAGAGCGTCGTAGCGGTGCCGCAGCATCTGCTGCTCATACTCACAGTTACTGTGGGCCTGCTTGAGCTCGTAGACGAGGACCAGGTCGCTGCGGAGCTCGTTGAACATCTGCACAATCTCCTCAGTGGGCATGGGGTTCAAATCTACAACAGAAAATAAAGAGGAAATCAGGCAGGATCAGGCAAAATGCGACAATCCAGTCAGTCTCCTCTAGTGTACAATTGCGCACCAATGCTTAGTGTTGGATCAGTTGTGTCAGGGCAGGGAACAGATAAAATTGAGCAGACCAGTGGGATCGAGTTGAAAGCAACTATTCGAGCACACCTGATTCAGAGCAAAAATCAGAGCAAGAAATTCTCCAGATCAGGGGTACTTTAGGACTGGGAGGAGGAACGAACCTTCATTAGCATTTTTGAAGATCCTGTTTAGAAAGTCTTAAAAGAGATACACGGACTCATTTCAGTTCATTAAACCATTTTAATGTTTGCAACAGATCTTTGAAAAGCCGGTAAACTAACAGAAATTATCTGGATAAAGGGTACAATTTATATATTAGTGTGTGTGTCTGCACAAGCATTTTGGCTGCCACTTTATAGCAGTCTTTGTTTATTTGTTTAGCACTGTTTTGTGGTACGTCTGTAATTTGTTTTAAACTTTCCCTGCTGGCCAGGGAGTTTTCCATTGTTGACAAAGAACTCGCCAAGATACTTTCACTGGTAGTGGAGTTTGTCTGGGCCACGAGCCGAGAGATTTTTCACAGCAGAGTCTGACTGAGCTACGAGTCGAGACTTTTCACCCCAGTAGCGGAGTGTGACGGAGCCACAAACCTGAGACCTTTTATCATGGAAGCAGAGTGTGACTGGGCCGGCAGACTTTTCACTGTGGTAGCGGAGTTGAACTGGGCCACGGGCCGGAAAACTTTTCACCCTGGTAGCAGAGATCAAACGGGCCACAAGCATGGAGCCTTTATATTGCGGTAGTGGAGTTTGACCGGGCCTCGAGCCAGGTGGGAGATTTTACACTGTGGTTTCAAGCCACTGAGTTTTCTCCCTGCCAGCTAAGCGACTGTTTGTGTTTTGTTTGCTGTTGATTTGTAGTTTCATTGTATGTCTAATTCATCGTTGTGTTTGTTTGGTGTGAGAATAAAGAGAAAACGGCCGCTGCAACTGTCAACACTTTAAATAAGATAAATCGGTTACGGCAGCAACTTTCAATCCTGATACTGTTTAGTGTTTTTCCTGCACCAACACATCTGATTCAACTAAATCAGCTCATTAGAAAGACGTTCCTGAGTTAATGCAGATGTGACAGAGCAAGGAAACAAACCATGTCTTGTCTTTTTTGTAAAATCTAATGTAAGCCACAGATTGTGATTTCGAAAGCAAAAAATAAACAACATTAGACCTTTAAATCTGTACTCACCCACTCCTTGCTCAGTGAGGATCTGCTCAATCGCTTTTATCTTCTTCTGTCCCACAGAGCTCGGTAACTTCATCTGGAACACAGAGACACAACACTCACTCATCAACACAGACCACAGAAAAAATACACATATACTGATGCATGTTGATGTTTGTTTAGTAAACCCAAAACCAAACTCACTACATTCAATTCATAGGCAATCTGAAGTCAAACGATATATAAAAAAAATATTAAAGTCATTATGTAAATAAATAACTTCCACAGCTTTACTTTGAGTGAGTTTTGGTTACATAAACATATGCTATAGATACATTTGATATATAAACTCGTTAGTTTCACAGTTTCATCTTATGCATGGGTACATGACAAATAGATAAACAGATAGATAGGACAAAATTGCATATCTGAATTCCATGAGGTTGAGCAGCAGGGTCATTAGCACCTTTAAACTCAAAAGACTACACGAAGGAACGAACTGAGTGCTGTGAAATAAAAATGAGGGCATCTTTCACTCGTAATGCCCACAGAACTCACTTCAAAACGGGTTTAGCCACCCGAATCAAGACCAACAGCTCAGCGGCCACGTCTGAGTCATACACTACGAGCGCATCTCTTAATGCGCTCCGCACAGAGCGACTCGCCTTCATCAGTCTTTATGAAGAATGCGCTCACTTTGGGGGCATTGCTCTACCTGAGACGCTGTTAATTAATCACCCTTTAGCCAGCAGGAGGAGACATAAACAAGCTCAGAAACTCTGCAGCAGCGACGGAAGGCAACTCCATGCACTGTGTCTTGAGTTTGAAGCTGGAATCGATCTCCATGGCCTCGAACTAGAGACGGCACAACCCACACTGATATCCAAATCTTGAGTAATGGCCAATACCAACCTGATGTTTTTCCTTTAAAGGGCCCATTTTATGGAATTTCCGCACTTTTTGGAAATAAAGTGTAAACACTGTTAAAGTTTTTAAATATATCATTCACTCCCCAGTCCATATACAGAAATTATGCTGCAAAAGCAGTCTGTTTTGAATTCACTGTTTCGGTGATGCTCACTTATATATTAGTCACAGCATCAAAGCAGCCTGTTTTATTCTAAGGAATAAAGAGAGTTGGAAAATGGTCATCTAAAAATGAATTACATACCATCTTTGGTACATAAAACCATACAAGTGTTATAACTAGAACTCGGGGGGAAAAATAAACTACAAGAAAAAAGTAGGATATTGCCCTAACCACTTATCTCAACCACATCAAACTGAGTAACTGTTTACATGCAAAGATTTTTGCCAATCCGATTAAATACATTCTGATTACAGATTAAGACTGAGGTGTTTATTCTCACTCTACTCAACAATCTGATGGAAAACTCCGTTTACATGCTCACTACAAGTAATCTGATCCAAAACTGTGCACATGCGTAAAGTAACACTTCGTGTAGACGTTATAATGTCAAACAGCATCACGTGAGTCCAGTCAGAGTGAGATGAGCAGCAGTGAGCAGTGCTTGTGTTTTAATTTTTACCCGATTTTTCTCCCCAATTTGGTCGTCTCCAATTCCACCCGCTAATTAGGACTCCCCCAATCACACGATGCTATCAACGCTAGGAGGGCGAAGGCTAACGCAGGCTTCCTCTGAGACCTGTGAAACCAACCACCGCTTCTTTTCGAACTGCCGCTCACGCAACGTCACTGGACAGCCGAACGCACTCGGAGGAAAGCGCCAACCGCCAGATCTGTTACGTCAGCTAACAGACGCCTGCGCTGACTAGCATCGCGCTGAGTGATGGGGGGGAGAGGGAGGGGCCATCCCACCCACCCAGAGAGAGCGAGGCCAATTGTGCTCTCTCGGACTCCCGGCTACGGACGGCTGTAGCATCACCAGGGATCGAACTCGCGATCTCCTGATGTCAGACTGATTCCTTACTAAAGAAGGCCGAGGGGAAGACGTCGTGTTCTGAGACACATAAGCTGGACGTTCGTCCCACCGCCGTCTTTTAGAGATCAGAGCATGAACTTCGTCTCCTCTGCAGACCAGTTTCTGCTCCGCCATGTTGAACGGTATAAACTTTCACTATGGCATGACGAACATGATCAGAACGAACTTAGACTTTCCAATTGGGAATGTAATCAGATACAGGCGTTTACACGGTTATTATTCTTCTATTTAACTGATTATTTACAGGATTACCCACCTCGTTCAGTCGGATAGAAACTGTATTCCGAATGGCCTCAATTGGACTAGACTATTCTGACAGAGCTATTAGTCAGATTGCTAATGGATTATCAGGGTGCATGTAAACGATCCATTCAGAGAATCTGGCGACGGCTCTTTTAACTCATAAATGTGCCGACAGAGGAGTTACAACATGTGCATATAATATACCTGATTCAGCTCCATTCTATTATATAGTAAAACTGTGGCAAATCCAGTTCTGATGAACTGAAGACAGCTGGAATTGAGGCTATGCTGACGTGTGCATGCTGGACTCACCCTCTGGCTTCGCAATGAGACTCCTGCTGATTTGAAGTCAGGGAATTTGATTCCTGCAGTTTCAGGTACAGCCTAGAAGAGAATACAGCAATTAATTCATTCAAAATGAGTAATAAGACTGTCAGGGCTAATATTAGACTGGCAGATACAACTACGCATTTGACAAATTAAAAACTGTGTTCTTAAGCTGGGAACACACTGATTTAGGTGTGACATTAACAGGCAGAATTTTCCCTTGTTGCATGCATAAGCATTCAGTGTTCCAGTCCTTTATCCAGAACTCCAGTCCCTGGTTTTATAGTTAACACATCTCATGATTTCTCTTTTAGACAGTGCAACTCAAAAGACATCGGTAGTGAGTAACAGCCCATTCTGCGAAAACTCGAACAGGGGCTGAAACATAAAGCAGGCAGCGTGTGTGTGCACTGGAGTTTGAGGCTGTGCTTCAGTTTGGAGCTCCGACAATATTTTTTGGGTGTGTGAAAAGGATGTAAGGCTCTGTAACCCAGAACGTGATCTTGATACACTGAAAATGCTTATGTAAATACAGACAGTTTTAAATAGTGAATACATTACTTGCCTTCTCAGCCACTGATCGCAAAGAGTCAGTGACTCAGAGTAGGAAGGATGACTTTCCATTGAACTAGACCCTGTAAATGACCAGTACTCCTTTGCTACAGCATAAACTGCTCTGTGTTGCTTGTGCAGCACTGTAACGTGACTATTACCGGTTTCTCTGTCTCTCGTTTCTGTGGGAGTTTCTTCTTGGTGGCCTTGCGCTCGGCTCTGCGCATTTCTGTGGTGCTGTCGGCCGCCGTGATCAGCTTCTGCAGATCCTGCGCCTTCTTCTCCCGCTCCTTCTTGCGAGTCTCGATCTTCCTCAGCTCCTGGATTAGGTACTCTTCCTCTGCCACCTACAGGAAGAGTGTCATTAGAATCGAGAGAAAGTGCAAAAAAGTGCAAAAAAGTACAAAAAATTAAAGCAAAAAAGAACAAAAAAATTGGGGGGCAATTTTTCAATTTCTTCTTTTTTCCACAAAATCTGAAGAAGCTAATATTCTAAAACTTCATGATCAAAATGGTCCAAAACAACTTAAAAAAAATATATATTTTTTAACAATACAAAGTTAAGAACGTAGCCATTCTGGAGGTGAGGCTGTCCCAACAGTGAGAATTTGAGATTTAAAGTGAAATTGTCCCCATTTATATGATGAAATAAAGTTTCAAGAATAGGCTTAAGTGCATAAATATCTTTACTTTAGAGAGAAAATATTTAATCCTTGAATTCAAGGCAGTGTCCCCGTGAACATGTTCTCAAAGCACTTTCCCATTTATTATTCTGAACAGAAGAAAACAAAATACCCAAGATAAAACCATATGTTGAAGCACATTTTAGCTTTCAGAAAACTGAAGTCTCTAGATACTTATCTGGCACACACACAAAAAGACATTAAGAAACTCTCTGAGGAGTTAATGTATTGGGAAACACTGCCCCCTGCAGGCTAAACAGCATTTAGACAGTAGTAATCCTAAAAAACAGGTCAAATAACAGCATTCCTTCTGCAAGAATATCACATTTATTAGTAAAACACAATAATATTCAGTTATTAAAGGTGGTTGCTAAAGTCGAGAGAGGAAATTAAAGTAGAATTCAACTGATTTTTCAAAATTTCCGCATAATTAAATGGTTAAGATGTAAACTCATTCTGAGCGGTTTAGTATGAGCTGCTTTGTTCTAAAGAAACTTACTGAGTCTGAATTGTTCACAGAGGTGGTGATAGGAACCAGATATCTGAAGAGCTTATTGCCTCTGAAAGCTCTGTCACTGAAAGTTATTACATAAAATAAATAAGCTACGAATACGCTGCCTAATGTTTGATACATTACTTCGTGATAGATTTGTAATAAGCTACTGGCCCGCTTTTTAAAGTTCACTGGTGGTTCTGGATAGTAAATAAAATGTCTATATTTGTGTTGTAGTCATGGTGACGCCTGGTTCCTATCACCACCACTGTAAATAAATAAATAAATAAATAGAGTTGGTACGTTTCTCTAAATGCAACTATTTCACGTAAAAAAAGTCACTATTTCACTCTGAATACCTCTTTACATCTCAACAATGCAGAAATTTTGAAAAATCGATGGCATTTCCCTTCAGCTTAATCTTTACTAAGCTCAGGTGAGCATTTACCTGTTCAGGTGTACGGCTGAAGAGTCTCTCCAGCTGTTCTTTCCTGCGTCTCTCGTGACCTGCATCAAAGATGTAGATTTTGGGCTCTGTGCCGGTAACGGCACGAACCTTCGTCAGCTTCCCGCAGATATTATAATAACGTTCCTTCAGATCCTCCACAGAACGTTTCTGGAAAAACAGTGACGTTGTTAGCATATATTAAATTATATTTTTGAGACAATATGGAAATGGACACAAATCCTACTTGTAACGAGATTAGGACAGTTTAAAAAAAAAAAAATGTTAAAGGGGAATTCCACCAATTTTTCTAAACATCTGCATATTTAAATGGTTATGAGGTAAACAAAGTCATTCAGAGTTTGGTGCGAAATGCTTCATTCTAGAGAAACTTTCCAAGTTACCTCTAAAAGCTCTTTTTCCTCAATGATAAAATACCGCAAAAGCTTTATTATTCCAGATTTTCCACTATTTTACCATCATGAACATTATATCGCTGTTGTCTGAAGAAAACCTTGTATCTACCAAATGATAAAAAGGAAAAAAACTACTTTTAGTGTAAGTCAATGGAACCAGACTCCCCCACCCCCCAAAGTAATTTTAGGCCATTTCTTTCGGTTCATTCTTCATGAAATTTACACACAATGTAAAGAGCAACAGGTATTTTCAAATGATGTCAAACACTGAAAAATGGAGATGAGGTTTTCTTCTGACAGCAGCGATATATAAAAACTCAGAAGACTCGTGTAGGTTCACTGGTGGTTTTGGACAGTAAATAAAATGTCTATATCTGTGTTGAAGACATCACAACCACCAGTGTAAAGACATACAAGTCAGTAAGTTTCTCTACAACAAACAATTTCACACCGAACCACTATGAATGACTTTGCTTACATCTCAAAGACTGAATTACACACAAATTTAGCAAAACTGGTGTAATTCCCCCTCAAGAAGCTAACATAGTACTTAATATAGCCCTATTCTGAGACAGACTGTAAGTATACTGTAAGTATATAGTCCGTAAGTATATAGTATGAAGAGCATATTTACTCTGTACTGCTGGTGGTCATAGCGGTCATGGATAACGATGAACCGCAGGTCAAATCGCTTGCACAAGTCAAACAGGTGATCCGTCTCTGCTTTAGTCCAGCCATCATCATGGAGATGCATCTGATACTCCTGTTCAGAGTACACGGGCACCTGGACAGTCTGGAAGAGAAAAGGCTGAGTGAGTCATTTCACCCTAATAGTCACAAAGGGATCAACAACACCTTTATTATTTTAACTAACCCCAGTCCTGCTCTCCAGCCTCTCCTATGAATATCTAAAATCAAATTAAGAGTTCTCTCGTTGACCAGCTGCATGTTTATGAGAAGGACAAAACTCCTTCTCTCAGTACAGCAATTCAAAAATTACAAAAAAACCCCACAAATATTAAGCCTATTAAGACTACTAACACACAAAATTTGTAAAACTGGTGGAATTCCCCTTCAAGAAGCTTATATATGCACATCTGATAACAGGTTTCCATCCATTTGCACTAATGTTACAAGCAGTGTTTGAGATCAGACTGCTTTTTGAATGAGGAACATTATAAGGCAGCCAGTTCATTAACATCAATCAGCCTTAAAGGGACACTCCAGCCAAAATAAAAAATACAATCACTGATGCATCTGTTGAAAACATCCTCTAACAGCAGTGGCGCTGTGTTCTCCAGAGCAAGATGATCTGGTTTAAAGACCCCCTTCTGATGATGTCTCTTTTTGAAAAACTTCTGTGAAAGACTACAAATGGGCTTCAGGTAAAAATAAAAGAGAGAAAATAAAGTGGGACAAAAGCCTTTACAACCAAGAATGCTCACATCCTACTTATTAGCTTCCTTATCTGACCTCTGCCTCTCTCTGTATCTCCATTTCTCTCTTCCTTTCTCTGTCTGACTAAATACTGACACTCTCTCGCCCCCTCATTCATCCTCACCTTGTTGAAGCGGGCGAAAGGGTAATCCTTCCCCTCCTCCACCGCTCGTCTCCAGTGATGGAAGATGGCTCCATCTTTTCTGGCCGGGTTGGTGAAAGGCATCCACTTCCACGGCCTGACCTTCTTACAGCCCAGCTTCGCCTTCACCGTCCGGTAACCCTGAGTGGTGTCACTGGGCAACAGTGGAGGAGCGTCCCTACACACCACACACACACACCACACACACAGACACAGAGAGAGAGAGAGAGAGAGAGAGAGAGAGAGAGAGAGAGAGAGAGAGAGAGAGAGAGAGAGAGAGAGAGAGTGTGCAGGAGAGAAGAGAAATAGAGGAACAGAAAAAAGAAAGAAATAGAAAGAGAGAGAAGAAAGAAAGAAAAAAGCAAAAGACAGAGGACAAAAGTGAGAAAGAAGGGAAATAAAGGAGACAGAAAGGTAGAAGAGAAACAGAGAAATTGAACGAGAAAAACAGGGAGAAAGGGATGAAGAAAGAAAGGAAAAAGTGAGAGCAAGAGAAAAGAAACACAAGAGAGGAGAAGAGAGATAAAGAGAGCAGGGGAGGAGAGAAAGAGGAATAGATAAAGAAAAAAGAGAGAAAGGGAAACAGAAAGAGAACAAGAAAGGGAGCAGAAAAGAAAAAGAACGAAAAAGGAAGAAAGAAAGAAAGAAAAAAGAAAAAAAATGAGAGAAGAGAGAAAAAGAGAAAGAAAGGTAGGAGAGAGAGATACAGAAATAGAAAAAGAGAGAAAAGAGAGAGAGAAAAAGATAAAGCGAGAGAGGAGAAATAGAGAAACAGAAAACGAAAAATGAGAGAGGAAAAATGAAAGAGAAAAAAGTGAAAAGGAGAGAGAGAGAGAGAGAGAGAGAGAGAGAGAGAGAGAGAGAAGAGAATGAAAGAAAAAGAGAAAAAAGGCAAGAGGGAAGAAGAGAGTTAAGAGAGAAAGAGAAAGCGAGAGAGAGAGAGAGAGAGAGAAAAAGAAAGAGAGAGAGAATTAAAAGCAGTGAAAAACAGGTAGAGCTGATTTGGGGGGTCTATTTTGTTGGCGCTCAGTGCAGAACAGAATCACAGCTCTGCAGAATCAAACCTTAAAACAGAGTCTGTTCAGTTCAGGTAAAACATCATAATATTACCACAAACCCAGCACTCCTCACAGAGACCGGCGTTCATGATACACAGCAACGAAACAAAATTACATTTAAACAGCAGTAAAATGCTCCTGAACGATGTGAGGGTCGTGTTCATACTTTTTGTCAGAGTACAGCAAAGCATAGACTTCTCTGTGCATCCCCTCTGGCCTCTTGAAGGTCAGCGTCTCTGTGGATTTCTTGGCCTTTTTCTGAAAGTAAACAATGCAGATGATGTAAATTTATCAGATCACTTATAAACTCCTGTAGATCAGGGAGGGAAACGTCAGAACACAGGAGTCCCAGTATAACACTAAGCACTTTTACCTTGTCTGAGTTGATGATATCTTTCTTGCTGATGGGTCCTGCATCATTGTCTCCTCCTGCCAACTCCAGAATGTCTCTGACATCAGCACCGGTAGCCATTATCTGTGTAGAATAACAGTGAATGATTGAAGGGGAACTCAATCAAGTTTTTAAAATTTCTGCATAATTCTATGGCTGAGATGTAAACAAAGTCATTCAGTGGTTTGGGGTGAAACAGTTAGCTGTAGAGAAACGTACTGACCCTGACTTCTTTACAGAGGTGGTGATAGGAACCAGAGGTCACAACGACACAAATATAGGCATTTTATTTATAATCCAAAACCACACGTCTGAGAAAACCAACAAAACCATCTTACAGCTATCGTAAAACAATGTCTCAGATATCAGGCAATGTATTCATAACCATTACATGTTATAACCTTCTGTGAGGGAGCTTTTAGAGGTGGATGTCTGGTTTCTATCACCACCACTGTGAACAATTCTGACTCAGTAAGTTTCTCTAGAACAGGGCGTTTCACACCAAACCACTCTAATGATCAATCAACCTTCATTTAATCTCGGAGAACACTGAAGGGGACCCTCATTTACAATGTTGCCGAGCTGATACATAACAAGGGATTGATAATGTGTAAGAACATATCAAATAATAAAAGTACATTTAATTAAAGAAATGACTCAAATCAGGTAAGTATAAAAAAAAGAAACAATAATAAAAATACATTAAAATACAATAAAAAATATAAAACAATAATTAAAAAGTAGCTAAAATGTAAAGTTAATAAAATCAAATCAAAATAAAATAAAAGGAGAATAAGATCATATTAAAATGACTAAAATAATAATAAAATAACTAAAATAAAAATAATAATATGAATAATAATAAATAAACAAACAAACAAACAAATAAAAAATAATGAACATAAGATAATAATGGTAAAATAAATAAATAAATAAATAAAAAAAAATCAAGTAAAACAGGTAAAATAACTCTGTTTACATCTTAACCGTTTACCGTCACGCCACTTTTGACGGACATGGCATATCCAAAGTAAAAGGAGTGCTGTTCCCATATAATTTGGGCTACAGTCATGATCTTGGTCTCATTTGAAAGGTAACACAAGTTTTTTCCCAGCTGTCAGAATAATTGTATGAATTACTGACACAAAGTAAGAGAGGCTGGAATAGAGGAGTTGATTTATGCCTGACTCACAGATCTCTGAACTGATCTCTGACTCTTCTGTTATCAAGACAACACACTCGTAAATTTCCAAACCACGTTTTGGGTTATGACGTCTCTGTGGAAAGTGGCAAGGCTTTAAAGGGAAGAACCCACAGATCTGCTCACGTTTGCTCACTCTGGGCTTATGTTGAAAATGAGACGATCGTAACTGCTGTGAATAACGGATCATAAAATGGTTTGCAGGAACCAAATCTTGTCATTTCAAGCTTTTGAACAATATATTACATCACCGTATTACTGGACCATTTCATGCATAAAAAATGATGCATAAAAAAAAAATGGAAGTGAATGCTCAGACAGAAGTGTGCCGGTACCAGTACAGTGATCTAGAAAAGGTTACCTGTAGAAACTTTGAAAAACAGGTGGAATTCCCCTTTAACCAAATCCTAAACGCATGCTGCTTTTCCCATTTAAGTGTTAACAACAAAGGAAAATCATGATCTTCATTGAGCTGTGCTGCTACAAAAAGCTGTCTAGACAGAAATCACATGCCATCAAGTCCAATTAAACAGGACTAATTATACTCTCTTTCCAATCAAACATGCAGTTGGGAAGTGATTTTAAGTGCTGACAATATCCACTGACAGCTTACTGTGACATAACGTGATGTAATTTTTATCAAAATTTTAATTTCTACTCTCCTGCACCTTTTAACCTTTTCAACTCCTTGGGACCACCGGTGGTTCCAAATCGCACTTCGTCATATTCTTCACAATTTTCATATTTCATAAGCTACACTCAAAAGGTGGGGGTCGTATGAGGCTGTAACTGTCTTCTTTCCAGTCAAATAGATGGGTAATGTAATTTTAAACCCTTATAATAAAAGAAGCTGAACTCACAATTTTTTTTCTACTGAAAGTCGACCCATTTTTCCACAAATCTGGGCTGTAAACTATAAACAGATGGCGTCTCTTCAGTGATCTGCTCTGTAAAAATTATTTTTATAAAATAATACAAAGAGCGTCTAAGATTTTTGTCTTTCAGCAGTGAATTATGTGTGATCATAAAACACGTTCTGTTAATTTGAGGGGAGCTTTTACAAAATAAAAATTAAAATAAAATTAAAATTTACATTTACTTAATGCAGTTACTGAATAATTTGCCTTACGATTTGGTCACGTAAATTCAGATGGACAAACCAAAATATACCCTGGAGAATAAGAGGTTAAAATTTTAATTTGAACGATCTTTGCATTTTCTTATTCGTAAAGCACATCAAATGACCGCAGTATATTAAAGTTGCTGTATAAATAAAAAGGCCTTGCCCTGGCATTGCATTTTTGCCATTTTACCCAGTTCTAACTGCATCTATCATGCCAGTGAAGCTTACTGGACAGTGCTGAGTTGAAAAAAGTGGGACACAGAGCATTTTACAGACTGGTGAGCGATAGATCAGAATCAGAACCAGTACCAAGTGTACAAGGAATGTCTCTTGAAATATACAGTACACAAACAAACTGCAAGTAAAAGGATCTGGAATGGGAGTAAAGTACAGATGCAACCAAGTACTGGAGTACTGAGGTAACATACCTACATACAGTATGTACAGCTAAGAGAACTGAACAGCAAATATAAACATAAATAAACATAAACTATAAACATCAATGTAAACGTATGAATAAAACCAGTTAATTCTCTACGCTAAACATCCCTCAGTAATATTAAAATATCCCAGTATCTCCAATTATCCGTAACTGAGCACGAAGCCGTGGTTGGCTGGGTTTTCGAATTTCCCGTTCCACCTTAAATGGTGCTGTATTTGCGTCCTGTCGGTCGCAGAGGCGCCAGAATGTGAACGTAACCGCTGCATTATTTAAGGTGGAACGGAAAACCCGATTATGACGGTTGTGAATAAGAACTTCAGCTTCGTAAAATTAGCTCCTTAACTCGCTCATATCACAGGTACACGAGTTAAAGGACGATAAAACGTGTAAATATTTTAAATTCTAGTTTAATCGTCTGCTCTGCGCGGCTTTAGCCTCAAACACAACCCGCCCATTAGAATGAACGGGGGCTAACTTAGCAAACAAGCTAACCGGCGGAAACAGACCATTAATTTGCTTTCTTTTTATGAAGAAGCGCTTTACGTTTCCCCGAAAACATTCATAACAGATACATAAATAAATTAACTGACACTCGCGCTTACCTGAGCTCTACTTTTTATCCAGGTGGTCACTGTTGTTGAGTTATCGGCTTCGCTGCTAGCTGAGGCAACGAAGCGGTTCTTCTTTCTTCGCGTTCAGCTCCTCGACGGAGTGCGCCTGTTCGGCCCCTAGCGGTGTGGAGGCCCTACCGCGCTCTTTGTTGTTTTGCTGAAGCAGGGGTCTAGACTCAGTTTAGCGGGGGGCCAGTAACGGGGTGTGTGCATTGGGGCGGGGGTGGGGGTGGGGGTGTCCTCTTCAGACGGGGAGCAGGTATCGTATGCTTTTGTCAGGTATGTATAATTTGTGTCCCATTAATGTTACATTTTCAAATATGTATGTAAAGATAAAGGATATTTTAGACATGGGTAGAAGTGTCCTTCACAACAACATCTGCTCAGGTTTCAGATAAATAACTTAAAACTATTAATAAAAGCTATGTACAGCAAATATTATTTTTGTCTGCCCCAGCCCGTCATTTACACTGAAATGTAAACATTAAAACATTTTGGCAATTCATTTAACATCTTATGCATGAGACATCCTTTTTTCACAATTCATCCATTGTAGTAGGTTAAGCAAGTGTATATATATATATATATATATATATATATATATATATATATATATACATACACCGATCAGGCATAACATTATGACCACCTCCTTGTTTCTACACTCATTGTCCATTTTATCAGCTCCACTTACTATATAGGTGCACTTTGTAGTTCTACAGTTACAGACTGTAGTCCGTCTGTTTCTCTGATACTTTGTTAGCCCCCTTTTACCCTGTTCTTCAGTGGTCAGGACCCCCATGGACCCTCACAGAGCAGGTACTATTTGAATGGTGGATCATTCTCAGCACTGCAGTAACACTGATGTGGTGGTGGTGTGTTAGTGTGTGTTGTGCTGGTCTGAGTGGATCAGGCTCAGCAGTGCTGCTGGAGTTTTTAAACACTGTGTCCACTCACTGTCCACTCTATTAGACACTCCTACCTCGTCAGTCCACCTTGTAGATGTAAAGTCAGAGACGATAGCTCATCTGCTGCTGCACAGTTTGTGTTGGTCATCCTCTAGTCCTTTATCAGTGGTCACAGGACGCTGCCCACAGGACACTGTTGGCTGGATATTTTTGGTTGGTGTTTAAAACCTCCAGCAGCACTGCTGTGTCTGATCCACTCAGACCAGCACAACACACACTAACACACCACCACCACGTCAGTGTTACTGCAGTGCTGAGAAGGATCCACCATTCAAATAGTACCTGCTCTGTGAGGGTCCATGGGGGTCCTGACCACTGAAGAACAGGGTAAAAGGGGGCTAACAAAGTACACAGAGAAACAGATGGACTACAGTCTGTAACTGTAGAACTACAAAGTGCACCTATATAGTAAGTGGAGCTGATAAAATGGACAATGAGTGTAGAAACAAGGAGGTGGTCATAATGTTATGCCTGATCGGTGTATTGCTGTAAATGTTCAGAATGAGTCACTGTGTTTCACACAGGCTCTTTCACATTAGGTCTTTCCATAAAACTTTATTTATTTAGATACAAACATCAGCATTAAAATCTCATCATATGCAGTTTATTTTGAACTGGAACTCGCGTGCATGCATTTGATTTCTGAAAAATTACAAATCACCAAACACCATTTCAATGAGGTAAATGCGATACTTCAAATCACAAATCATATCTGATTTGAATCTAATCTATCTAATCATATCCAGCCTACATAAAATGTTTTTTAATCCCATGCATGATATGATGTCAAATTACAGAATAAATGGACAGAGTGAGGTATAACAGATTAAACACCACCATTTCAAAGTCACGCACAGCTGTCTAAGTAAGGCTTTCCCTGATATTAATGGTGCCGCTGTGCTGCATTAACACATTCATGAGCAAAACTTAAGACACCTTAACTGCAATAACGATTACGGCCAAATACATCACAGCACGACTGATACACACAGTTTAAGGACTGTTCAGAATTACACTGCAGTGTGAATATTTTCCCTGACGTCATGTAGGACAGTCAAGAGGAGCATAAAGTGTTGCCACCTCAATCAATAGATAACAATGTTTCAGGAAATACACACACACTTATTCTGTAAGCAAAAGTTTGGGCGATCCCCATCAAACTACATGTTTTGTTGAACACGTCCTCTACAGAGAACACACTTCTGCACATTTTAATGCACAATTACTGTTTATTTGCTCAATTTAACATATTGAGGTAAGAATAAAACATAAAATGTGACCTGTGCAAAAGTTATGGCACATTTAATGTTTTTTATTTATTTATTTATTGCTGATTTGTTAATGCTAATGAAACTGTGCACAATAATTAGCAGAAAAAATGTCATATTTGAGTGTGTTCTCTGTAGAGGACGCGTTAACATATTCTCAATTAGAAAATCAATGAAACATCATTTGACCGGGGGTGTTCAAACTTTTGCATATGACCGTATATGTCCAAACCGCTGACCAAATGACCTAAAATAAAGGTTTTTTCAAAGCAAAACAAACCTTTCAATGGAAAAATACATCCAAACGTGTGGGAAACCTAATCTAAGAGTCTCAGAATTTACAGAGAAGCAAAGCAAATATCATATTTTCATATTCAGTATCCTCTGCATGTCTTTCCTGTTGCATTCATAAATAGTGTGTTTATTACTAATGTAACGGACCATGCTCTTTGTACCATTTATACTCGGTTTTCACTGTTTTTCCTAAGATTTGAGCAGTCAAAACTGCCAAGCATTGCAGAAACACCCATGTATTATGCTGATTTGCTGTAAAATCTGATCTAAAATGAAAACCTTTTATAAGAAGACCACAGTGACGGATCAGTTTGCTAATCATTTAAGCAATTTTAAACACCCATAGATCACACTATCATCTGAAATGTCTACGAAATCAACAAGGAGATATTAAAAGACCACTGTGAACTCCTACCTACATTAATGTGTGCTGTTATTCTTCCTCTATGGGGCAGCAGCACAGACAAAAATGTGCATGTTCACAGTTAAATACCAAAACAGGACTCAGTGCATCTTCAGTCATCCAAAAAATGTCTGTTAAAAAGGTTTTTCTATTTTTAACAACAGAAAAAATTTCAGGCTATTATGAGCACTACTTCAGCTTACAATCTTACATACAGTGGGGTCCAAAAGTCTGAGACCACAGTGGAAATCTGGGATATTTTCATTTAAAGCTGAAAATATCAACAGAAAAATAACAACGAAAAATAATAATAATAAAAAAAAGCTTTCAAATTTTGAAAAATGTAAAAAAAAGTTTTTCAAGGTCAGGATTTTTAGTTTTTTTGAGTCTCTGCCACTGTGATCGGCTCATCAGAGGCTCTTTTGCCCAGTGCCCGCTCGAGTGAACACTGTCATTACGCAAAAGAAGGAAAATCATATACTAAAAAAACTGAAATTCACGTTCAGATTTCAAAGATTTTACTTTTCACACTAATTTTTATTCAGACAATATAATTTGTAATGAAAGCCCTTGTATTGAATTGGAAAGTAATGCAAATAGAAGTATTTCCACTAGTGGTCTCAGACCTCTGGACCCCACTGTACTTGGTGTTTCTCTCGTCATGAAGAACGTTTGTCTTTTGCTAGTTTGTGTGTTCACAGTAACTCCTGCTTAAGAACTCTGACTCCTCCTTTTTGGTTCTCCAGGTGTGTTAGGACAGCGGGGGAGCGGCTTTGGTGCGAGCGTGGTCTCGTTTGACCTCACGCTGCCTCAGAAAAGCCTGCAGTTTGTCTGTGGAGAAGCACACCACCGAGTCTGCGCGCTTGGCATGGCTGCAGTCTCCTCGTATCCAGCTGTCCTGCAGACACTCAGCAGCAGACGGCCTTCCCCTGGACAAAAACAGCAGATATATCTCACACAGCCGTTCCCTGACTGGAACATTTATGAGTATATATTACATGTAGCAACACACTACACTACATTGGGACATCCCTCCTAATTACTGAGTTCAGGTGTTTCAGCCACACCCATTACTAACAGGTGGATAAAATTAAGCACACAGCCTTACAGTCTTGACAGATAAACACTGGCAGTAGAGGGTCGTACTGAAGAGCTCAGTGACTTTAAATACAGCACTGTCATAGGATGCCGCCTCTGCCACAAGTCAGTTTGTAACGCACGCCATCACTGCACTCTGGAGCAGTGGAAACTCATTCTCTGAAGTGATGAATCACACTTCTCTATCTGTCAGTCTGATGGATGAGTCTGGTTTTAGCAATGCCAAGAAAACGTTACCTGCCTGACTGCACTGTGCCAGCTGTAAAGTTTGGTGGAGAAGGGATGATGATACGGGGCTGTTTTTCAGGGGTTGGTCTAGAACCCTTAGTTCCAGTGAAGGGAAATCGTAATTTTTGGACATTTTGGACAATTGTGCACTTCCACCTTTGTGGAATAGTTTGAGGGAAGAAACTTTTCTGATCCAGCATGACTGAGCCCTCAGTGCACAAAGCAGCTCCATAAAGTCATGACTGGGTGAGTTTGGTGTGGAAGAACTTGACTGGCCCTCACAGAGCCCTGACCTCAACCCCATCCAACACCTTTGGGATGAACTAGAACGGAGATTGTGAGCCAGGCCCTCTCGTCCAACATCAGTGTCTGACCTCACAGATGCTCTTCTGGATAAATAGCCAGAAAATTCCCACAGACACTCTCCAACATCTTGTAGGAAGCTTCCCAGAAGAGTGGAAGCTGTTACAGCTGCAAATGGGGACCAACTCCATATTAATGCCTATGGATTTAGAATGGGAGTCATAAAAGCTCCTGTAGGTGTGATGTGCAGGTGTCCCAATACTCTTGTCCATATAGTGTACTTACACACAGTATATATAACATGTACTGTAAGGGTACTTGCATGCAAAAGTATACAATAGCAACTTTTTATTATTCTGAATTTTCAGATTTAGGTTTATGATGATGATTTATTAATAACTTACTCATTACTTCATTATGAATAGTTCATTGGCAAAAACAGATTTCCATTTTAATGAATTTACATAAATCATGTTTTTTTATGGCGCAGTCCAGGTAATATCAGTCAAGCTGCTGTTAATGGATGTAAATTTCTTTCATTCTTTGTAAATTTCATTCTTTAACATGAAAGAAGTAAGAGCTGAAAACTGCAACAAAAACAGCCCATTAAGGGTCAATAATAAACATCGATCAGAGCTCGGGAAATCCTAAGGCTGAATCTCAAATATATAGTGCAATATGTGAGTTAAATTTTGGCTTTTACACCCAAATATTGGTCTTTATGTCTAGCATGAATGTGTTAAGAATAAAATATGACCATCAGCTTGTTTTTTTAAAGGATGCCATTAAGTTATTCATTTTTCAGCATCAGAGAAAAGCAGAAAACTTAAATTTCTAAATTTATCATCACGGTTTTTACAGCTTCCATTCTTTCTAGGAGACACACCTCCAAAGTTCAGTCTTAGAAGTTGGTAACATTTCTTGCTTCTCGCTATTAATCCACTACGTAATAATTACGTAATTACATTTACATAGCTTAACTAAATGGCAATAACAACTGTAGACTTGTTAATGTTCTTCAGTGGTCTGTGAGCACTTTACCAGGCCTTATTGTTCAGAGTGGTCTTCAGGAAGTTAATGGCTCCTTCAGAAAGTCCTGGATAGCAGCGTCCGAACTGGATCTTTCCTTTCTTGATATTCCGATCCCTCTCCCAGTTCAGCTCCGCATGGAACGGGCTGTCCGCACTCAGCCTGTTTAAGCAGTTGTAGGGGGAAGCCACAAAATTAGTTTAGTCATGTAAGTGTATCTTCTAGTGTTCCAGTGTTTCTTCTAGCATCTTACTTACCTGCCTTATTACGCCCACTTAACTGTCTGTCACCTCACTGATCCCTTTCTTTGCTGCTATACACCCTTTAACTGCTGCTGCGCTCAGCACTTTGACTTAAGACACATACTTTGCACAGTGTAAGGTTGTCAGGTGTAATACCAGCCTTCGTCACCAGAGGTCAGCCTCACCTGAGTACTGACTTGCCTCCTAGTGGCACCTTGACCTCTCTCACCTGCAGCTCATTGGCCTCCCTTTATAAGGACCTTCACTCACACTGGATCTCTGTGAAGTACTGCCAGTTCATCTGTGTACCAAGCCTTGTTTCTTCACGGCTGTTGGATTTTTTTTTTTTTCTCCGCTTTCTTGAACTCCCTTTGATACCTTTGCTGTATTGTGCTCTTTTCTGTTTTTTTTTACTTTTTGAACTGTCTCTGACTCTGACTCTGGTTTTTGTGATCTTTATACTGTGTTTTTGAGTAAACGGGAATTATGGATTCCAATCTGTCTGGAGAGTCTTCCTTACAAAGGTTTACACTAGTGATGGCAAACCGAAGCTTTCTGAAGCTCTGAAGCTGTCCTCCTAACTGTGTCGAAAAAGGGTTCATTACTCGAAGCTTCATGACACAGTGCACATTAGTGCCGTCTGGTGGCCGAAACCTCAAAGTGCTTCGTGTATCTGGCGAACATCCGTTTTACAGCTTTTAAAACTGTGTTCGAGTACATTACAACCATGGTATTTATTGTTTAAATAAAAACAATAAAACTAAATTGTTGTGTGCGTCTTCAACATCTCATTGCTGATTTGGGTGCACACATCCATGGTTTGGCAGAAAACTGTGATGGATGAATAATGTATTCTGTTATATGTATGTGTGTATATATATGTATAAATATCAGGAATTATAGGTAATAGACTGGTTAGAGTTAGTATCAGTATTAGTACTTGTTTTTGGCCAATACTTAAGGATCAGGTATCGTGCCGGTATTGGAAGGAGAAAAATGGTATCAGTGCATCCCTATTATATCCATCCTTACACATGGAAGCTCCTAAATATGCATGCAGCACATACAAAAAATCCCATAAAATACACAAATGCATAAAAATAAAAGACTTAATTCACTTACATGATAAAAGCCAGAACACCAAGAGCCCAAATATCTGTGGCAGGTCCAACACCTTGCCCCTCCAAAATCTCAGGAGCTTTAGGAAGGACAATGTAGACTGACAAAAGGGACACACATATAAAAACATCCTTCATAAATCTAATTCCACCATGAGAGGAGCTGGAGAACAGTGAGTTAGACCCTAAAGGAAACTATCAGCCTGGCACAGGAGCTCTGAATCACCTTTACTCTCTGTCGTCTCTTTGATGTGCTCAATGTTGAGCGTCTGTCCTGGAGTGAAAGGCTGTGCGGAGCCCAGGTCCACAATCTTCACCACGCTGCGGTCGGTCACCAGCACGTTGTCAGACCGCAGGTCCAGGTGGACGATGTGGCGGCCGTGCAGGTAGTCCACCCCATTCAGGACCTGCCGCAGCAGCTCACTCACATGCAGCTCCGCATACACATCCCTACAGCACAGAGATACATTACTTACCACACAGATTAAACCCTGACCTGACTTAACCCTTTGTGTGGTGTTCAGGTCTGTGGGACCCATTTTCAGTGTTTACCAAAAGAAAAAAATGATGCAATTTATTATTTCAACCTCAGATTCTTGGTCTTTGCTCATTTTCTGTGAAGAACATATAAAATAACCCATTTTCAGTGTCTTCACTCTGTTCACCCCCCACATTTTAATATTACACATGTGGTGTTGGGTGAACCAGCGGGGAGTAAGAGTGTGGAGGTGCTGTGTGCTTCACTCTGTTCTCCTACATAGCCTGCTGTTAGTGTGTGTGTGTGTGTGTGTGTGTGTGTGTATGTGTTTGTATATGTGTGTGTGTGTGTGTGTGTGTGTGTGTGTGTGTGTGTGTGTGTGTGAGGGTGGACAGCATGGACAGGCTGCTGACTGGCTACAGCTGCTAAAGGAGAATCCTACACTGGACACTTGTGATATTTTAAACATCTGGTATTTTTACATAAATTGTTGTGGCTGTATTGATTTAAAAACAATAATGTGGGGATCCAGCAGACCACCGAGTAACAAACACATCAACACCACACAAGGGTTACAGGAAAACTTTGGCACCTTTCTCCTTACCCAAAAGCTAACGTAGCTAAATAATGGAAACTTAGAACCCATCAATCAGCATGGTGCTAACTGCATCTAAAACCATTTATTAGAAAAAATTAGAATTTCATTTTGCAATATTTGTCACAAGCATGTGATTATTTGTGATTATTTGCGGACTACTTGTACTTCTACTCGAGCAATTATTATTTTGATGTAACAATACCTGTATTCTGGTTCAAGTCCAAGATGCACTAACACTGATTTATAAAATCCGAACTGATGCTTTTTTTAAACCCCACGTTGTAAGGGCCCAGTCTGCGGCACTGGCCACCAGCAGAGGGCGGCAGCAGCGAGGCACCACAAGTTCAGGGAACTCCAATTCCCAGAAGCCCTCAGGCTGAATAGGCCCAACCTTGCACACCTTTGGACTCCTCTACTTAAGCAGCCCTTAAAGCCCATAAAGCTGATCTTCCTCTCAGAATCACAGAGGAAGTGTTTTTTGTTTTCTGATTATCTTTTATTTCACTTTTCTATCTCAGCCTTTGTTTGAGCACGCTGCTTTTTTCCTGACATTTTTTTCATTTCCCATTTGTTGAGGTGTTTTTCCTGTTTTGCCTGTGCTTCTGGGTGGTACAGCGGTGACTCCTCAGACAGCCAATCAGCATGTCAGCGGTTCGAGCCTGGTTCTGAGCCACCTCAACTCCAATGTGCACACTCACCAAATTCACACTCCATCACCTCAGTAAAATTTTCTTTTCACCCCAGAAGAGTTTTTTTAGTTTTGGTCCACTGTCACCCTTGGTGATGACCATCTGGGGCTTGGACCCTGATTTTCTGTGAAGCTGCTTTGTGACACCCCTGTTTAAATGAATCTTGAACTGAATGCTCTTAAAGCCCCCACACAAGATTTTCCCAGAGCAAACCCACCACACACTTTCAGATTATGCTCACAAAGTTCCAGTCTCTTAGAACTTTGACTCACCTGTCAGCCAGGCTGTAGAGGATTTCTCGGCCGGAGCAGAGCTCCTCGATAAGCACGAGGCATGATGGGGTGAGGATGGCAGAGTGGAGCTGGACAAGGTGCTGGTGGCTCAGCCTCCGCAGCAGCTGATACTCCCTCAGCACCAGCTGCCTCTGCTCTGGCTCGTACGGGGTCAGCTTCGCTGCCAGCGGCCGAGAACTCCTGCTGTCCTCACACTGCATCACCACACTGAAACGACCCCTGGAGGAAAAACACGGCAAAGGTTTCCAAACTGTCTTGATGAGCCACAGCAATCTGCTTCACTCGAACAATCTGCCTGTATGTAATTGCTGTGATAGCCAAATGTAAATAGTGCCAATTCCCGGTTGAAGATATTTTCTAGAGCAGTGGTTCTCAAACTGGTCCTCAGGGACCGTTAGATGGCTCGCTTGAACCCAAATTGCAACACATTGGGATAGAGCAAAAATGTGGATTGTCTGAGGTCCATAAGGACGAGTTTGAGAACCACTGTACTAAAGCAGGGGTGTTCAATTCAAACACACCTACTAAACCCGGAAACTAAGGGTTAACTAAACAGTTTCATTTCTTTCATATATTAACTTCGTGCATAGATAGCAGTCAGTGTTAGCGTATAGTTTATTCACAACAACCTACGAGCTCAAAAAGAAATCTCAGCTATTTACAACACCAACAGCTGGGCTGAATCAGCTCTGTTGAGCAGAGTAATTTCCTCACTTAAGTGAAGTAAAGTCCTCCAGACCAGAGCTGAGTGAAGGATCAAGTGAACACAAGCATAATATTTCCAGGAATTGTTGTGATCTGACACATTTCGCTTTTCAAACCCCCAAAATAATCTGCTTATAAGCCCTAACAGTAAACTAATTTAACCCTCTATTGCATGAATTATTACTTAAACACGAAATAAATCAATGAAATAAATAAAACAAAAATGTTTTAACATGTTTTTCTTATTTAAAATTGCTTAAATAATGGAAATATTTGAAAAGAATATATATATATATATATATATATATATATATATATAATCAAATCTATCTTTTTATTAAAAACAAGACCAAACAAATCCAACTTATACTTAGTAAAAATGTACGACCCAATATTCACAAATATTGTAAATTAATACATTTTCAATTGGTATTTGGAATATATGGTAAAAACATCATACTAAGAATTGCTGGTCATGTGATGTCATAAATTATTTGTCCTTTCAAAGTAAAAGACCCTTTTTCCACAATTAAATAGGAAAACACAGATTTTATATGACTGCTTTTTAGTAAAATTGAGAAAGTTCTTGCTGCCATATGGCAACATCGTGCAATAGAGGGTTAAAACACTTAACATTTCAAATACATAATATTCCATTAGGTTACAAACCACTCCATCTGCTATACATGACTGCCGATAGAGCTCCATCACTTTACCCTGCTAGCTTGCTAGTTAGCATGCTAAGGGCTACATGGCTAACAATAAAAGGCACTGCAACACAGCTCTCCACCAAAGTTTATAGCCAGACAAAGCAAATTATGTTCAAACTTCTCAAAAAAAGTCTTGCATTGCACGGTTTGCATGGCCCCAGAGGAAATATGTTATTTCTTAAGATTGTCTCAGAGAAATAAAGCAGATCTCAATATTATATTAATGAAATATCACTGATTTCTGAATTATTTCTCCTAAACCCACCTTAGGAGAAAAGAGGAGATTAACATCAGCATTTCCCTGTGAGAAGTTCTGGTGATGAATGAGAAAAACATGAGTTCTCCTTTTGCACTGACAGATGCGATGAGATCTCACACTTTTCTTATGGAGATATTATTCAGCTGAGACTGGGCTGAGATGAGTCGGACACTAAAGAGTTGATCCACATGTGTGACAACATTTTGATCAAAGTGAGAAAATCTGAGTTTTATTTCTCAGGAGCTGAATTTCAGAAACAGGAGCAAAGGGCTTAAATCTCACTCTGATCTCAAACTGGACTAAACTTTGTCTAGGAGAAGCTCCGGAGATCAAGAGGAGATCTCATTTAGAATATTTCTTTCAATAGCCAATTAGCACACTGAGGCTAACCTAACTGAGGGTAAATGCTGGCCCCTGATCTAAATTAACACAAATGTCTGTCACTGTATTTCTGAGGAAAACCGAAATCTACACGGAAACTGAGTGTTGGAAAAACAGACTATATATTACCTGTTGATCTCAGACTGGAAGCTGTAAGATCTCTCAGAGCCCAGGCCTCCAGGCACAGTGATCTTAGATCCAGTGGATTCCATCAGGATCAGAGGAATATGAGAGTCTATGGACAAGGAAAGATGTCATCACAGCTCAGTTATGGACTGTTTATTGCTGTCACAAAGACTAGACTCACTAAGTCGTCTCACAATTTTTTAGGTATTTAAACAGACTTTGCATTTTCACATACACTCAAAATAACCCCCTTAAGGCCTACACCACAAGATTTTTAGCCCAGTTTTAATGCTGATTTGCCCCTTTGGACAAGCAGGTCAAGCAGGTCAAGCAGGTCAGCAGCTCACTGAGAATGGAAACTAGTCAAATTTTAGCCTAGCGATCAATTTCCAGCATGATTAAATATCCAATATTTTCAAACAGGCTTGATTTTTAAGACTCAAAGAGTCCTGAGACTATGAGTGATAGTCAGCGATGTAACTGAGCGAGTGAGCTAGGAGACGAAGAAAGGGGAAGTGACATTTATGCATGCAGTGAGTGAAGATAAGCTGCTTGTTGAACGCTCCCCTCTCTTTACAATTTCAAGTCAGCTGCTGGTTTGTAGTTAAATATTTCTCCACTGTGATATCTGCGATTTCCAGCCCTTCTTGTGTGCGCATAAAAGCACAAAGAGGTCTGTTCCACTTTAGCTTTATTTGTTTGTGATAATGAGGCAAAAGGGGGGGTTTGAGTGGATTTTTGTTGCTGAATCTCACTGTGTGATGCCCTCTTTTTGTCTTATCGTCTAGTGTGAAGAAATTCTGTAAATTCTGTAAAAGACTGACGTTGTGTGATGAAGCGTGTGATGCTCTCCATTTTCAAAATCTGTTTTTGTTTTTATCTTAAGTATTTAATGCATGTGCCTTGGACAGGGGTGGGCATGGGTGGGCTGAGGGGATCACTTGTTTTGTCTGTAATGGAACCGGTGTGGACCTGGACTCTGTGGCTAAGGTGGCAGAGAGAAGGACATTGCTCTCCATTATGAAGGATGATGGCCACCCGCTGCACACCATCACGGACAAGAGGAGCATGTTTAGTGGCAGGTTGCTGTCACAGAGCTGCTTAACTGACAGACTCAGGAGATCTTTTGTCCCCAGAGCCATTAGGCTCTTCAACTCTTCCCAGTGGGGCCAGAAAAGAAGAAAGAAGAGGGAGAAGAGAGAAGAGGGCTCTGGATAAAAGCGTCTGCTAAATGCTGTAAATGTAAATGTAAAATGAGGATAGATTAGGACTAAATCCCTCATTCTTAATTACAGGTTATTTTATCAGTCTGCACATATGGACACCTTACTGTACATATTGCACTTTCTGCACACCTCATCGCACATTTTGCACATCTGGACACTCCACACCTAGACATTTTACTTAAGTACCATTATATGCACATATTTATTCAGTATTGTCAGTATATGCTGTTACCTGCGCCTCCTTGTACATTCATTACTGCACTGCCTTTTCTATCTCAGGATAGATCTATTGCATATTTTGTATAGTTTTAGTTGTATATATGCATGTAGATTTTTTTATATTGTATCACCCTTATTATTATTAACTGTCCTGTGTTGTGTGACTGATACTGGCTGCTAAATTTCCTTCGGGATCAATAAAGTATGTATCTATCTATCTAGATATATAGATATATATATATATATCTATCTAATTATAAAAAAAGTAAAGTTTTAAAAAAGTCACATAGTGTATTCCTGTGTTAAGGCTTATTATTCATTGATTACATGGAAAACAGTTCAAACTGGTATTCTTAATTAATAGGAGTGAGGAATGGAAGTCTAGATCTGCTGACAGCACATTTTTGGGGGCTGAAAAAAGGGCAACATGAACATGAATTGACACTCCTGTCCCCTGGCAAAGTAAACGTAATATAACTAAAATCTGGATCTTAAAGACCATGTTGGAACTTTTGAGGGTATATATAGCCAGGCACACTCCCCCATCTACATCAGCGGAGCTGTGGTAGAGTGTGTGTCTGACTTTAAGTTCCTTGACATCTCGGATGATCTCACCTGGTCTCTAAACTCCTCCATCATGCTCTGCATCTGACCGAAAAGCGCTCCAGTGGGTATTGACCACTGCCCAACGCATCACAGGTACCCAGTTACCCTCCATTAAAAACATTTACCATAAGCGCTGCCTGGGCAGGGTGAGGGACATCCATTAAATAAAGATGTCTCCCATGATATTATAAAACTAGATCCCCTCTGTAAGGTTTCAGTTAAATGTTCTGTGTTCAAAAGTACAAAAAACCATACACAGACATTAAAGCTACTGTTACCTTCATATGGGGCTGTCATAAAAGCAGGTGGTGAAGGGTCACTGAAAGGTCCTGACCCTGTTTTGGTGATGCAGGCCACTCGGAACATGTAGCCTGGTCCTCTAGGTAGCGCGTTAGCTACGTAGCAGCTATCTGTCACACTCTCACACAGCATTCTCCACTCGCCACCTGCAAACCAAGTACACACACCGATCAGGCATAACATTATGACCACCTCCTTGTTTCTATACTTACTGTCCATTTATCAGCTCCACTTACTATATAGGTGCACTTTGTAGTTCTACAGTTACAGACTGTAGTCCATCTGTTTCTCTGCATACTTTGTTAGCCCCCTTTTACCCTGTTCTTCAGTGGTCAGGACCCCCATGGACCCTCACAGAGCAGGTACTATTTGGGTGGTGGATCATTCTCAGCACTGCAGTAACACTGACATGGTGGTGGTGTGTTAGTGTGTGTTGCGCTGGTCTGAGTGGATCAGACACAGCAGTGCTGCTGGAGTTTTTAAACACCTCAGTGTCGCTGCTGGACTGAGAATAGTCCACCAACCAAAAATATCCAGCCAACAGCGTCCTGTGGGCAGCGTCCTGTGACCACTGATGAAGGACTAGAGGATGACCGACACACACTATGCAGCAGCAGATGAGCTATCATCTCTGACTTTACATCTACAAGGTGGACTGACAAGGTAGGAGTGTCTAATAGAGTGGACAGTGAGTGGAAACAGTGTTTAAAATCTCCAGCAGCTCTTCTGAGTCTGATCCACTCAGACCAGCACAACACACACTAACACACCACCACTGCAGTGCTGAGAATGATCCACCACCAAGGATAATCAAGGAGGTGTTTATAATGTTATGCCTGATCGGTGTATATTGCATGTTATAAGCCAAAGTAGTGACAAACACAACCAAACACAACAAAATAAGGTCTGCGAGATTTTCAAAGTGACTGTCCTGAGTGAACTGGTGTATCGGCATTAATCCAAAGGAGGTATTAAATCTCTGAGGTTGATTGAAAAATGTAGCAGATGCTTCCCTCAGTCCCATTCCTGGATAAGCCCTACACTGCACAGCTTGGTGTTAGCCTGCTCTGACACCCCTGATTCAACATGAAGGTCTTGACAGTGACCTGACTAATTGATGCAAGTGTGATAGAAGTGGACAGCAAGTAAAATTTGTAGTGTGAACTGAATTAGCTTCTTGCCATTTACGCTGTGCTGTATGCAGTAAGTGACAGGACCACTGGATGGCACTGGCTTCCAGAACACCAGAGCTCCACCACCGGCCAGCTGGATCACATCCGGTCTGGAGGGCTTGACTGGCATCTCTAGTAAAATGTGTAATCAATAACATAATGAGGATCTTGGTAACATTATAATAAAGAGTATAAATAAAGGGGAATTACTGTATTTTATAGCTGATATCTGTTTTTCCATACTGAACGTGACCATGCACGAGTTTAAAATATTAAAATAAAAAATAAAATCTGCAGTCTACCGTTATGATTGCCTGTCAGTTCTCTCTTATTTCTCCTACTGTAAATTGGCTCCATATTCTCTACAGAGGTTAAAACCTCTCCAAACCTTTGCTCTTTTTGAAGCTTGGCACTTTGAGAGAGAAGAACTTCGATTTTTTCTGAGGGCTTCCTGAGAAGGGAACTGATGGCAGAAAGTCAGAGGTGATGCTGGCTTTCTCAGGAGGAACAGGATTCTTCACAATTGGTCCTGCTAGAGCAGAAATAATACATAGTTAGTCAAAGTCAAATCAAAGTTTATTTATAAAGAGCTTTTTACAACAGGTGTTGTCACAAAGCAGCTTTACAGAGAAATCCAGGTCCGAGGCCCCATGAGCGTCGCCAGTGGCGACAGCGGCAAGGAAAAACTCCCTAAGAGCAAGAGGAAGAAACACTGAGAGGATCCAAGACTCAAAGGGGAACCCATCCTCCTCTGGTCGACACCGGATAGCAAACAGCATTAGAATAAAATATTAGAATACAAAACGGGGAAAAACAGGTGGAGCGATGGTTAATTAGATGGACTGAGTTTATGCAGCAGCAGCAGGAGGGTCAGTTCATGCAGGTGAGGTTTGCACAGCTTTGTACAGCATGAAACTCCATGGTGGTCAAAGCGGTGCAGATCAGCCAACAGAGATGGAGCTCTGGTGACTCCAGCAGCTCTGGTGGCTCCTATGTGGCAACTCAGGCAGATGTCGCTCAGGGGCTCAAATTAAGGGAGAGAGCGAGCGAGGGAGAGAGAGAGAGAGAGAGAGAGAGAGAGAGAAACTGATTAACAGGACAGAATGTTTATGGAGAGATCAGCAAAATGTTTGTGCAAACAGGTAAGTTTTGAGTCTAGTTTTAAATGTAGAGAGTGTTTTTTTATTTAGGACACTAAAACAATCCCCCTCCAATTTTCACCAATAAATACAAGCCCTGTGCTAATGTGCTGTAGATGTGTGTGGCTGTAGGAAAATCTCCCCCATTCACACTGTGATTTTCACTCATTAGAGCACTGTGAAGCTGACTGACGTGATCAGAATGCTGGTGTTTGCTGACGAATATTAGGCATGCTTGGTTGTGCTGAATGTAATGTCGCACACAAAACCTGGGTCATTATTGGCATACTTTATCAATAACATTGTCGGCGACACACGGCTCCGGAGCCACATGCAGCTCTTTTACTGCCCCCTAGTGGCTACACAGCAGAATTAGATTTGTAGGTAAAAATAAAAATAATCCTTCTTTGCAGTAAATTAAAGCTTTGCTAAGCATTCTGACACACTGTTCTAATAAACGTTCAACAATAAATAGTCTTAAAGGCTGGAATTAATACATCACTGCTAATTCACCACCTTTAACCCTGAAGACTGGCGTCAAGACTGCTAATCACGTAGCAATGCAGACAACAATCTCGCCTAGCTAGTAACTAACGAAATGACAAAGAAGAGAAAGATTCAACATGAACACTGATCATTTAGAGACAAATGAGCAGACTCATTTGCATTTATATGCACTCCAGCTGATTTAATCTGCAATGAGAAACGGTCAACCACAGACCAAAAACTGTTGAACGTTGAGAGACATTTTACAAAAAATCGTTCTAGCGGTAAAGTGTCCTGCTGCAGATGTGAGAAAAGCGACTATAAAGCTAGCTGAGCTAAAGATTAAAGCAGAGCAAAGTACGTCTGCATTTTCATTCATATTTTATTACATTTTTTAGCCTGTATTAGCATATTAGCACATATTGAGACATATTTACAGCCAAGATGTTAAAACGTTAAACCAGTAAAAGGGACATAAAATGTTGTCGCTCCCAAAGTGGTTTGATTAAGCTGTGAAGCTGTGGGTCCTTCCCCAACCACCATTTCACTTTGTCAGCATTGTTATTATATCATATTACTGCTATGAACAATAACAATTTAACACTGAGTCACTTTAAATAACAATAACACTGAGTCACTTAAGCTACTTTAAAATGTATATTGTCTCTATATTTTGTGTATATTTTGTGTATATTTAATATATTTCAGTTTGTTTTTCTTGTATTTTTATTTTTACTTATTTACTTTCTGTAGAGTGATTATCACCACAAGCATTTCATGCATGAATGTCCTGACACGTTGTGCAAATGACAAATAAACCTGAAACTTGAACTTGACTTTTGTTGAAAAGGGACAAAATGGCTTTTTTTAACATTTGGGTCATGACCCCTGCCTTAGACGATGTTCTACTCGGAGGAACTCAAGCTCACTTGCCGTTAAAGACCTGTTAAATAGATGGTGACATTCTAAGCATGAATGACCAACATGCCTAGCAGATGGGCCTACCTCTTTTCTCCTCCTTGCCCTCTTTACTGGACTGCTTGGTGAAAAGCTTGGTGATGCTGGAGGCCGAAGCCCTCATCTTCTTCCTCAGAGTGAGTAGAGGAGTCTTCTGTTGTGGGTGTGGACCTTCATCAACCCTCTTGCCTGAGCCCTCTGTCTGGGAGCTGGAGTGTCCCGTCCAGGACTGCCTGCGGAAGATCTTCAGAAGTCCAGCTTTGGCCGATTTCCCACTAGGGGGTTTGGCTTGCAGCGCCGGGGCAGATGCATGCCTCTGAAGCACTTCTCTGCTTTCTGGGGATGTTAAAATCGGGCGTATGGGAACTGCAGAGGAGCTTCGCCTCAATGTAATGTTCTTGTTTGTGTCGCTTGTTCCAGAGTTATGTGTGCACTGTTTTGGTAGAGTTTGGAGGTGCTCTTGGCGGAGGGACCTCAGAACCCTCTCCACGTCTTCATCTTCAGAGTCCTGTAAAAGAGAACACTCTGAGGCTTTTCCAGATGACAGTGCACCCAGTCGCTCGTCTGATTCGTCATACTCTTTATGCCGTCTTTGTGAGATCGGAAGGTGAGTGGGAGCGAGTCCTTCAAAGAAGCCCAATCTGCTAGAAGCCTCTGAGCCATGTTCAAGGACAGACGACTCAGCGAGACTCAGCTGTGAACCAACAACATTCTCCTCCCCAGGCTGAGATTGGATGCCATCTACATGAGACAGGGTGCTGATTGGCTGCTCGTCCATGCTAGACCTCTGTGCTGTCACTTTTGCCACAACCCCAGAGGTCAGTGTCAGAGGAGCAAGTGAAGAACGTCGTAACATCTTTCTTGCCAGGATCTCTGAGGTTTCGTCTTCCTCTTCATCAGTAAACTCATCCTCATGGCCTAACTGAATGCCTTCCTCATCATCTCCCAGCATCCTCTGCTGTCCTGAACCTTGTGAAGTCACAGTTGTACGTTGTGATGTCTCTCTCGCCAACATCTCTGGGGTTTCGTCTTCCTCTTCATCAGTGAACTCATCCTCATGGCCTAAATCAATGCCTTCCTCATCATCTCCCAACTTCCTCTGCTCCACGGAAACTGCCGGTCGTCTCGTGGATTCATCCAGCGACCTGCTCCTTCTCTGGACACGGACATCTGAATGAGCAGGACTCGCTCCGCAGTCGAATGAGCTGGATTTCATAGTAGCTGAATGTACTGACCCTCTCCTCTGGCCACGTCCAGCCTCCGCATCTGGAGAGTCCTCCACATACTCTATGAGTGGTTCATTCAGCCTCCCAGAAAGGCTTGAGCGCAACGACTTCCGCCCTCTTTCCTGTTTCCTGCCGTGAAGCTTGTCCCGGAGCATCATATGACGAGTGGACATGGGGGAAAGCTGCTGGGAGCTGCTGTAGAAGGTACTCTTGATCACATTCCCACGTGGGATGGGGGTTCCAAGGTCCAAGCCCTCGTCCTGTTCACGGTGGCACAGGGATGGGCCGATATCCTGTTCCTCCTCGTAACCACCTTCACTATGGGCCAGAAGTCTATTACTCGGCTCAACACTGCAAAACATGATCTCATAATTTGTATTTCATAATGTAGGACTGTAAGGTGTTGATGCATCACAGTGCAATAATCTAAAAGGTGGTGATTCAACTGCATTGACTGTGGAATGTTAGGAAAGGTTATACTTGGATATAATACTATTCATTAGAATGTACTCATTTTTGGACTGAAATAAAGTTGAGAAGACATGATGATCCAGCACTCTTTTTAATTAAACAATTGGGGGAATTATTTTTGACCAATAGATTAGTTTTTTTATTTTTATTTTAAAAGCTACATTTTTCATAAATACTTCCCAAGGAAATCTCTGCAGCAGCCTCGGATTGTGGCACGACCCTCACAGTGCAGGTACTATTTGGGTGAGTTTTTAAACACTGTGTCCACTCACTGTCCACTCTATTAAACACTCCTACCTTGTCAGTCCACCTTATAGATGTAAAGTCAGAGACAATAGCTCATCTGCTGCTGCACAGTGTGTGTTGGTCATCCTCTAGTCCTTCATCAGTGGTCACAGGACGCTGCCCACAGGACGCTGTTGGCTGGATATTTTTGGTTGGTGGACTATTCTCAGTCCAGCAGTGACACTGAGGTGTTTAAAAACTCCAGCAGCACTGCTGTGTCTGATCCACTCAGACCAGCGCAACACACACTAACACACCACCACCACGTCAGTGTTACTGCAGTGCTGAGAATGATCCACCACCCAAATAGTACCTGCTCTGTGAGGGTCCATGGGGGTCCTGACCACTGAAGAACAGGGTAAAAGGGGGCTAACAAAGTATGCAGAGAAACAGATGGACTACAGTCTGTAACTGTAGAACTACAAAGTGCACCTATATAGTAAGTGGAGCTGATAAAATGGACAATAAGCGTAGGTGGTCATAATGTTACGCCTGATCAGTGGGTGTTTTGTTGCTTCTGATTGGTCTAACTCATCTACAGGCAGCTTACAAGCCCTGTGTTATTGGTTTCATTTTTTCCCCATTGAAAACTTGTTAAGACAACATTGTTGATGATGTATTATATAATTAAAAATGCAGCTCTTGTGGTTTAAAAGTTTCACTCTTTCAAATTGCGATGTTGTTATAAAAATGATTGATCTTACAGCTCTGTAGCGTGTAACACAATCGCGCACCCATCCAAGACAAATTCCTCATATGTGCAACATACCTTGATGTGATATAAAGCTGACTCTGATTCTGTTTCGTAGTGCTGGCCGGCTCTGGGGACAGCGTGGGTGACTCTCTGGATGGCTTGTTTAAAGGAATCACCACCATGCCTCTCTGGGCTTGCTCCATAATTCTATCCTCTTCATTTATCTTTAGACTTGGTGTTATTTTAGGTAGACAAGCGTATGGGTTGTATTCTTCTTCATCCTCATCCTCCCTGCCCTCCTCTTCTTCCTGGCTGGTTTGCTGGAAGAAGCCCCATGCGTCAGCCTCGTCATACTCAGAGGAGGAGGTGCTGCTGAGGGAGGTGCTGCTGGGCTCATGAGTATCTCGAGGGGTTGTGACAGAAACTTCAGACAGTGGAGCCTCCAGCAGCTCAGGGATTGGCCGCAGAGTCAGGACCGATCCAAGACATGTCAGAGAGCGCTGGGGAGAGAGTGAGGGAGAGCAAGAAAAGTTGAGAGGAAGAGAGAGAAAAGGGGAGAGAGGAATGCGGAAAAGTAGAAGGTAAAGGAGGAACAAAGAGAGGAATAGAGGCAACAAGAGAAAGAGGGGGCAGGAGAGAAGTTTAACCCCTCAAACCCCTTAAAATGCTTTTGATTATGGTTGACTCAATGTACTCAGGGTGTCTGTGCTCAGAATGTCCCTGACAATACATATATATATATATATATATATACACACACATATATTATGACATTATGCTCTTCATTTGGGAAAAACAGCTCGCTCAAATATAAATTCAGGAAAAGTTCATTGTTTAGCTCTTTCACACACAATCATGAGCTTCGGTCTTTGATATTCTTTACTAACTAGAGAAGCAGCACTGGTCTGCCTCAGGGGGTCACTATCGCAAATCGGCTCACCCAGTTGGTGCTTCATAGGCTGGCAACTGTAACTATGCCTGGGATACCTCTGAAAAGCTTTACAATACTCCATAGAATATTTGTAATTCTGAAAACTATTTCCCAAGAGTTTGGTGAAAAGAATGAATTACTCAATTACTCGTTTCTCAAACCACTATGGTGAGTGAGTTAGCAGCCAGCCAACAGGCCATTCAGCCAACTGAATGCAGTCTAAATGTTTGGCGAGCCAGCCAGAAGCAAGAATAACGTCGAGCCAGCCAGAGGTGAGAAGTTGTAGGAGTGAAAAGTGTGAAGGTTAAAGGGTTAAACCTTCTGAACATTTCATGAAAGAACAAACAATAATAAAGAATAGATTCACCTGCCACTTCCGTCTAGAGATAAAAGATTTTAGGCTCCTTGTATCAATACTGTCAGCTTGCACATCTTCACATTGGACCTAAAAAGATCAAAATAAAAATTTCAATACATTATGATCAATACAATAACCTACGATCAATAAAAGTACCCACCCATCACACAATGATTTTACAGAGCTGAGGGCTAACACATGAAGCCTCTAAGGCCTTGTTCACACTGCCAGTCCAAATCTGATTTTTGCCAAATACACATAGCATCAACAGTGGTTCCTGAAAGTCTGGACAGCAGCAACCTGATTGGTGAAAATCTGATTGTTCCAAACTGGATTCAAGCCACATTTGGATATGGTTTGTAATGCGATTCCAAAAGGATTTTTACAGACGTGCGTCACTCGCAATGCGACAAACAACGACAATGTCAAATCCAGAGTGACGGAAGTGCTGGGATTCAAGAACAGCGCCAAAGATTTGTGCTTATGCTAGAGAATTTTGAGGAGTTTGGAGGCTGACATGATGCTCCTCCATTTCTCCTGCATCTGCGCTTGAAATCCACATCACCAGCCTAGCTACGTAGTTACTGACGCCTACCTCGTTACCACGACAACCCATGCAGATTATCTGGAGATATCTGGATACACAAATCTGATCTGATCACTCTTAAATAACAGTGCAGACAGTCGTCTCAAAAGATCTGATATGAGAAACAAATCCAGTTTCCCTGCAGTCTGAACACAGCCTAAGTCATGTGAAGCCGGCTGCCGCATCTTTTTAATCTGCAGCTTAAAAATGTTGAAGAACACTAACTTCTCAGTGCTGTATGTGAGCTAAGATATGCCTCCCCTTATTTAGCACTGCTTTTAAACAGTCCAGCTTTTAAGCACATATTTTAAGACTTCTGTACTGCAGCTTACCTGAAACCACTCATGACTCAGACTCTCTGATGCTGACGGTCTCATCCTGAGAGAAGTGAAACAGTTCATTTTATCCTTTTATATTACATAGTCACTTACAAACTACATACAACTTCAGACACAAACTGATCTACTGCATCTTACTCTGGGTCTGGCTGCAAAACTCTGTGTAGGAAATCTTGTGCTTGATCACTCCTGCTGCTGATTTCTGGAATATCCCAGTACAGAACGCCCTCTGCTACCTTCATCAGGGTTGCACGGTCATTCTCTCCAAAGAACGGGCAATGGCCTGTCAGACTGTCAAAGCAAAACCACAGCTAACAACAGCAGCTATAGCTCCATATTTCAAACTAAACACAAATGGACATTTAGATTTAAGGCATTTGACAGACACTCTTATCCACAGTGACTTACAGAGGGGCTTTCCTGTCTATATGGAAACCTATTCTCATACAAAAAGGAGTCTAAAGATTATGAGAGTAGTATTTTATTAGTGGTGTCAACTGATCAAAAAAACTGAATCGAATTAATCACAGAAATAGGCTGATTAATCATGAGTAATGAGTTTAAATAGTATTTACTTGTATTTTTGGGGGGAGAAAAGAAAACTCATGAATTGTACGCCAGTGAAAAGGCTAAACTGTGCTTCTGCTGTGCCTTCATCGTGTCTTTGTTGTGCTGGAGCCGCTTTATCATTTCGAGAGTTGAATACTCTGCATACTTTGTTAGCCCCCTTTTACCCTGTTCTTCAGTGGTCAGGACCCCCATGGACCCTCACAGAGCAGATACTATTTGGGTGGTGGATCATTCTCAGCACTGCAGTAACACTGACGTGGTGGTGGTGTGTCAGTGTGTGTTGCGCTGGTCTGAGTGGGTAAAAGGGGGCTAACAAAGTATCAGAGAAACAGATGGACTACAGTCTGTAACTGTAGAACTACAAAGTGCACCTATATAGTAAGTGGAGCTGATAAAATGGACGGAGTGTAGAAACAAGGAGGTGGTCATAATGTTGTGCCTGATCGGTGTATGCTCGAATGGTAGATTCCTTGCTGCCGTGATCATTTGGTGAGCACTATCTGTTCCTATAGTGGTGACCTTTAGTTTCCCAGTTCCAGACAGAACTTTAATTTTATCTAAACTTCCATCTGGAAACTTCTTAAAATGAAACTCTCTGTTCGGCACACAGGGAGATGTTTCCTCAGCCATCGTGTTTCTATGTTTGCGCCTTTCAGTAAATCCACGCAGGAATTACGGGAGAAAGTTGGGGTCAAACTTGGTAATATGATTAATTTGCGTTAAAAATATTAATGCATTAATGTCTCCAGATTAATCATGAGTGTTAATGCTTTAACATTGACAGCTCTAGTTTTAATTCCATTTGAACACAAATAAAAATGAGTCGCTTAAAGCTACACCTTCTAAGATGTAGGGGTTTAGAGACCTTTCTTGTGGAGTGGTCTTCATCCGTATCATGTTATGCATGTGTTGTTAATATGTAAAGATGTTTGACATGGTCTGAAAAAGTCCCAACCCAATGACTATGACTTTTAACTGATTATTTCAGGCTTTACAGGGCGGCCTGCAGCAGCCATATTTTAGCCATTTTTCTCCTGACTCAGTAATGATACTTCCAACAAAGGAATCTTATGCAGTGCAGCTTTAAAATTACAGCTGTATGTTCGCTGTTCGTCCTCATTCATTTTCTTGTAATAAATTGGAGAAATATTTACTTTTATAACTGCGCCATATACATTTTACATAGTGTAAATTAAAAACACAGTGATTTAATAGTATTATCATGAACTTGGACATGGACATTCATCATATTGCTTCATTGGCTGTGTTTACATGCAAAGATTTTTGCCAATCCGATCTACACAGTCAAGTCACATTATTATGACCACCAGCTAATATCCAGAGTAACCGCCATGTGCAGCACGGACAGCAGCCAGACGGGCTGGGAGTGACTCAGTAAGGTCCTGGTAGGTTGTCACAGGTATGTGGAGCCATGCTGACTGCAGTGCATCCCACAGCTGCTGGAGGGGGCGTGGGGGAGGATCCATAGAGCGAACACGACGATCGAGGTGGTCCCACAGATGCTCAGTTGGGTTCAAGTCTGGGGAATTAGGGGTCCAGGGTAGTACTCGGAAGTCATGGTCATGCTATTCCAACCAATGTCGGACATTTCTAGCCATGTGACACGTCGCATTGTCTTGCTGGACGAATGCCACGAAAACATTCCCCAGACCATAACGCTGCCACCACCAGCTCGTGGACATGAAGTGGTCGTAATAATGTGACTCGACTGTGTAATACATTCCATTATAGGTGAAGACTGACGTGTTTATATGCTCACTCTACTCAACAATGTGACGGAAAATCTTCGTTCACATCCACACTACAAGTAATCCAAACCATTTTCTGAGACACATAAGCTGGACGTCCGTCCCACTGCCGTCTTTTAAAGATCAGAGCATAAACTTCGTCTCCTCTGCAGACCAGTTTCTGCTCCGCCATGTTGAACGTTATAAACTTTCACTATGACGTGACGAACATGATCAGAACGGACCTCAACTTTCTGATAGGGAATGTAATCAGATACAGATGTTTACACTGATATTATTCTTCTATTTAACGGATTATTTACAGGATTACCCACCTCATTCAATCGGATAGAAATTGTATTCCGAATGGCCTCAATCGGACTAGACTTTTCCGATTGAGGTGTTTACATGGACGTATTCTATTCCGATTGAGCTATTAGTCGGATTGTTAACAGATTATCAGGCTGCATGTATATGTGGCTACTGTTCTTACCATAAGTAAGAAACAACACCAACAGACCTGAAATAAAAACAAAAACCATTATAGTACATAACTGGGTCAGTCATACATCAACAATGGGTTATATTCATAAACAGCAGGGCTTTAGTATTTCAAGGCTATGTGAAAAACTACGGTTCTAGTTCATCTGTGAAACTGAACAAAATACCAGATATCCGTTGCTGTGGTCACTGGTTCCTGGTGCACAATTTCAGGGGCCACAAATTCAGGGGTCCCATAAACACTGTACTGGTGTCTGGAAATGTCAATCTCCTGGCAGAACCCAAAGTCACAGATTTTAAGCTCCTCTCTCTCAGGGGACACCATTAGGATATTGTCTGTCTGCAGGATGACAAATAAAAACACTGGTCAAGTGTATTTAATATCATGTATACTTTAAAGCAGAATATATTTTGCTTTATTTATTTGCTAATGATTTCAGGAGAAAATGCTGCAGTGTGTTACAGGTGGCACTGAATGTTACAGTATATTAAAATACTGACTTACTTTGATATCGAGATGCAGGATGTTCATGCTGTGAATATATCCAATCCCCTCCAGAAGCTGCTGAATGTACATCCGGACCTGATAATCAATAAAGCTCACTCACTATAAACTTAATAAGATTGAGTAGATATTATTTATCATTGCCTTTATACTTTTATTACCTCTCGCTCTGTGACGGTTCCTTTTAGTAGCAAATGATCCAGTAATCCTTGAGAGGAGCAGCTGTAAAAAGATAAGTTGCTAAGAAAATTACAGGGAGCTTAAAAAACAGCATATCACAGAGTGCGTTCACATGCACTTAGTAATCTGATAACTGCAGAAAATCTGATTTTGTCAGTAATCCGATCAACGCATTTGTACGCGCTTGATAATGGGAAAACTCTGGGTCTCCATGAGTCAGACAATAATCGGATTACTGCTAACATAACATAACATAAAACTCAAATGTCATGACGCAGTTTTTTTTAATAAACATCGAACATACATCATCTAGAAGATGAAGAATTTTTAAATCCTTCATTTCATGAAATGTAGTCGGTTTCAGCATCGCTCCAAAAGTGTTTTGCTGCATCTCGCAGTGACGCTGCTCGCTTACATCTGGTACCGCGGCCTGTTTTCGCACATGCTCAGACTGAGAAATTCGAAAGAAATCAGAGTAAGAGTTTACATTCACTGAGAAATCTGATTACTGAGCTAAAATCCAGCCTCTTAATCAGATTTCTTAATCAGATTTCTAGACCCTACTCCAATCTAAGAAATCAGAGTGTGCTGTTTACACGACCACTTGAATAATCAGATAACTGCAGAAATCCGATTATGATTGGATTATCAAATGCATGTAAACACACTCAGTGTCCTTTGCAGCACACAGACAAAAGTACAGTGTACAGAATGATATATAGTCTCTCTTGAATCTCCATAGAAAATCATTTTTTGTTTTAGAAAAATGATGTATAAACTAAAGAAAACGTTTTGTTTAATATAAAAAACGTGACAAGTAGGCAAAATCCTTTTCTAGTAGGTCGCCACTGTCGCACTGTGATGAAATGGCTGCACTGAATCCAGTTCTATGGAAAATAAGGCAGTCAACAAGTTTTTCTCTTGGGTAGTGTCGTGTTCTGCACTCTTAAAAAAGATGGTTCTTCAAGGGTTCTTTAGCAAAAAAAGGTTCTACATAGAACCAGAAACACTCACAGAACCCTTTGCATGATTAAAGGGTTCTCTGCATCATGAAAGTGTGCTTCAGATTGGTGGAGAATGGGCTGTAGATGGTTCTATATAGAACCTTTTTCAAAAGGGTTCTGTATAGGCTAAAAGAGTTCTGCTATTGTTATGATGTCAAGCTTGTCATAATAGAAGAACCCTTTTAGCCTATACAGAACCCTTTCAAAAAGGTTCTATATAGAACCATCTACAGCCTATTCTCAAACCTTTTATCATGCAAAAGGGTTCTCTGAGTGTTCATGACTCTATATAGAACCACACACACACACACACACATATACATTATCTAAGCCGGTTATCCTTCTGGGTCACGGGGTCTATATAGAACCATTTTTGCTAAAGAGCCCATGAAGAACCATCTTTTTTAAGAGAGTGGCTCATACTTCAGGTTAAATATTGTGAGTTAGATTAGACATTTAGCTCACTGTTCTTTCCTCATTGGGCGAGAGAGAGCAAAAATAACCAACGACAAAAATAGCAACCTACTTGTAAAGGTGTTTTGTCTACGTTTAATAAAATGTTATTTAACACAATATTTTAATAGTACAAAATATGTATTTTAATTTATGCACCATACTGGGGCTTACATGTCTTTTTTGTTTGTTTTTTGTATCTTTAATGTAAAAGTAGAGTGAGATGACCCCTACATCTCTGTAATGAGGACAAGGGTCCGGCGTGTACAGAAGAAGTCCAGTAGGCAGACCAGCCTGCAGTGAGCCAGCCGGGACAGCAGGTCTCTCTCCTGGAAGGCCCTGGTCCTCGTGCTGCTCCTCAGAGGGATGAACTTAGCAGCAAAAACCTCCTCACTCGCCCGGTGTGTGACTCGCTTCACCACCCCAAAAGTGCCCCTACAAACCACAGAGGAGGAACAGGCTGGTACATTTACTGACCTCAACAAACAATGAATGAAATACATTCCAAACACTAAAATGTATTTCAGAATATATTGCCATATTGACCCAATATAATTTGATACACATTTCTTTTAAAATGTATGGGGAAATATTACACAAAGAAATGTACCATACAAAAACAATGTAAACAATTATGTAAATGTATTTATCAAGTACATTTAAAAATGTATGAAAATAGTCAACATAGTGTCTAATGCACTTTACTCACTGCAAAAAATGGTATCTTAGCAAGTGTAAACATCTTAAATGTAGTCAATATATCTAATATTTCTAATTATGAGACTGTAGTAAGAATATTATAAGATTATTTAACTTATTTCTAGAATTTTTAAAATCGTTTTTAAGCAGTTTTATCTTATAAAAGTGTCTTAATCCATTGGCAGACCATTCTTGAGTCGAGTCACATTATTATGACTTCATTCATTATTCATTATTACTTCATGTCCACGAGCTGGTGGTGGCAGCGTTATGGTCTGGGGAATGTTTTCGTGGCGTTCTCTGGGCCCACTCATCCATGTGGAAGGCACTCTCAACCGATTTGGGTGTGAATCCATCCTTGCAGACCACGTACACCCATACATGCTGATTGCCTTCCATGGGGCAGATGGGATCGTCCAGCAAGACCTACCAGGACCCACCTTACTGAGTCACTCCCAGCCCGTCTAGCTGCTGTACGTGCTGCACACGGCGGTTACTCTGAATATTAGCTGGTGGTCATAATAATATGACTCGACTGTGTATAAGATTATAAGGTTCAGGCTGTCACGCCTCCCACCGGGGACGCCTCCTTTGCCTGTTCTCTTTCTCCTGCAGGATCAGTTGAGTCCACAGACTGTGTAGAGGACTCCAAGTCCCATGAGCCATTGGAAGATCATGTGACTCCCCTCACTTCACCATCCACCAATGAACATTCATTCCTACGCTCCTCCTCACCAGAATTCTGGATTCACACCCGTTTATCATCACTCGTCGTTAGCTAGTCCGTATTTAAGCCCGGCCTTTAGACTAGCACACTGCAAAATATTGCCAACCTCCCCTGCTGAGCGTTCTGCTGAGCGTTCTGTCTTTGTTAAGCTTTTTCGTGTATGACCTGTTTTTGACCTACCCGTGTTCGTGTTTGCCCTTGTCGGTTTGTTTGCTGTGATTATTCCGATCTCTTGGTTTTGAACGTGGGCTGGTAAATGGTAACACTCTCTTGATGACCCTTTGGTTATGATTATTATGCTCTCTGGTTTTGACCTTGGACTATCACGACTACCCTCTTTGTGATTCTCCTAAACCTCAGTAAACTACAACCTTGTTTTTTAATCTGCGACCATCTGATCTGTTTCGATTTCCCAAAACAAGTCTGGTTTTTTTTTGGCCAAGACGTTCAAAATATCCACCTTTTCTGGCCTGAGGCTTGACCCCTGAATGCAGTGAGCCAGACTACCAGTAAGGTGTCGTTGTGATGTCACAACACATGGAGGTTTGGTTGCCTCTGATTGGTCTAACTCATCTACAGGCAGTTCACAAGCTCTGTGTTATTAGGTTGAACTTCCCCACTTAACACTTAAGACCACCTTTATGATAATGTTGGCTATGATTTAAAAACTGCAGCTGTTACGATTTGAAAACTGCACTTAAATTGCGATTTTGACACAAAAACAATTAACCTTTCAGCCCTAATGGATCTCTGAGTTGACGTTACCTTCCAATCTCTTCATGGACATCATAAACAGAGTGAAGCTTCCTCCTTCTCCCCACCTCCACCTCCACCTCCACCTCCCTCTCCTGCTCTTCTTCAAACTCCTCAGGACCTGAAAAAGGGCATACTGTCCATAACAGCCTCATATTCTCTATTATTATTATTATAAGCTCTCCTGCCACTTTGCAATTATTTAATGTCTATTCCCAAAAATAGCTGAAAGTGCAGATTTACTGGGGTTACTTACCTGTGTCCACTGTGAGCTGGGCGTGGCAGGAGGCATGTCCTGATCTGTTTGTGGCTGTGCAGGTGTACGTGCCACAGTCAGCAACATTCACACCCAGCAGATTGAGAGAGCAGCGAGCTCCACTCTGGACCAGCTCAGTGTGCTCACCGGAGACGAGCTTAATACCGTCCTGCAACCACAGAAAACAAAGAGGATTAAAGGACTTGCTTCATCTACGGGGCTGCAGTGACCTGCACACTAAAGTGCAGTCAGTTCTGGACACTTCAGTCAATAACTGAAGCTGCTGCAAGGGTGTCAGAGTGGGGCTAAAAACCAGTGTGTATCACTGCTCCGTACCTTTAACCAGGTGATCTCTGGGATGGGCTGCCCAGTAATAACAGCAGAGAAAGTTGCAGGTTGGCCAGGTCTTACACACAGGTCCTCCATGGCCACCTGCACCTCAGGAGGATCTGTGGAGATACAATCACAACTAGAAAAGTGCAGCTCCTGAAGAACATCCAGAGTGATTGTTCAGTTAAGCAAATCCCAGGTGGTTGCAATGATATCCCATATGGTTATTTGGGTGTTGCTAGGTGGTGGCAATGGCATCCCAGGTAGTTGCTAAGGTATTCTAGGTGGTTGCTAGGGTGTGTTCTTAGGTGGTTTCTATGGTTTCCAAGTTTACTGCTAGGCTGTTGTTAGCTGGCTGCTATGGTATCTCTGGTGGTTGCTAGGATGTTGCTAGGTGGTTACTATGGTATCTTGGATGGAAGCTGGGGGGTGGCTTGGTGGTTGCTATGGTGTTCCATGTGGTTACCATGGGATTAAGTGGCTGCTATGTTTTTCCATCTAGTTAGGCTGTTGCTAGGGTATTACTATGTGATTGCTAGGGTATTTCTGATGGTTCTAGGGGTGTTGCTAGGTGGTTGCAATGGTAATGCAGGTGGTTGCTAGGGTGTTGCAATCTGGTTGCTATAGTATCCAAATGGTTTCTATGTTATCCTAGGTGTTTCCCTGGGTGTTGCTAGCCAGTTATTATGGTATTCCCTGTGGTTGCTATTGTGCTGCTAGGTTGTTGCTGTGGTAGTTCAAGTGGTTGCCAGGGTGTTGCTAGGTGATTGCTGTGGTGTTCCATGTGATTGCCATAGGATTAAGTGGTTGTTATGTTTTTCCAGATAGTTAGGCAGTTGCTAGGGTGTTACTATGTGGTTGCTAGGGTATCTCAGATGGTTCCAGGGGTTTTGCTAGGTTGTTGCAATGGTAATCCAAGTGGTTGCTAGGGTGTTGCTAGTTGGTTGCTATGGTATCTACGATGGTTTCTATAGTATCCTAGTTGTTTCCCTGGGTATTGCTAGGCAGTTATTATGGTATTCCCTGTGATTGCTAGTGTGCAACTATGTTGTTGCTTTGGTAGTCCAAGTGGTTGCCAGGGTGTTGCTAGGTGGTTGCTATGGTGTTCCATGTGGTTACCATGGGATTAAATGGTTGCTGTTTTTCCAGGTAGTTAGGCTGTTGCTAGGGTGTTACTATGTGGTTGCTAGGGTATTTTAGGTGGTTCCATGGGTGTTAGGTGGTTGCAGTGGTAATCCAGGTGGTGGCTAGGGTGTTGGTTAGCAAGTTGGTTGCTATGGTATCCAAATGGTTTCTATGGCATCCTAGGTGTTTCCTTGGGTGTTGCTAGGCAGTCGTTAAGGTATTCCATGTGGTTGCCAGGGTGTTGCTAGGTGGTTGCTATGGTATTATAGGTGTTTACCAGGGTGCTCACCTGCGTACTCATCCTCCTCTGTCTCGGAGATAAAAAATGTCTTGTTGGACTCCACTGAGGTCTCTTCTTCTGGAACGTCCTCTCGTCTCTCCTGAATTTCCTGTTTGTCTTCAGCTTGAGTCTCACTTGGACCACCTGCAGATCTGCAAAATAACAAAGCAGGGCTTCTAACGGTGGGATGCTTATGAAATATGCAATATTTCCTTAAAGTGTTAGACCCTTTAAACATGATAAGCATTGATTAAATGCCGTAAACAATTAACCTTACATGTACAAATATGGACTCACTGTTTGGAGGATCCAGACTGAAAGAACATGTGGAACAGGTTCTTCACCAAAGCACTGGACCAGCCTTCTGATTCTGTATCTGCATCCAAAGAGAGAGTTAATTACCATCTTACGGCTCTATTCCAGATGCTTACAGACTATGTAAATAATTAATCTTCTATTCTTTGTATACATTTAATTTAAAAGACGCTGCTATCAAATCAGCATGTTTACATTGGTTGAATGGTACAGATAAGAAGTATACGTTTAAAAAATATGCATAGACAGTCCAGTGCAAAAGTCAAAGACCACCCTTCTTCTATTTAATTTCAACTGGCCATTAAGTAAAAGTAATTCACTTTTCAGCATCAAGAAAAAAGCAGAAAGTATATTTTAACAGAAAATGACACAGAAGCCTCAACAACTAAATCTAATCTCAGCTGTTTCAGTTTTCAGTGTGTCGCTCTTCATCTTTGTTCCAGCTTCCATTCTTTTCAGGAGACTCACTTTCAGGTCCTCAAAGAATCTGTAGACACGCATCCAAAGTTCAGTCTTAGAAGTTGGTTGATCATTTTCTGAAGTAACGCATTCAGTGGTGTTGAGGTCTGGACTCTGGGGTGGTCAGTCCATTGTTCAGCTTCTTTGTTTGATGTGTCCGTCTCCTTTTCTCAGTGAGGTTCTTCTTGATCAGCTACACATCCTTTCAGACCCACAGCACTGAGTCGTCTTCTCACAGTGGAAGGATGGACAGAAACACCTGTGGATGTTTTCAGATCTGAAGCAGCTTGATTTTCTCCTCTCTCTCAGAGATGAAAGCTTTAAGTGCTGTTTATCTGATGGGAGCAGTGCTGGGGTCTACCAGGTCTTCCAGGTGGTTGTTAGGAGTCACATTTTCTCTGTAGATTTCAAAACATTTTTCAACAGTTTTGGATACTCCTGTTTTTCTTTTTTTTCCCCTTGACTTTTCACATCAATATGCAAGTGGATTATCCTGTTTCTAATCTCCTCAGAAACATCTCCTGAAAAATAACTAACTTGTACTTAATGGCTGCTTTGACTGAAAATTAAATTAATGAAGGATGGTCCCTGATTTTTGCACAGAGTAGTATGTGTCTGTTTATATGGCAACCAAAAAGAAGTTCGCACTTACCTTTATGATTCTGTGAACATAAACAGTGTTTTTACAGCACTATTCATGACTGTGATTTTGCTTTATTGAAACACATATATAGACTTGCCACAACACTTGGGTCTAAGCACATAACCAGGTCTGAAGAAGCTGGACAAGCACTGAACAAAGAGAGTAATGAGTTCATGGGTGAGAGAGAAAGAAAGGAGGGGGGTGCACAGACAAAAAGAATGAGAGAGAGAGAGAGAGAGAGAGAGAAGCGGGGAGAAAGAGAGAGCTAGAAAGACCAGCAAGTGAGAGAGTAAGAGAAAGAGCAGTGAAAATAGAGGATAACAGAGAAAGAGACAGAAAAAGAACAGAGAAAGAACAGAAAGAAAGAGAGTGAGTGAGAAAGACAGCAGAGAGTAAGAGAAAGCGCTCTCTTTCTTCAGAGGAGACAGAAATGAGAGAGAGAGAGAATGACAGAGAGAGGAGAGAGAGACTGTGGGCGTCTCCTCTGTCGTTGTGAGGACACTTACATGAGGATGGCTCTGATTGGACCTTTAGTCTCCTGCTCTGGGACTAAAAAAGGAAGTGGGATGAAGAGAATGGAGTTAAACAGGAAGTGTGGATGAACATGACTGAACTTTTGGTTTCCAAAAGCCACTAATGACCTCCCTGTGTGACATGAGTGACTTTCGATCATGAAGACAGTCAGGAACGAACAAGTTTTTGAGTGAAAAGTTGTGTAAATGATAACTGTAGCACATGGAGCATGACATGATGATCCAATACACACCACTGAACCTTCAATGCACTGACATGTGTCTGAGGATGGTCAGATGGTATGATGGTTATGAATGATGGTCTGATAGATTCCACCAATTTCACCTACAAAAGCAACATTTTCTAGGGAAAATATAGATAAAAATAGTTAGTATTGATGCTGATGTAGTATAACTGTGTGTTCTCTTCACTGCCAGAAGAGAATGGAAGCTTGGAAGAGAATGCTAACTGCCCGATTACAGGCTATTATGCTAATGCTAAAGGCCATTATCCCCAATTATTCTCTCTTATGTCATGTTTCAGTACCAGGTTTAACAAAACCTCGTCCACTTGGCCTCACCTTTTCCCCTCAGGTGAATCCCTGATGCCATCTTAAAGGGGAATTTGTTAAATATTCTGCATAAGCAAACGATTAAAATGTAATCAGAGCCGTTCAGAGTGGTTTGGTGTGAAACGCTCTGTTCTAGAGAAACTTACCGAGCCAGAATTGTTCACAGTGGTGGTGATAGGAACCAGACGTCCACCTCTAAAAGCTCCCTCACAGAAAGTTATTATATGAAATGGTTATGAATTCACGGCCTGATGTCTGAAATATTGTTTTACGATAGTATTTAAAAGGTTTTGGTCTAAATGTATTTTTTAAATGCATTCTTGGTGGAGGGACACATGCAGGCAAAATAGTCCAAAATAGTCCAAAATTTTTTCAGATTTTCCACTATTTTACCATCTTCAACATTCCATATATAAACCTTGGATAGTAAATAAAATGTCTATATTTGTGTTGTAGTCATGGCGACCCCTGGTTCCTATCACCACCACTGTAAACAAATCTGAACCATTTCAAACCAAACCACTCTGAATCACTCTGTTTACATCTAGACCACTTAATTATGCAGAAAACTAAACACACAAAAGTTTTACACTACAAAGTTTGCATGGCCAATTAGCCCAGGGTGAGTATGTTCCGATTGAAAAATCTTTTTCTCACTGTTCCCTCCTCCCTTTACTGCGATTGGCAACTTTAATGTAAATGTGAAGCACTTCTAAGTGGTGAATCAAAGTTGCTAAAGGGTATGTTGAAAAATACTGAAGCAGGACCTTTTGTTTCTCAGCCAGACTGTGGAATCAAGAGGATTCAAACCAGTGATGTTCTAACAACAGGGCAAAACTTCAGACCTCCCTGCACCGTTATTTAAGGTTTAAACACAGGGTACCACTTTAAAATAAGACTACCCTTATAAAGCGTTTATGAATGCTTTAAAATGAGTCTGTTAATGGTTATTAGATAGGTCATAAACACTAAGAAATCATTAATACACAGTTATAACACAGTAATACAAAGGGCACAAGTAAGCTGTTACATCTGACGAGTTAAATGCTGACTGATGGAGACAAAGTAAGATCAGTACAACATTAAAATCTGAGGTTTAAAGGTATAAATGAATGAGGGATCACTATTACACTGTTAAAGATAGAGGTCAACTCAACTCAAAATGATATTGTAACTGATTTCATGGCTTTTCTTGAGTTGACTCAACTTGAGGACACCAGTTCACACAACTCAAACTTCTTAGTTGAGTCAAAAGTTCTCTTAATTTTTTAGTTCTGCATCTCAGTGAGGTAAATAAGATGAACTTGTTTTTTATACTCATCTTCCCCACCAGCCAGGACTCTCTCCATCCACAATCCTGCTGGACATTTTTCCTCTTGGGTACACACGTACGGATGGCTATGGCATCACTGAGGCTTAAACCCACAACTTCCTCTTGGGGTGACAGCTTAGTCCACTGGACCACTCAGGAACACACGAAGCAGCTCAGATTTTGTGTCTACAGATGTTTAATACAATTGAGAAAATATCTGTTGTTTTAACGTTAAAGCATGGTGCCGTCTGACGTGGTGCAATGGTCTAATAAATCATCCCAACATCAGGAGGTTGTGAGTTTGAATCCCAGCAATACCACAGCTGTCCATATCCAAAAGCCCAAGAGGAAAATATGCCAGATGGGGCTGTGTGACAGAAGAAGCGCCAGCTAGTGGAGTAAGTAAAAACTGAGTAAAAAAAACTCAAATTCAGTTTTGTTTATGTAACTGAGATGCGGACCTAGAAACAGTAGCTGGGAGACTTTTTGACTCAACTAAGAAGTTTGAGTTGTGTGAACTCTGGTGTCCTCAAGTTGTGTCAACTCAAGAAAAGCCATGTAATCAGTTACGATATCATTTTAAGTTGAACTGACTTCTCATTTTTTACAGTGTAGGCAAACAACAGGTCACTGCTGCCCTTTTTATGTATGTGCTGTAACTGCTTATTAATGATTTTAAGGTCTTTATGACTTCATTAATTACAGATAATAAGCTCAAATTAAACCGTTCATGAACCTTTATAAGGGTAGTTCTTTTAAACTGGTACCAAACATACTTGATCAAGCTCATCGACTGATTATTAAGCCTGTCATGAGTTGGATCAGGCAGGCAGAGGCAGAACAGGAGCAGGATTAGGAAACCCTGCTTTAGACAGTTGTGTTACTTTTGTAAAACCAAACTCATTCAAGACTTATATTACAGCTGCAATCAATGATATGATAATGAACCACGGCTTAGAATTTTCGATCTGAATGTTTTATTTATTTGTGCTGTTTGTCAACGATGGAGGTAGAAAAGCTCTTTCAGAAACTGAGATATCAGAGTTTTTGTATGGAACGAATTTAAGTGTGAACAAAAACGGCTTCACATATCCACGATTGCAGCTTCACTCCAGGTCTCAGAGTTTGGGTTCTCAGGATGAGCGTCAGGTTAGAGATAAGGGATGGTAACAAGGAAGGTTCGATGATGTCTGGGGAAATCGGAGGGATGGAACGACTGACGGTTGTAATAGAAGTGAAGTGGAACCAGGGAAGGAATGCGGTATGTGCTCTGTCAAGTCCACGTGGGTGATCCTGAGACTGAGGCACTTCTGAGAGGAATATTCTCCAGGGATAAATGAGTGATTTCCCTGCTCTGAAATGTGAGTTATTTACTTTGTCCTGTGTGGACTCTCCTACCTGGAGCTGAGGCGACCAGTGGTTTGTCTTTAGGGCTTTCTGCTGCAGGAGGTGGTGCAGAATACAGCTGCGCTTTGCACTTGGCACTGCCCACCTCATTCAGCAACTAAAACACAGACAGACTGAAATCATACCTACACTGTAAAAAAGGTTTATCTGTTTATCATAAAAAATGGCTAAACTGATTTATATTATAAAAATTATAAATATTATAAAAAACAAAAATTAATACATTAATTAATAAAAACAGTTCAGCCGGTAGTTACCACATGAAGTTTTTTTAGACCACATTTGTGCTGGGTCAATTTTATGTAAAGAGGTACAAAAACATAAGTAATTACAGGAGATTCTGATTTTAGTTCAGTATGAATCAGTGTTTACAGTCTGACAGTAATAATTGTGGAGTGATTTTAATCCAGTATGAATCTGCAGTGTGTAGTTTTACAGTCTGACAGTAATAATTGTGGAGTGATTTTAATCCAGTATGAATCTGCAGTGTGTAGTTTTACAGTCTGGCAGTAATAATTGTGGAGTGATTTTAATCCAGTATGAATCTGCAGTGTGTGTAGTTTTACAGTCTGACAGTAATAATTGTGGAGTGATTTTAATCCAGTATGAATCTGCAGTGTGTAGTTTTACAGTCAGATGGTAATAATTGTGGAGTGATTTTAATCCAGTGTGAATCTGCAGTGTGTGTAGTTTTACAGTCTGACAGTAATAATTGTGGAGCGATTTTAATCCAGTATGAATCTGCAGTGTGTGTAGTTTTACAGTCTGACAGTAATAATTGTGGAGCGATTTTAATCCAGTATGAATCTGCAGCGTGTGTAGTTTTACAGACCTTTCAAAACCATGCTTTCTGTGAGAATTTGGGAAAATGACACAGATTATTACAGATTATTTATCATTTGTCCCATACCTCACACTCATATTGCCCCAGGTCTGCCTCCTTCGCCTTCTTTATAATTATTTTGAGGACCCCTGTCTGCATATCAGTGTGAATTTCATATTTCTTGGTATTCCCCAGCTGTTTGTTGTCCTTAAACCACCTATACAATAAATAAAATTAAAAAAAAAAGATAAATAAATAAAATAAAGTATTAAACCACTGACATGCATGTTTAATCTGACTGTACTTCTATGGGTAATCAGCTTTACCTCACAGTGGGCACAGGAATGCATCCAGTTGAACATTGGAACTGCACATCTCTGCCTTTCACCAGCAGAGTGTTCTGAAGTTTGGTAGTAAAACTTGGAGGCACTGTAAAAGACAATCAGATATGGACTTAAACAAGATCAGGCTTCTATCTTGCTTTGTTTTGTATTGTTTGTGTGTATGTTTTGATGTTTCCCTGCTGACGGAGGAGTATCCACCGAGATAGCAGCCAAGAGTGATTTTCCACCCATGGCTCAGAGGTTCCTTGGGCTGGCCATTTGGGTAACGCTACATCACAGATATGATGCAGCCTGGACCGGCCGCTCGAGTGACACTGTATTGCGGCTACGAGGCTGCCTGGACCGGGACCTGAACGACGCTACATTGCTATGTTGCTGCTTGGGCCGACTGCTTGGATAACGCAGCACTGCAGCTATGGGGCTACCTGGACTGGTAGTGTTCAGCTGTGTGAGCAGTGCTACAGCAAGGCTAGGAGGTCTCTCGAGCCTGCCGCCTAAGCGACGCTACATCGCAGCTACGTGGCTGCTTGGGTGACGCTGCACTGCAGCTATGAGGCTGCCTGGACTGGACTGGTGGTGTTTAGCTGTAGGAAAATGCTACCCCTTCATGGCAGACATGCTGCTTTTTTCACTGTACCTTTAAGACTAAGCTTTTCCCACTGCACCTTTAAGACTAATGTAAATAAGCTCTGTTCTGATTGGCTGCCCTGTGTTGTGCCTCATTCAAAAAGCTGTCCAGGCTGAAACACTCCTTATAGCTTCCGCATGAACGGGCAGAGCTAAAGTGCTATAGGCTAAATAAGCAGATAGATGTAAATGGTTTGGTTTTCCATGACGTCACAAAAAACTTAATTCAAAATGGGCTGTTTTTACAGTTTAGCTTCTCTATATGGACTGTACTGATACAGGAGTATGTTTGAAATTTCAACAATGTTTACATACTACATTTAACTCTTATTTTAAAAAAGCGAGGAAATTTGGTTCTCCATTATACGGGTTCTTTAAGCTAGCTTGCTAACTTGCATTTAGTTCTACTGTTAATGTAAATAGACAATGCACTCCAAGTGTGGAAGCCTATGGTTACTAATTTTGCAATATATTTTACTTTAAAGCATGCTTGTCATAAATCATCCACTTAAAAACATTTATAAAATTCTGAAAACTGGAAATGCTTCGGATGAACTTCATGAGACCATTGCTTTAACTGTGTTTAGTAACTTTCCAACTTACCAACAACAGTGATCTTGGCCAGAGTGCTAGCGTTACCCATAGGGCTAGCTGCATAACACATGTACTGACCAGTGTCTTCCCCCGTCACGGAAGCCAGAACCAAATAGCAGGCACCTGAGTGTCCCTCTGAGATGATATGATGCTGGTCATCTTTCACAACAACACCATCTGCAAAAGCAAAAAGCATTTAAAACTGTGTGCTGGTCCATTAAATGCCCTGAACATTACAAAGTATGTTTACCTTTGTACCAAGTTACTGCTGGTTTTGGGGTTCCAGTGACTTTGCAGGCCAGTTTTACAGTTTGTCCAATTTTAGCTGTGGATTCATTTAGAATCAGCTCAAAACACGGCGAACCTAACGACACATAAAAGGAGATATTTTCTGAATTAGCAACCTGTCAATAAAACAAAGTCCATATTTTTTTCTTAGAAATTAATTAATTCTAGGAATTAATCAGGCAACAGACTCTAGGTAAATATTTTGGATAACATGATGGTAAGTTCCAAGGCATGCTAGCTAAATTACACTGAAATGCACAACAGTTTCTAGGTAATAATTCAGTTTGTATGGGGTACAAACTTCACAGTACTGTGTGATATTTTGGGTAAAAAATACCAGGTAGTTATATAATGTAAAAAGAAGTACAAAGAGTATCATATGGATCCCTCTACCAAACTGATTCAAAGTCAGAGTTGAAATCACATTTCAGATTTTAACTGATTTGGACTTTAGACTAAAATCATTTTGCTTTGAGTGACTCTAAACTTTAATTATGTTTATTTTATTAAAACAAATGATTGAATATTCCATTTTGTCACCAACAGAACAATTATAACTCTACCCAAACTTTACCAAATGTTTCGGTAGTGACAGTTTCAGTAGTGACAGTTTTAGCTCATTTTGAGCTCAAAAACACAGCTGGTACATGACCAGCGAACACAGCTTTGAACAGCTGTTCACACATAAAATCATCATATTTCTCATTAAAACACAGAATATGACAGTTCTTAAAGTCTGATTTTCAGACTTTGGGACACATTTATTTCAAAACAATGGGATCTAACTGCTCACCATGTGGCCATGAGGGACATAAACTAAAAACTAAACTAAAACTCTCTTTGTGTTTCAGTAGTGACAATTTTACATTTTTAAGATTTTTTATTCTTCTTTTATTTAAAAAATAAACTTATGATAAATTTATCTCAATTCTTTAAAATAACATTGGCACAATAAACTTTTTGACTTATTTACATCTTTATGTATTTAGCTTATTACTATCTCTACTGATACTCTGGGTTTAAACAGATCATGACACAATCCTTGTAAATATCTAAGGTCTGAACACCTTATTGTGTTTTTAAATTGTTCTTTCACTGTGGGACCGCAGTTTGAACTAATTCATTGGAACGGTCCATAAACTAAACTGAATGTGGGCTGAAAGAGAAAGCAGTGATCTTACTGTGTTTATCCTGGCTTCTCACTGTTTACTTCAGAAAACTATCTTTGTATTTTGTGCGGTCATTTTACACCACATGAGTACCAGATACCTGGAGGTGTTTCTTTCCTGATTTACTTGATTTACTTTTCTGGTTAAACCCTGTGACATTACGGTGAAACTTGGTGTGAACATGTTTATAATTATGAGATATTTCACTATGTCCTTTATCAGTTAAATAGCTAGAACCTGTTTCATTTCAGTGTAATTTAGTGAAACTGTCTTGGAACTTGCCATCGTGTTATAATTATAATAATCTAGAACTTCGGAGTTCTAGATTATTATACCTGGTTAATAGGGGACTGTAAAAGAAAGCTTTAAAAAGCCAAGTATGTTAGCTGACACCTTTACGAACATCTGCCCACAGCGCCTGCATGTTTTGCAGATGTGAAGTATAACTCACTCCATAGTGGAATTCTGCTGCGCTGCTGGAGGTCCCGGAGGTCTTTGAGCCAGGACAGACGGGTGAGCATAGTGCGCGCCTGAAGAGTGATCTTTCTGACTGTACCGCGATGTTCATGCCACAGACCCCAGCATCTGTCGTCCCCTTCCACTGTGTCCTTCAGATCAATGTCATTTAGCTGTAAGCAGATGAAAACCAATGTCAATCATAAAAACTATATTCAGTCATATTTAGTCATTGAACTGATGCCCAAAGCAGTATTTCGACGCTGTCCGAAAAAAAACTTATCTCCATTTTTGACAATTTTTATTTTTCTGCATCATTTGAATGCAAAGGCTGTCCTCGACATTATGTGAAATTTCCAATATATGCTCCAGAATTACTTGGAATATTTTTTTTTACATAAACCTACATTAAAAGTTAAGAACGTTTTTGCCTTGTCTTTGTAAAATTTCTTGCTTTTCTTACAGTCACATCTGACCAAAGCAGACCTGGAGAAACTCATTATTTCTAGCAGGATTGATCACTGTAATGGTCACCTAACTGGACTCCCAAAAAATAAAGGTTCAATAAAAACAGCTTCAGCTGATTCAGAATGTAGCTGCCAGAGTCTCCCTAGGAGTAAAAAAGGAACACATTGGCCCCCCCATTCTTAAATCCTTACACTGGCTACCAGACTGTTACAGAATAGACTATAAGATACTATTACTGGTCTATAAATCGCTCAATGGTGCAGAAACAGCGTATTTATCTGATCTGCTGCAGCGATACGAGCCCAGCAGAACTCTTTTTTGTTTTTAATTTCTATTCTCATTTACTTTACTAAATGCGTATTTTCTGATTGTTTTTCTCATTAGTAAGTGCCTTGCTCAACGACACACTGGCAGCAACCACCAGCTCTCCTTTAGTTATTTGGCTGCTACTGAGTGATTGCAGACATAGCACCAGTTAAAACGTATGTCTAGATGGGTTTTCTAAGGTGGCATGAGATCTTAAGGGCTGACCTCTTTAGAGTCTAGATTAAATACACTTTAAATGGAATAGGGGGCTTCAACAGCACCCAGCCTTTCTGAACTATGATGATCTAATAAGCAACCTTCATCTTGTTCTTGAATACGTAAACTTCGGAATGAGTGTTCAAGTCTCTCTTCAGCTTGCAGAATATGACACAGTCCTTAAAGAGGAAGACGTGACGATGGTGACCTCTCAGTGAGATTTTGGTCCCAGGTGCTTCTTCCCATACGATAAAAGAACCCTGGGATGGAAACAGCAAAGAGATAATGGAGGTTAATCAGAGCAAAATCAAGTGTGATTACATCAACAAGCCTTACAGCAACAATCCAGGGCAACAAATGGGCAGTTCTGCTTACACTGAAGGATGGACTGGCTCAGAACGGGGTGTGACAATATATTTTAAAACACATTTATTTTAAAATGTATGGGGAAATATTATACATAGAAATGTACTATACAAAAATAAAAATAAGTAAATACATTAATCAAACACATTTGAAAATGTATGAAAATAGACAAAATACTATATAATGCACTTTACTGTTTGGATACCATTCATTTAATGAAATGAATTTATATTCCAGTATCTTAAATGTTAGCAGTTGAACCTTTAACATGACAAAAGCAAGCGCTGTAGGTATTGTTGCTCTGTGAAAATGCAGTTATGATTTGGTTTATTTGAAATACATTTGGTCTGAGTGCCTAACCGCATATGTACATGGGTTAGTTATATCTGTAATCTTTGTTAAAACTAAAACCCCATTTCCAAAAAAGTTGGGATGCTGTGCAGATTGTAAACAAAATTTGAATGCAATGATATGCAAATCATGTTTTTAAAGGAAAATATTACATAGACAACATATTAAATGTTGAAACTGAGAATTTTTTTGTTTTTTGAAAAATAAATGCCCATTTTGAATTTGATGCCAACAAGAAGTTCCAACAAAGTTGGGATGGGGGCCTGTTTACCACTGTGTTTCGTCACCTTTTAATACCACTCTGTAAGTGTTTGGGAACGGAGGAGACACTGCTGTAGATTTGAAAGTGATATAGGATTTCAGCTGCTCATCAGTTCAGGCTCTCCTTTGTTGTACTTTTCATTTCATAATGCGCCAAATGTTATCAGTGGGTGACAGATCTGGGCTGTAGGCAGGTCAGTTTAGCACCCACACTCTTTTAATACGGAGCCATGCTGATTGATTCGTTGGACCACAGGACACTTTTCCACTTCACCTCAGTCCATTTTAAATGAGCTTGGGCCCAGAGAAGGTAGCAGCATTTGTGGATGCAGTGATGAACTGTTTTCACAGACAGTGGTTTTCAGAAGTGTTTCTGAGCCCATGCAGTGATTTCCACTACAGAATCATGTCTGTTTTTAATGCAGTGCCGCCTGAGGGACCAAAGATCACAGCCAGCAAATACTGGTTTTTAGCCTTGTCCCTTACATACAGAGATTTCTCCAGATTCTCTGAATCTTTTAATGTTATTATGTATTGTAGATGATGAAAAACAAAAGTTCTTTGCTATTTTATGTTAGGAAACGTTATTCTTGAATTGTTGCACTATTTGATCGTGCAGTCTTTCACAGAGTGGTGAACCCCTCCTCATCTTTACTTCTGAAAGACTCAGAGGACTCAGCCTCTCTGAGATGCTCTTTTTATACCCAATCATGTTACTGACCTGTTTCCAATTAACCACCAGGTGTTTTTTTAGCATTACACAACTTTACCAGCCTTTTGTTGCCTCGTCCCAACTCTTTTTGGAATCAAATTTAAAATGGGCATATATTTTTCAAAAAGCAATAAATTTGATATGTTGTCTTTGTACTATTTTCAATTAAATATAGAGTTTAAATGATTTGCACATCATTGCATTTTGTTTCTATTTACATTTTTCACAGCGTCCCAACTTATTTGGAAATGGGGTACAAAAATACATCTAAAAAATATCTTTCATATGGGCACTCAATGCACATGACCTAATTATGTTAATGACATTAACATACATCCTGATTTGGATTTACATTCAATTTACATTCTGTATTGGGGTTCGAGTCTGCAGATCTGACTTTTTTCTGTTTGTTTCAATATCAAAAAGTGACAAAAAACAGCAAAAATGTAAAGGATGCAAAACAAAATAAAATATCTCCTCTTCCACTTACAAACACAAATGTTCTGTGGACTGAAAATTAGAATCTGCACTTTTCACACAATTTCTCCACTTCTTTATATAAAATAAAAGTATGCTTTTGTGATCATCAGTGATAACTGTAAAAGCTGCAATCAGTGATTCGTGAATGCACATCACACAACCACAACAGCCCATATTTAAGTGCCTCAGAGCGAGAAAACTAAGATCAGGTATCATCAGCCAATGCATTCATATTTAATGCTGTATAAAAGGCATGAACTGCTCCCAGATCAGCATTTGTGGAAGGCCAGAATACACAAACAAATCCCCAAATGTGACTGATGGGCTACCTGTCGAATTGGCTCTCCAAGTCCTTTAAGAGGTGCTGGGTAGTTCTCAATCAGGGACACATGCTGCAGGTTCTCTGCACGCCAAGGCAAGCTGGACACCATGGAAAAGGCATCCTCTAGTAAACAACAGCTCTGCCCACTCTTTGCTTTATTCCTTATCAACTCCTGCAAACAAAAACCAAGACTTGTCCAAGGCACATTTCAGAAATGTGATGACTGAAAAGAGTCAATAGAGCACAATTTACTCTATGAATAAGCCTGAATCAAGTAATAATCACAGTGACACCTTGAGGAGAGTCTTGTATGTCTGAATCCTCTCCAGCGGTCTCTGTAAGTAGGTGCTGACACTGAAGGTTTGAGTATCCGAATGTGCGAATGCAGTGTTGGCGAATTGCTGGAACAAAACAGTTGGAGAGTGAAGTCGACTGCAGAATGTACGTATTGATTAGAGATGCAAATGACTGACCAATTCTCTGTTAATCAACAAATAATCGATTGCTCAGCCAATGCTATTGTTTAAAAAAAAATACACTTTATTGGTAACACTTTGTGTTGCATTACACAGACATAACGATGCCATAAACATGTCATGGCAGGTGTCATATGCTTTCATAAGTTGTCATGACAAGTTGTGCCCTGCAATTTTACCATTGTCATTAATTGTCAAGACAGATGCCATAATGCAGTAGTTTTCAAACCAGTCCTCAGGGACCCCCAGATGGTCCACATTTTTGCTCCATCTCTATGTGTTGCAGGTTAGGTTAGAGCAAAATCCGGGCTGTGTAGTGCAGGGTTTTTCAACCACTTGGCCATGGACCAGAAATGGGCCTCAACACACCCTTTGGTGGTCCTCGGGCCAATACTGAGGGTGTGCCAGTGTAGAGAGCCACTTTGACGTAAAAATCAGAGAAAAAATAAGTAACTCAACAATAAAAATTGCCTGTTCTCCCCGTTTCCGCGTGGGTTTCCTCCGGGTGCTCCAGTTTCCTCACACAGTCCAAAGACATGCAGTCACGCTAACTGGACATGCTAAATTGCCCCTAGGTGTGAGTGTGTGTGTGAATGCATATGTCTGTGTGTCTGCCCTGCGATGGACTGGCGTCCTGTCCAGGGTGTATCCTGCCTTCCACCAAATGACTGCTGGGATAGGCTCCAGCTCTGCCCGTGACCCGGAAGGATAAGCGGCTTAGAAGATGTTGAGAATTTCCCAAAATAAAATTTTTAGCCAAAAAAATTATTTTCTGTTCCTGTGGGCCTTCAGGCTTTCTAGTGATAAATAAGTGGGCCTTGAGGTCGAAAAGGTGGAGAACCTCTGGTCTAGGGGTCCCTGAGAACCGGTTAAAGAACCACTGCCACAATGTTTGATGTCATGTTGGCTAATTAGAGTCACACAGCACAAATTAACATATGACATATGATGTCAGTAAACAAATAATCAATCCATCAATTAATCAATCTTATTTTAAACTCAGAGTACATTGAGGGAGACCCTCATTTACAGTGTAGCTGAGCCAATACAGAGATCAGGGATTGAGAAGTTAAACAGTAAAAACATAACAAATGCAAAAAATAATAATAATAATACTCAAATAGTAAATAAAAAAATAAATCAATAAACCATTCAAATTACAACAATATAGTAACTCAATAAGATAAAATAAGGATAAATAAAAAATATAATTCGTGAAATAAATAAAAAAATAAATGATGTAAAACATTAGATTGGCAGTATTAAAATATATAAGAACAGACTAATAAAAATGAAATAAGAACTAAAAAAAACCTAAAATCACTATAAAAGTTAACTAAAATCAAGTAAAACAGTTGCAGGCTGATTGGAGGGGGTTAGAGACTAAAAGTTGAAAATCACTGACTTGATGGTCGGTTATCGGTCAGAATTTGCCAAAATGTGCATCTCAAGTTTTAATTCCCTTCTGGTCACATTAGAGAAATAATTGGTGGTGTTATTTACAACAGCACACACTTACCTTAAAGAAATGCTGCGTGTTTTTGTCTGATATGCAGGCCTCGGCTTGGGACTGGCCTAAAATGTACTGAAGATGCATCTCAAAGTCTGGCGCGTAATGCACAAAGCACTGGGCCACATCATCGTCTGTGGTGCACTGGCCTAGCTTTGGTAAAATACAGCTGAAATATACAGTATTATTTCAACACACAAAGAATGTCCTGAAATTCCTTTGAGAAAACAATAATTATACACTGTATGTCCAAAAGTATCCAGACGGCCTTTCTAATGAGTGAATGAAGCTACTTTAAGGTGAACCGTTGCTGATACAGGTGTTCAATTGCACACACACACACACACATTGTATAACCTCCACAGAAAAGCATTAACGACAGAATGAGATGCTCTGGAGCCAGATATGCGACTAAGGTCACTATGTCCAGTGCCAAGTGTTGGCTATAAAGCCCCCAGCACTGGGCTGTGGAGCAGTAGAACTATATTCTCTGCACTGATGGTGCTCCATCCAATGCCATGGGGTTGTGTTTGAGAGTTGGAGTTGTGTTTGTGATCCCAAACTAATGAAGTGTTCATGATCATGTGGCAACTGGGAACTTTCTGAACTCCAAGTGTGAAAAATCCTTTTGAAAATCTTTTCAACTCACAAGTCTGCCTCGGAAAGGCATGGTTTAAACGTTGGAAAATTCTGAGCTTGTGGCTGAATGCAATCAAATCCTCAAAGCAATGTTCCAGCATCTAGCTCTTTTACTGCCCTGTTGTGGCTGGAGTTGCAGACCTGCTAATTCACCCTTTAACCTTGAAGATGGCCGAGCAGACTGCTGGTCACCATAGCAACACAGACAACAATCTCACCTAGCTAGTAGCTAATGAGAAGGTATAGAGAAAGATTTAAGACAAACATCGATAATTTGGAGACAAATAGACTATTTGTGTTTATAATCACTCCGGCTGATTTCCTGATATGTTTAATCTGCAGCGAGAAACTGTCAAACACCAAGTCGTGAAGCTGAAGTCAGTTTCTCGTTCAAATTTTCTCGTTCCACCTTAAGTGGTGCAGCAGTTACATTCTCGCACCTTAGGTGCCATTTAAGGTGGAACAGAGAAATTTGAACAAGAAGCTGGCGAATGGGAAGCGACTTCAGCCTCGTAAAAAATCAAATGTTGAGAGACATTTTACAAGAAACTATTCTACTTTCGAAGAAAAGTTTCCTGCTGGAGATGCGAGAAAAGCGCCTATAGCTGAGCTAAAGCTTAAAGCCGGGCAAAGTAAGTCTGCGTTTTCGTTTACATATTTTTAGCCTATTTTAGTACATCAGCACATACTGAGACATACTTAGAGCCAAGATGGTAAAATGGACATAAAATGTTGTTGCTCCAAAGACGGCTTGATTTTTGTTGAATGGACAAAATGGCTCTTCTTAACATTCGAGTTGTGACCCCTAATGTAGTGTAAAGCCTTCCCAGAAGAGTAGAGGCTGTTACTGCAGCAAAGGAGGAACAAACTCCCTATTAATACCCTTCATTTCAGACGGTGGGTGAGCTGGATCTCTAGAAACTTTTGGACACACAGTGTGTTTTCCAGGGGGTATATTTACCATTCATGGAAGCTTGCAATGTCCCTTATGTTGCGGAATATGCCCTCTTTCTGGCTGAGAATGGTGAGTGGCACCTGAGTGTTGGTCTCTATGTACTGTAAATGGTTCTCCACAAAGAAGTTCATTTCTCTCACAAATTCATTCTCACCATCAAGCAGACCCTTGATCAGCTGACTGAAAAGAATAAAGACAAAGTGACACATCTCTACATTTACTTTAAAAATAAGATAAGATACTCACGACCTGCTTTCTAGTTAATTTATGTCAAACAGATGACTCAAACTCACCGTAAAGTCACTCTATATTCCTCCTTAGGTGGTGTTCTTCTACCTTTATTGCAAATATCTTTTGTCTCTTGGTCTTGGGCCAGCAAAAACAGCTCCTTTGACAGGGCCATTCAAAGAATTGGTCAGGAGACATGTCATTGAATTTATAAGCATTTAAACTATTCATGTCATGACAATGCTAACCTTTGTCTTCTTCTCGAGGTATGCTGGGGACAGCCATCCTTGGCGGGATGGTGTGGTTTTGGTTGGTTTAGTACGAACCAGCCACTTAACTGGATGTACAGAATCAAGCACCTCCACAAAACTGACCCTCCTTGAGAATAAATGTTTCCTTATTACCTCCAGTGGGGTGGCAGTCTGCTTTGGCTACATAGATATCAAACGTCTAAAGAAAAAAATTACATAGAGGTGAAAATCAATACAAAACGTCTCACATGAAATACTGGATACACTACAGTCCTCTGAAGTTGTGTGTCATTCTGTTTCATGCCCAAATTGGAAACTAAGATTTCTCTATCAGAAAAATTAATGCCATTTTCGAAAGTCGCTGCCTTGTGGTCAACAAAGATGTTCCAAACCTGATATGCTTTGTCCTGTGTACATATTTTTCCCCCATTGTCACTGGATCCTCTGAATTGCAAGGTTGTTTAGCAGTCAAAACATGAGAAAATATTAGATACATACAACAAACAAACACTTCTCTGCAATGAAATGATGTTGCACGAAAGTAAGTCTACCAAGAAACTTTCACTGTTTTATACCAACACCAGCTACTCAGACTGTAGGTGTAACATCTGGCCTTCTGCTAGGCTGCCTCCAACCACTGGGAGGAGTCAGAGAACCGGGACGAGCTGATTGAGGCTGATCAGGTGCAGCTGTGTACGCTTTACATAAGGAGAGCTCTCCCACAGCTCACCGCTCAGTCTTGAGTTCAGGCTGACGTGTGCATGTCTCTCTGCTGAGCTGGTAAACAGTATTCTCCAGGGTCTAGAATTTTTGTTAAACTCTGGGTTCTCTCCCAGCTTTTCCTTGTGTAAGTATACAAAAAAGAAAAAAATGTTTGTGTCTTTTTCTGTTAGCTACTTTCCTCCTTAGTTGTCATAAACTCTTTGGTTTAAAGATGCTGCTCTGGCGTTTCTTTTGTTCTGCCTTAGGATGCCTACACACCAGACCAGAGGTCTCTAATAGGCAGACCGCAGTCCGAGTCCGGACCCAGATGCTGTCCTATGCGGACCTGTAATTTCAAAGGCGTGGTCCTATTTTAATCTGCATAACTTTTCTAGCCTTTACGGTAGATTTAGCGGCCTGGAAGACTCACAGACCAATCACGTGTTGTAAAAATCACATGTGACGCTACTCAGCCAATCAGATCTGTGCATTATGATGAGCACTGAGACTCAAATGAGTGATGCGCACACAGGGGAGGGGCGAGGTGAGAAACAGCAGTCAGAGAAGAAAGTGAGTCAGAGGGAAGTTATTTCACATGACGTGATCTAAAAAGAGAAAACTGACAATAAATATTATTGAAATATGACTGAACTGTACTTTATTTGATTTGATATTCAGTTCTTGACTAATAAGATGTTGATAACTACTAGGCTACTACAGTAAACAGTATATGGCTCTGAATCATAATGCAAGTTTGACATTATGATGTTCTGGACCTTTGCTTGAGGATATTTTCTCTAACTGGACCTTACAGAATTTTAATTAAATACCCCTGATCTTGACAACGCAAGGACAGAGCGGTAGACGCATTTGCATGCAGATCTTGTCTGTCTAGAAGGCGTGTACACGGCTGAAGCTGGGCGGAGTTCGAAATCCAGCGGGAAACAAAACATATGGACCAGAAACAAAAAAATATGGGCCTTTGAAAGAAAACTTGGGCGATGGCCATGTACAGTGACAAGCAGACAACAGCCACGAAGACAAAGACACAGCGTTGCTACTGTCCTCCATCTTGGATTCTTCTGCTTGCATGTTTTTAGTGGTTGACGTGCCTCCACGTCAGAATCCGTTGCAGCAAAAGTTGAAAAGGTTTGAACTTTTTCGACGCCTGACGAAGCGTCTTTTCACTGCAAACAAGCACGTTTCTAGTCCGACAGAGCTGATGCAGCGTCCTAACTGAAGTACAATGGAGGACTCCGTTTCTGACACTGCATCAGCTTCTAATGTGTAGGAAACTCTTAGCCTTTTCCCTTTTGTTTATCAACTCTTCCGCAAGGTTTTTCCATAGCATTGCCATGGTAGCTTAGTGGTAATGCACTCTCCCCCCATGTCATAAGGTTGTGAGTGAGAGTCCCCCCTCCCCCTTCTTGAGTCTCTACTGATCTGCACTTAAATCCATCTCTGTGCCTGGTCAGTGGCTTATCCCATAGCTCACCGGGTTTCTAACATGGGATAAGCCAGTCACTACGTTACACTAAGCTACTACTGACAAAATAACTTAAGTACCACATTCAGCAAAGCTTGTTGGTTTGTGTGAGGTATGTTGTTGAGGTCAGTGAGATGACTCTTGAAATCACAGAGAAATCAGCTTACAGTTCCTGAAGCAGGCATGACGTTGACCACAGAATGACAATGTGACTTCTGAGGTCTATTACCTCTGCTCTGTCTTCATCCCCGTCTGACTCTGATAGTGATTCTGCATTGGCTGAGGACTTGTGGGTATGTGGGTATTTGGGAGATGGTGTTCTGCTTACTGACTCACTGCCTGTAAAAAAAGAAAAATCTTCACTTAACTGGGAAAAATTGCATCAACAGGGCACTCACAATCACAATATCCAAATAAAGGCTTTCTCTACGCTGTCGCAATCCACTTTCTTCTGTGTTAAGTTCAAAAGAACAGTTTCCACCAACTGCTAAAGCTGCATGCTATAGTTTCATGCAATATCTGTAAATTAGCACTTCTTTAACTCTTTCCTGCATAACGTTGCCATACGGCAGCAACTATTTTCCTTTATTTTTTTCTCTGAATACAAAAGTTTTTCCTTTTCTTTGGAAACCTCGAGGCTTTATGTATTGATCATAGATCTTTCTGTCTTTCTGTTGTTCTTTTTTCAACTATAAATCACGCAGATGATGCCTGTCTTCTGAAGCTTTGAAATGCTTGTATAATTCAATATTTATACACAAAAGCTTCAAGATGTAAACTGAAACACAATCTGTGAGAGGTTTTTCTAAATAAAACCAGCTTAAACACCATAGGTTTAATATTAAACAACAGTAAATAATTGTTGCCATATGGCAACAGCATGCAGCAATAGAACTGCATCTTAAATACATACAATGGGAGTAACTGAATACACTGCCATTGGGCACTGCCATTTTCTACACTCTTCTATAGTCCTAAAACACTTATTAATATTTATGTATATTGATGCAGTAACAGAGTTAAAATAAGAAAATTATGAAGTTTAAGTTTTAAACACACATCTGTCAAAGATGCTGACCTTTAACTTTCAACTGTACAGTGGCTTTTTGTGGCTCAGGACTGATGGTCCTTTGCTCTTCTGAACTTTGGGAAAACTGAGTTTGGACTTTTATCTTTTCCACTTCATTTTCCCTGTGAAATTGCACAATAAACATCACATCAGATCATTTATATATACGTTTGCCAAATAAGAAAAAACTGAAGATGCAAAATCAAGAGGGTTAGTTAGTTCTTACCTGGAGACGTAGCCTGTCTCCACATCAGGAGCAGTGTCGTAATCTGATGGACAGGACACTGAAAAACGACAACACAAAGTAAAAGGAAAAGAAACTTCAGCTCCACATTTAAAAATCAAGGTGTCAGAAAGGGCTCTATGAACACTGCCCTACACACCTAAAAAGATGGTTTTTCAAGAAACTGGTTCTATATAGAACCATAATACATAAAAAAACATTCGCATGATTAAAGACTTCTTCAGATTGATGGAGAATGTGTTTTATATGGTTCTACACAGAACCTTTTTGAAAAAGGGTTCTATATAACACCAAAAGTGTTCTTCTGTCATTGCAGGGTTGGCATCATAACAATAGAAGATCCCTTTTCAGTGCTGTATAGAACCCTTTTCCAAAAAGGTTCAAAATAGAACCATTTACAACACATTCTCCATCAGTCAGAAGAACCCTTTAATGATGCAAAGAACCCTTTAATCATGCCAAGGGTTCTTTGAGTGAACCATTAGTAGAACCATTTTCTTTAATAAAGAACCCTTGAGGAGACCACCATTTTTAAGTGTGTAGAGGAACCATTTTTGGTTCCCTAAAATCAACTTTTAATTGATTATTTGGTGGGTTCTTTAGAGAACTATTTTTGTAAATGATATGTGTTGAGGGTGAAAAGCTTTCTAAAGTTTACAGAACATCCACATAATATAGCGGTTCTAGGTGGGACCCTCAAACTGGTATAGAATCTTTTCATTATGTGAAAGTTTTTTAAACATTTAAAACATTTAAAAAATCTTCTTTCAAACATGGTTCTTTAGGGAACCAAAAGTGGTGCCTCTATGGCATCACTCAGAGAACCGTTAAATCTTTAAAAGGTTCTTCCCACTCACAAATCTCTTTTTAAACATGGTTCCTTAGGGAACCAAAAGTGGTTCCTGAATGGCATCACTCAGAAAACGCTGTAAACCTTTAAAAGGTTCTTCCCACTCACAAATCTCTTTTTAAACATCGTTCTTTAGGGAACCAAAAGATGTTCTTCCATGTCATCACTCACCCTTTGTGGCACCTCCTTCTTAAGCGTGCACTTCAGTAACAATCTGTATAATTTTTATACAAAATTTGATATGAAGCGATTAGTTATTCATGCCAACATACCAGAACTGACTGAAATCAGACTTTGCCTTTTCTCCTGAAACTTGCTGTTGGCATCATCTGCAGGCAGGTCATAGGCGTCTCTCAGTGACTCCTCCTTAGTTTTAGAGGTCTGCACAGCTTCCTTTGCCAACATAGGTTCTTTTGCTGGTCTATGTGGAGTTTGGTTTACAGGCTTCTTGGTATGACCCACAGTCACATTCCCATTGTAACTAACTGTCCCAAACTTGTTGCCAACTTCACAAGTATAGATCCCTGCGTCTTCGGGAACTACATTAGTTACGACCAGCATGCACCTACCATCCTCACTGTGGCTGATCTTTGTCCATTTCCCTGACTTCAAGTCTACACCGTCCTTCAGCCAGCGCACTGTGCTGGCCTTTCCCTCAACAATACACTCCAGACGAACTGTGTCTCTGGGCTCCACGTTCTGGTTCTTGAACACCTCCTTAAAGACAGGTCGCATGTCCTTTCGAGCTTTGAAACCCTTGAAGGCGGCTTGGATCTTAATGGCAGCCTCTAACATCTCTGACTCGTCCTCAGCACTTATTTCTATACCAGAAGTATCCTGAGCAGGCTGTTCTGCTAGGGTTGCCTGAGGAGGGGTGGTGCACTTCGCTGATTCTGTAGCTGCATCTGCCTGATTGACCTGTTTCGTAGCTTTCTGGTCTTTAATGTCCACACTTGCACCCTCAGTTTTGACCTCCACTGGTATCCTCTCCTGAGGTTGAGTCATTGATAGCTCTGGGACCTTTTTCATTTTAAAGACTTGATTCCTGTTTTTCTGCTCTGTGACACTAACATCTATCACCTGTGGTAGGTTCGGTTCAGGGGTTTGTTTGATTTCTGACACTTTCTCAATAATTGTATCTTGCTTTTTACTTCTCTGGTCTGTAATATTCCCACTTGTTGCTTTCTCCTCAACATGCTTTAGCAGTTTTTCCTCAGGTTCAATGGAAGTTGGAGCAATTTTGGGTTCTTGATGCTCTTCATTAAGGACAACTGGTTTATTATCGGTTGCATTTTCTTTCATTTCTGACGTTTTTTCAACGAGACCCAGTTGTTCGCCCCATAATCTGTCTCTGGAAGACGTATCCACAGATGGCTCTGTGGTCACAACCTGTTTATCTGACCTTTCTGACATTTTCTCTTGCTTTTTATGTCTTTGGTCTATAATATTCCCTCTTGTTGCTTTCTCCTTGACATGCTTGAGCTGTTTCTCCTCAGGTTCAGTGGAGGATGGAGCAATTTTGGGTTCTGGATGCTCTTCATTAAGGACAACTGGTTTTGTGTCTTTAACTTTTTTACTTGGTAATGCTTCTTTTGCATCTTCTTTCATTTCTATTGTGTTTTCACAGAGACCCAGCTGTTCGCCCCATAATCTGTCTCTAGAAGACGTATCCACAGATGGCTCTGTGGTCACAACCTGTTTATCTGACATTTTCTCTGGCTTTCTATCTCTCTGGTCTATAATATTCCTGTTTGTTGCTTTCTTCTCAACATGCTTTGGCAGTTTCTCCAATGGAGGTTCAATGGAGCATGGAGCAATTTTGGGTTCTGCATGCTTTTCATTATGTACAGTCGGTTTCTTGTCTTGTACCCTTTGCCTTAGTGCTGTTTCCTTTGTGTCATCTTTCTCCTCTGTTCTGTTTTCAATAAGATCCAGCTGTTCACCCTGTATCCTGTCTCTGGAGGACGTTTCCACAGATGGCTCTGAGGTCAAAACCTTTTTTAATGACATTTCTGATACGTTCTCAACAATGACATGTTGCTTTTTACTTCTCTGATCCACTTTCTCCTGAACATGTTTTGGCAGTTTCTTCTCAGGTTCACCAGAGAATGGAACCTTTTTAGGTTCTGGATGTGTTTCATTAGGGACAACTGATTTCTCATCTTTCAGGTTTTGGCTTAGTAATGCTTCCTTCACATTAAGTATCTCTTCTCTTTTCTCCTCTCTGAGATCAAGGTGTTCATTCTCTGATGTATCTCTGAAAGTTGTTTCCACAGATGGCTTCTTGACCACAACCTGTTTCTTTGGCTCCAGAATACTGTGTTGCCCTTGTGGGTCAACACTTGGTTGGGTAAACCTTCCTTTGCTGCGAGGAGGGGCCTGAGGTGTGCTTTTGCCCTGCATCTCATGTTTTCGTTCTGTTGTATCTTTGCATGGAGCTTTCATTTGTACTTGCTCTGTCTTCTCTTGGATTTGTTTGGCAGAAATCTCTGCAGCATTTACAACAAAAATCTCCTGTTCCTTGTCACTCTGCTCTGCAGGAACATAGTCCACAGGAGAAGATATCTCAGACACTTCTTCCAAGTAAGTGGACTTGGTGACATCAGGTGTCACTTTGGGTTTTCCATCCTCCTTTATCTTTCGTCTTGCTGAAGTTTTCTTCTGGATGTCTTGCTCCTCTGGTTTTCACACCAAAATTCACATGGTCATCCTCCGTTTGCCCTGAGACAACATCCACAGATTGCTGCTTTTGTTCAAGAACACTGTGTTGTCCATCCAGAATAGAACCTTCTTGGAAAGTCCTACCCTTTGAGCGTGGTGGTACCTGAGGGTTGCTCTTAGGTTCAGTTGAAATCTCTGAAAGGCATTAACAGAGTTAAATTAAGAATTTGATGACGTAAGACCATCTTAAAAAGACAACATATATGCTGAATCCTAATTCAGGGGCTGCATACTTCGGAGGCTGCAATTGAAAGTAGACTGCGTCACAGCAGTGCAACTAGGCAGTCCCATTTCAAAGGCTCCTTCATATGCAGCCAAAAAATGGGTGGGTCCTTCGCCAGCCAACATATCCCAAGTTTCACTGCGTGCCAGTGAAGATTCGAGAACATGGCGGCATCAGCGAACGGCGGCTGAGGAGACACTTTTAAATATAAGCATTGGGTTTAAACTGAGTCGAATAGCTAAAGATGCAAATATTTAAAAAAGCCAATGTGGTCTAATGCAAAACTTATGCTAGCATTTCATTTTATTTTAGGGATCAAGGCGCAGACAGAGAGAAGCATCTCCAGCTCTAATAAATGAAAAAAATAAAAAACCAAAATCCAAATTTATGGCTTGATCATTAAAAAACTTTAAAAGAACTTGACAGGAGCGGCGTTTTGTGATGCAGCGGTAAGGGTGGGAACAGTGGTGCTGTGACGCACACAGAAAATCCGCCGTAGAGCAGACCGTCTCATTTCGGTTCAGCCTTTGCGGGTCTACGCAGGACATGCCTTCGTAGATTACGTCCTTTGAAGGATGCAGCTCCTGAATTGGGACACAGCTATAGATGATGTACCTTTTACAACAACAGAAGCTGTTGTCTCTACGTTCCCAGCACTGCACTTGTAGACACCACTATCCTGGCTCTTCAAATCATGGATTTTAAGTTGTAGCTCACAGCCATTCTGCTTAATCTCATACTTATTTCCATGCTTTAGCAGCACCGCTCCCTTTTTCCACTGTACTGTAACTGCAGGTTTAGAAAGCTCACAGCACAGCAAGACAGTCTCACCTTCTACCCCCTCTTGACTTTCAAGCTCCTTGCAGAAAAACAAAGGGTGTTCTGGAGAGGACAAAGAACGTTTGCAAGAATGAGTTTATAAAACAGTTTTCATTCCTTTATTTGCTGCATTTAAGGGCCTGTATGTGGGCTCACGCTTCATTTCCTTACTCTCATAACCAGTGGTGGATTGTAATGAAGTAAATGTAATTGGTTACTGTACTTAAGTAGTTTTTTGTGTATCTGTACTTTACTGAACTATTTCCATTTTGGGTGACTTTTTACTTTCACTCCACTACATTTCAATGTCTCACTTTTTACTCCACTACATTATGAGAAATCTGTCATTCCTTTTGGTTTATGTGTGCATAAAAACGTAACGTCAAAACAAAAGAAGCGCAAAGCAAAAACACCAATCAGGGCACAGCGCACTTTGTTTTGAGCTTGTTTTGACCTGTTGGTCATACCGACCCAGTGCAAGCACACGGTTCAACATCAGTGCAGCAGCGCAAAGTTTTGGGAGTGTCTATTCAACATAAATGATGGAACCAACCTAACTTTGTATAAATAGACCACAATATAGAAATATGTACACATATGCAGTTGTGACTGGCATTTTTCTTTATTCTGAATTTATACAAACACTATTTCATTTTACAGTAAATTTGTTTTTGCTAGTTTATGTTTATGAACAGTGACCTACAGATGCAGTTTAGTAAAGGAAACTCATTTGTGAATCTTTTTTGTGAAGTTTTTATTAAACTGAAACTTGTTTAAATTTAAACTAATTTCTATTTAAACTAAGTTGCAAATAAATCTTAAACTGAAACTTCGCTTGTTCACAAAAAGTTATTTCAGAGCCACTCAGTTCTACCTGATGGAAACTGTTTGCCTTCAGTGTTTTATGCTTATGATAATTTTAATAGACATCAGCGTCACTAATTAATGACATTCTATTAAAATATTGGTGTATCAAGAGTGACACTGGAGTATTTTCACCTAAAATGAGTTAATGAAACAAGAGTCTTGTTACAAAATGATAATAGGACTTTAGAACCATAATTAATCTTTTAGTACTTTTCACTTTTTGATACTTAAGTACATTTGAAGGCAAATACTTTTGTACTTTTACTCAAGTGGGGGTCTAAAGGGAGGAACTTCTACTTTTACTGGAGTAATATTTTACCTTGGGTATCTCTACTTTAACTCAAGTACATGGTTTGTGTACTTCGTCCACCACTGCTCATAACTACATATTAGCTTCCAAATAGTTATCAAATAATTCAAAGTGGTTACTGAAGTGTTAAGAACTAAATAAGAAGCCTAAGGTTCAAGGGATTCATTCTAGTTCTCATTTTCAACCCAAATACATCATGGTAGCCCCAATAACCCACATACCTTTGACTACAATGGACGCTGTGGTGACTGCGCTACCCGCACAGCACTTATAAGAGCCACTGTCTTGACCATTCAGGTCATAAATTTTAAGCTGCAGCTTACAGCCATCCTGTTTCATTTCATATTTGTCTCCGACCTTCAGGAGCATCGATCCTTTCTTCCACTGAACTGGAACTCCAGGTTTAGAGATCTCACAGAGCAGCAAGGCAGTTTCACCCTCCACTACTTCTTGATTTCTGAGCTCCTTGTAGAAGAACAGAGGTTGCTCTGAACATGACAGATAGAGATGTTATTAAACGGATGCCTAAGCCTTGATTGGTCAGTTCTAAGCAGATTAAGAGTCATGCAATGATCTTGTAAACTACAAAAGGGAATACACATCATGAGCAATGCCCTAGCACAGAGCAATATAATACATTTTCCAAAAAAAAGGTTTATTCTTGACATGTCTGTGAAGCTGGCTGAAGAATAACGAACGAAAAATGAACGTCAGTTTATAAATCATATATACAAGAATCGATACAAGGTTACCAGTCTGGTTTATTACTGTCATTTACATCGATCAGGCATAACATTGTGACTGCCTCCCTGTTTCTACGCTCATTGTCCATTTTATCAGCTCCACTTACTATATAGGTGCACTTTGTAGTTCTACAGTTACAGACTGTAGTCCATCTGTTTCTCTGATACTTTGTTAGACCCCTTTTACCCTGTTCTTCAGGGGTCAGGACCCCCATGGACCCTCACAGAGCAAGTACTAATTGGGTGGTGGGTCATTCTCAGCACTGCAGGAACACTGATGTGGTGGTGGTGTGCTAGTGTGTGTTGTGCTGGTGCGAGTGGATCAGACACAGCAGTGCTGCTGGAGTTTTTAAACACTGTGTCCACTCACTGTCCACTCTATTAGACACTCCTACCTTGTCAGTCCACCTTGTAGATGTAAAGTCAGAGACAATAGCTCATTTGCTGCTGCACAGTTTGTGTTGGTCATCCTCCAGTCCTTCATCAGTGGTCACAGGATGCTCCCCACAGGACGCTGTTGGCTGGCTATTTTTGGTTGGTGGACGATTCTCAGTCCAGCAGCGACACTGAGGTGTTTAAAAACTCCAGCAGCACTGCTGTGTCTGATCCACTCAGACCAGCACAACACACACTAACACACCACCACATCAGTGTTACTGCAGTGCTGAGAATGATCCACCACCCAAATAGTACCTGCTCTGTGAGGGTCCATGGGGGTCCTGACCACTGAAGAACAGGGTAAAAGGGGGCTAACAAAGTATGCATAATGTTATGGTCATAATGTTACGCCTGATCGGTGTATGTTTACTACATTTTTTATTATTCTGGTTGTTATGACCTTTCAGCACTGTGGCTAAAGGCCTGTATATGTTGAAATGTCATTTTATTAGACTTCTTTTATCTTATTTTTGGAGATTTATTTGATTGTGTTTTGAACAGGCTGATTCAGATACTCTTATCCCAAGTTGATGTGCTGGATGCTGATAATATTAAGTTAAGTGACCCTTATTAGTCCACAACGGGGAAATTTCACCTCCACATTTAACCCATCTGTGCAGTGAAACACCCACATACACACTAGTGAAAGCACAGACACTAGGGGGCAGTGAGCACACTTGCCCAGAACTGTGGGCAGCCCTATCCACAGCGCCCTGGGAGCAGTTGGGGGCTAGGTGCCTTGCTCAAGGGCACTTCAGTCATGTCCTGTTGACTCAGGTTATCAAACTGGTGACCTTCCGGTCACAAGGGTGGTTCCCTAACCTCCAGCCTACAACTGCCCCATATGCGCTGTCCATATTCTCCATCCTGTCTTTTACTTTGTCCATCATTTTGAATGCAAAACATCTATAAGACAACATACATATTAATAAATTGCTGTTTTAGTTTCGCATGCAAGGCACCTCATAAACTTAGCTTGTAACTAACTCTCACTTAACTCTAGCAAGATGAATATTCTCCATAAGTGAGAGCTCCTAGCACTCAAGTAGCTTTTGTGTGCCTCATTAGAATGGAGGACACTAGTTAATGACCACAGACAAAAAGCAGTAGGGGTGTTATAGAAGAGTGGACACAGTTTCAGAAGCCCACACCACTGGAATACTAATATGGGTAAATGAATCAATTGGCTCACAAATCACATACCTCTCACATAAAGTGTTGCTGTTGTCTCCAGACTGCCAGCACAACATCTATAAGTGCCACTGTCCTGACTTGAAACGTCATATATTCGAAGTTGTATATCGCATCCATTCTCTTTCGTCTCATACTTATCTCCTGGTCTAAGTAGCTTGGTGCCCTTCTTCCACTGTACTGCAACTCCAGGTTTAGAGAGTTCGCAGTACAGTAGGGCACTTTTACCCTCCTCCACCTCCAGACTTTGGAGTTCCTTACAAAATAGTAACGGTTGTTCTACAGAGGATGCAGAAAATAACACTACAGTTGGACTCTGTACTTATTTGTGAACAACCAATGAGTTTATATACAACAGATTATATCATATTTAATTTCTGTGATATATAAACTCATTGGTTGGAACATGCAGCCACTGTTGCTCTCACTGGCTGTCACTGCGTTCACTGTGGAAATTATATGACTTTTATGTTCAGGTTCAAATTAACTGTGTGAATATGTGTATGAGTGAGTGATGGTAGGAATGCATATTTTATTTTATTTTGTTATTTTATTTATTTTTTTTATTTATTTACTACATGTAAATGTTTGTCTGATACTGTGCACTGTGAGCTCCTGTAACCAAAACCAAATTCCTTGTATGTTTAAGCAAACCTGGCCAATAAATCTGATATATACAATAAATAGTTCCAACACCTCCGCAATTGTAGCCTTTATCTCTCGTTTATACAGATTGGGTAATTTTAGAGACAGTGGAGGCTCTCGAGGAGAACTGGAATGTTCCACTTTGCTTGTGCTTTTGTCAGTTTGAGTTATCCACAGTTCTCCTGTGAGCACTATCCAGTGTAATCTGCTGAAGCTGCATTTGAATGAGGGGTCTACAGTAGAGGTCTGTGTGGGACTGTTTTCTCAGTCCTGCTCCCACCCGCTCCCACAAGATTTCATACCGCTCCCGCCTGCCCCTGCAGAAAATCATAATCATTTCTCCTGCTACCGCCTGCGCAGTTCCATCAAACGAACCGACATCCGATATCTCATATAGTCTGTTCAAAAATACATTATTCTGTGTTGAGGTCATCAGGCTCGCTGTGAAGTAACTTCACCAAATGCCTTTTTTTCCCAGTGAAAATAAAGCAGGAATTAAACCACAGTGCGGTTATTTTTGGTGTTTTGCTGAGCAGCTGATTGGCTGAAGGCTCTGCCGTCTCTGTAATGCCTGATTCACACATGCTACCTTTGCGTGGTGGGGAGAAACACACTGACCTTTCCTACATACAGCATTTGTGCTGCAGGGCAGAGCAGTGAGAAAGTTATACAGACATTGTTTTCAGACAGATAGATGGTCACATCAGTCACTCTGCTCAGTGACTGATTGGACAGATTTATGATTAGGAAAAAGTTTCAAGCCTGGTAAACCATCCGGAAAATCTGTGTGCAACACAGAATATTTAACTAGCATTTCATCATGAATTAAATTAAATTGAAATTGAAAATTTTTAAAGTTTTTAGATGGCTTTCTGTTTAATTTTCATGCCTTATTTCAGCAACGTGGAAAAATCGGTGGTGGATCTATTCTCTAAACACTCTGTGACCCCTGTGTGAAAGCACTGACCAGTTAAGATGGCCGCTGAAATGAAAAGCAAGACTTTCCGGTATGTGTGAATCAGGTCTCAGCTACGAGAATTTGCGTGTTGTTCACGTGATCAGCTGCTTCGCAGCTCTTTAGAATGACTTCATTCATTTTAACTGGTTTACTGTTATCACTTTATATTGTTTATATTTATGATTTAGTGGGGGTTCTACTTTATTTACGCTATTCATTAATCTTTTTATGTGCACTTCGTCCTGCTCCCATGAAAAAAATTTGTCCCGTGCCGCACAACATTGTGGCGGGTCCCAGAGGAATCTGCAGGAGTCTACAGCTATGGATTCAGAGCAGCATACAACGTGCTGGAGCTGGGCTTCAGCCTTCACTATTACAGATGATTTGAGGGGTCAGCGCTTGAATGATTTAAGTGCTGATAAAAAAAAGGTTTTTATGGAAATTTCGACACCACTATAAAAGAGACACTGTTGTTGACGGACAGACTTTTCACATTAAATGGAAATGGATTGCACATACCTTTCACTTCAAGGCAGGCTGTAGTCACAATGCCACTTGCACAGCATTTGTAGGAACCACTATCTTGAGTTGTCAAATCTAGAATTTTAAGCTGTAACTGACAGCCATTCTGTTTCATTTCGTATTTGTTTCCAGGCCTCAGCAGCACTGTGCCCTTTCTCCACTGCACTGTAGCTGCAGGTTTAGAGAGTTCGCAGCACATCAAGGCATTCCCGCCCTCCTCCACTTCCACCGTTTGAAGTTCTTCACGGAAGAAAAGTGGTTGTTCTGAAATAAAGCATCAGACAATCCTATCATTTGAATGTACCTTATCTTTTTCTTAGTTTGGATGGTGCTTCTGACATATGGAGGTAGTGTGAGGTGAAGGGAGAGAACTTTTAGAAGATTTAGGCCCAATCTCATTTCTTATTTTTAACCCTACTCCTCGTTTTCAAGTGTCTCCTTGCCCCTTAGAACTGAGTTATTGAATTGCTCCCCTGCAAAATGGGACCCTCAAATAAAAAGAGCATTACTTCATTAACAGCTACCAGCGCTGCTCTGTAGGCGACCCTGCCAGTCTGCAGTGACAGCAGAGGAGGGTAAAGTTCAGCTCCTCACTGCTGGGCTTTAGTTACATTTAGGGCATCATATGCCTTCAAAGAGGGGGGTGATTATTTATTATCAACCCTAATTCTTCAGTGATATGAAGCTGAAGTCAGATATTCACCAGATTCTTGTTCAAATTGTCCCGTTCCACCTTAAATGGTGCGGCAGTTCTGACGCCTGAGGAGCCAGAATGTAACAGCAGCACCTTTTAAGGTGGAATGGGAAATTTAGCTAGCTACCGAGACATCAGCATACTACTAGCAGATTTTTTTATGCGTGGTATGAAGAAAAGGACCATAATACATTAAAACGACATTAAACTAAAATAATACAATGGTTGTCGTAATTTTTACTCACATTTGTGGGTTTCTTTGGTCTCTTGTTCTCCATCTTGCCGGTTTTTCTTTTTTTCTCATATCACTCCGTTTGGAGCCTCTGAAAAACCTCAGTTTGGAGGGTTCATGCAGCTCTAACACTTCACCCTACCCCACTATCTCAACCAAAATCGGGACACCCTACCCCTTCACGTGAAATCGCAAAACGGTAGGATAAGGGCTAAATGGTAGGGGCGAGGGGTGAAATGGGATTGGGCCTTAGTCTGGAGTTCTGGGTGGCTTCTGCTTGCCGTTATAAGGCCAGATGGTGGTAAGACTGACAGATAGAATTTAGAAACAGGCAGGAGATGGGGTGCTGGTGGTGACTGTGAAAACTTTGTTACAGGAAACAGAAGGTGGAGATTTTTATAGAGCATTAGATTGGAAGGATGAGGGGGTTTCTGGTACGACCCTCCCCACAAACTTCAGTTATTTCACAATTCCATTACATGTGAAGTATGTCAACAATTAATACTGCATTTGATTCTGTCCCCGAGAACCGCAGCAATGAGGTTTACATGGCGTAGTGAGTTATACTGCAGCCCATCACAATATACCAATAAGAGTCCTTAGGAAAGACTCCTATCTGTACATGACTATCTGTGTATATGATTAAACTGTGAGCTGCTCTGGATAAGAGCACCTGCCTAATGCACAAATGTAAATGTCCCAGAGATTCAGCTTACCTTTTACCACAACGGATGCTGTAGTGACCAAGCTACCAGCACAGCATTTGTAAGTACCACTGTCCCTTCCCTTCAGGTCATGGATCTTAAGCTGCACTTTACAACCGTCCTGTTTCATTTCATACTTGTCTCCTGGTGACAACAGCACCGCTCCTTTCTTCCACTTCACCACAACTCCAGGTTTAGAGAGTTCACAGCACAGGAAGGCAGTTTCACCCTCCTCAGCCTGCTGATTCTGAAGATCCTCACGGAAGAACAGGGGTTGCTCTGGCAAGTTATAAAATCACGGTCAACTATTTTGCAATTGAAGACAAAAATAATACACTGCAAAAACTCTTGTCAAATAAAATTATCCTAATATAGTCACGAAATCTAATATTTCTCCTGTTGAGATTGTTGTGAGCTTAATTTGAAATTATTTAACTTATTTCTAACATTTTTTGCTTGTTTTTAGTCATTTTATCAGGTAAATTATCTCACCATAGTGGCAGATAATTGTGCTTGTTTTAAGAAAAGTGCTTGAAACCAGCAAAATTATCTGCCAGTATAGTGAGATAATATTACTTAATAAAATGACCTAAAACAAGTAAATAATTTCTGGAAATAAGCTACATAATCTTAACTCAATCATACTTTTTTGCCACTAACACCCAAATAGTTTACCTTTGACTGCAATATTAGCTTTCGCCTCGAGGCTACCAGCACAGCACTTGTAGACTCCACTGTCCTGGCGTTGCAGGTCATGTATCTGAAGCTCTAATTCACAACCATCTTGCTTCATCGTATATTTGCTTCCAGGTCTCAGGAGCACTGTTCCTTTCTTCCACTGCACTGTAACCCCAGGTTTAGACAGTTCACAGCACAAGAGGGCAGTTTCACCCTCGTCTGCTTCCACACTGTGGAGTTCCTCACGGAAGAACAGTGGTTGTTCTAGAAAGAATGGTTGTTTTGTTAAAAATATAAACATACTGAAGATCATGTACATCATTCAGAGCAGTTTGAACATTTGGAATATACCTTTCACATCAAGCCTGGCTGTAGTCTCAATGCTGTCGGCACAGCATCTGTAGGAACCGCTGTCCTCAACGGTCAGGTTATAGATCTGAAGCTGTAGATCACAGCCATCCTGCTTCATTTTATACTTGTATCCTGGTGTAAGCAGCAGAGCTCCCTTCTTCCACTGCACTGCAACTCCAGGTTTGGAGAGCTGGCAGCACAAGAAGGCAGTTTCACCCTCCTCAGCCTGCTGATTGTGGAGTTCCTCACGAAAGATTAATGGACGCTCTAGGACACAGAACAGAGGGCCGATTCATTTGACCTCTTCCAAAAAGCTCATTTACAAATCTGATGGGATTTTGATGTTGTACATTAAGAATAAATGTAGGGTGTCTTTCATTTTCATGTATAAAGAGATCCACATATCAGTTTTGCTTTTTGGCATGCAAAATCTTTACAAGCTCAATATCTCAGAACTGCTCAGAACGCAGATAGAACCCTATAAATCCAAGGGGACGATATACCAGTGATCACCCACATGCAGTCTTCCAGGAGATCTGCGTTCACTGAGTTCATTTCTTAACCTTACCTGCTACACCTGACTCAGGAAACCTCTGTAGAAATCTTAATAACTTGGACCAGGTGTGTGTAGAATTTTGTAATATGACAATTAGAAGGAGAAAGTCGAACTTTTACAATGAAAAACTACACAAAATGTAAGAACACAAGCTGATTTTCATATTACATTAGAACAGTTATCTTTTTATACCTTTAATGATGAGAGCAGCAGCGCTTTGCACATCTCCTGTATCACACATATAAACTCCAGCATCCTCCTTTCCTACTCTGTGTATTAGAAGCTGGTTCCGTTTCCCTTCTTTACGGGGTTCGTACTTTTCCCCTGCCAGCAGGGTGACGTTGTTTCGCTTCCAGGTGACGGGTGTGCAGTCATCGGAGGTAACACAGGATAAGATGGCGGTATCACCCTCAAAGACAACCAGGTCCTTCAGCTTCTCTTCTATCAAAACTATAAGGAGAGAGAGCCACACACAATCTATATGGAGTCTTTTTATATGTATGTATGTACAACCCCATTTCCAAAAAAGTTGGGACGCTGGGCAAAATGTAAATAAAAACAAAATTCAATGATGTGTAAATCATTTAAACCCTACATTTCATTAAAAATAGTACAAAGACAATATATCAAATGTTGAAACTGAGAAATTTTATTGTTTTTTGAAAAATAAATGCCTATTTTGAATTTGATGCCAACACCGCGTTCCTAAAAAGTTGGGATGGGGGCCTGTTTACCACTGTGTTTCATCACTTCTTCTTTTAACAACACTCTGTAAGAGTTTGGGAACTGAGGAGACACTGCTGTAGTTCTGAAAGTGAAATGTTTTGCATTCTGGTTTGATACAGGATTTCAGCTGTTCATCAGTTCAGGGTCTCCTTTGTCGTATTTTCCATTTCATAATGCGCCAAATGTTATCAGTGGTGACAGATCTGGACTGCAGGTCAGTTTAGCACCCAGACTCTTTTAATACGGAGCAATGCTGCTGTAATACATGCAGAATGTGGTTTGACATTGTCTTGCTGAAATAATGAAGGCCTTCCCTGAAAAAGACGTCGTCTGGATGGCAGCATATGTTGCCAAAACATGTATATACCATTCAGCATTAATGGTGCCTTCACAGATGAGCACTAATGCCCCCTATACTATCATGAATGCTGGCTTTTGAACTGTGCGCTGATAACAAGCTGAGGGGTAGCCCGAAGGACACAGTGTCCATGATTTTCAAAAAGAATTTCAAATGTTGATTCGTCGGACCACAGGACACTTTTCCACTTCACCCCAGTATATTTTAAATGAGCTCAGGCCCAGAGAAGGCAGTGGTGTTTCTGGATTCTGTTTATATATGGTTTCTTCTTCATGTTTTAGAGTTTTAACTTGCATTTGTGGATGCAGTGATGAAGTGATTTACACCACAGAATCATGTCTGTTTTTAATGCAGTGCCACCTGAGGGCCCAAAGATCACAGCCAGCAAATACTGGTTTTTGGCCTTGTCCCTTACGTACAGAGATTTCTCCAGATTCTCTGAATCTTTTAATGATATTATGTACCGTAGATGACGAAAAAGCAAAAGCTCTTTGCTGTTTTATGTTGAGAAACTTTATTCTTGAATTATTTGCACTATTTGATGGTGCAGTCTTTTTTCCTCCTTATCTTTACTTCTGAAAGACTCCGCCGCTCTGAGATGCTCTTTTTATACCCAGTCATGTTACTGACCTGTTGCCAATTAACCACCAGGTGTTTTTTTTAGCATTACACAACCTCACCAGCCTTTTGTTGCCCCGTCCCAATTTTTCTGGAATGTGTTGTTGGCATCAAATTCAAAATGGGCAAATATTTTTCAAAAAACAATAAAATTTACCAGTTTCAATGTGATTTGTTGTCTTTGTACTATTTTCAATGAACTATAGGGTTTAAATGATTTGCGCATCATTGCATTTTGTTTTTATTTAAATTTTGCACAGCGTCCCAACTTTTTTGGAAATGGGGTTGTACTTTCACAGAAACAAATGTATTGATAGATTTATTTAATCCTAAGATTAAGGTCTGTGCACACAAAATGTTTATAAATGAGGTCCCTGGACTCAACATGAGGATTCTCTTTTAAAAATAATTTTAGGCCAACACTGAACTCTTAATACTGATGGTTCTTTAAGGGTTTCTTAGTAAAGAAAGTTATTCTATACAGAACTATGAATACTTTGCATGATTAAAGGCTTCTTTGTATCGTGAAAGTGTTCCTCAAATTAATGGAGAATGTGCTGTAGATGGTTCTACCTAGAACCTTTTTGAAAAGGGTTCTATATAGCACCAAAAATGGTTCGTCTATTGTTATGATGTCAAGTCTGTAACAATAGAAGAACCCTTTTTATAAGGGTTCTAGAGAGAACCATGTAAAACACACTCTTAATCAATCTAAAGAACGCTTTGCATGATTATAGCGTTCTTTGCATCGTAAAAGTGTACTTCAGATTGATGGAGAATGTGCTGTAGATGGTTCTACCTAGAACCTTTTTGAACAGGGTTCAATGTAGCACCAAAAAGCGTTCTTCTATTGTTATGATGTCAAGCTTGTAACAACAGAAGAACCCCTTTTGGTGCTTTATAGAACCCTTTTCCCTTTTCATAAGGATTCTATATAGAACCAGGTAAAACACAATCTGAAGAACTGTTTCACGATGCAAAGAACCCTTTAATCATGCAAAGTGTTCTTTGAGAGTTTATAGAACCCTTGAAGAACCAATTTTTTGAGGTCAAGCCTGTAACAATAGAAGAACCCTTTTTGGTGCTATATAGAACCCTTTTCCCTTTTCATAAGGGGTGTATATAGAACCATGTAAAACACACTCTTAATCAATTTGAAGAACCATTTCATGGCACAAAGAACCCTTTAATCGTGCAAAGGGTTATTGAAGTGTTTATGGTTCTATATAGAGCCATTTTCTTTACTAAAGAATCCATGAAGAACCCATTTTTGAGGTCAAGCCTGTAACAATAGAAGAACTCTTTTTGGTGCTATATAGAACCCTTTTCTTAAAGGTTCTATATAGAACCATATAAAACACACTCTTAATCAATCCAAAGAACCATTTCACTATGCAAAGAACCCTTTAATCATACAAAGGGTTCTTTGAGTGTTCATGGTTCTATATACAACTATTTTCTTTACTAAAGAACCCTTGAAGAACCATCTTTTTTAAGCGTGTAGGCTTTACATGGAACACATACTGTATAACTGAGTTATAGGAAAGGACGGGGACAAACGTAGGACATATTAGCATTGCTCCAGTCCTCACCTTTGGGTTTACTGTTCACTGTCAGACGAGCGGAGGTCTTCTCTTCTCCTACCACAAAGGTCACGGTACCTGACTCCTCAGGCGTTGTCATGGTGAGGACCAGGTGATGCTCACGGCCATAACAGCTCATCTGATTCATTTCATTTTCCTGCAGAATGCTGGAACCAAGCCACCACACGCCGTCAGTGACGTCCTCATGTGAGAGCTCACATACAAAACGGGCATTTTCTCCCGCAGTAACTGTGATGTCCCGAAGCTCTCTCACAATCCTCACACGCTCTGAAAGGTTGATAAGATTCTTTTTGTATATAAACACATGAAATATCTCTGTCAATTGTCAACAAGATTATAGTGCCTTTTAATCATTAATTGCATACCTCTGGTCACTACTGGTCTGTGACTTAATTTCCTCCTCCGACCTCCTCAAATTTTTCAGATAAGTGACAAACAAAATATCAAAATTGGCTTTTCAATTTGAAAAATGACATTTTGGGGGCAGTCGTGGGCTGGAGGTTAATGAACCAGCCTTGTGGCCGGAAAGTCACCGGTGCTCACTGCCCCCTAGTGTGTGTGTTCACTAGTGTGTATGCAGTGTTTCACTGCACAGATATATATATATTGCTGTTGTCAGAACAAAACCTCATGTCTCCAAAATGATGACTTTACAGGAGAAGCAAAAAATATACTGTACTTTTAATGTAAGTCAATGGAACCAGAATTTTTTCCAAGTAATTTTGGGCCGTTTCTTTTGGTCCATTCATCATGAAATTTACACACAATGCAAAAGGCAACAGGCATTTCCAAATTTTGTCAAAAACATGGATGTCATGCCCATATTGTGCAGCTCTACCTTAAACCCTACCTTTATGTAAGCTATATCTATATGAAGTTTACAATATTTCTGCATTACAGATAAGGAGAAATATAGCTTACCTACTCAGAGATATAGCTTACCTATCACTCTCAGGGTCGCAGATGACTTCTTGCCCCTGGTGTTACACGTGTAAACACCAGCATCCTCAGGCTTTAGCTGTCTGATCTCAAGCTCATGAGTCGAGCCCTTCTGGTGTAAGGTGAACCGTCCACCTTGTGTGATTTGCTTTGAGTCTTTTTTCCAAGTCACTGGAGCATTTGAACTGGACAGCAAACAGCTGAACACGACAGAGTTTCCCTCCATTGCCTCTCGATTCTGTAACTCCTTCTCAAAGAACGCAGAAGCTGCAGCTGCAGGACAGGATACCAGGAAATGGTCTTTGAGTATGGAGTCATTACACAGTCCCATTTTATTCCAGTCAAACTGCAAATGTTAATACGGGTTTGAGATTGAGGTTTGAAAGAATCTGTGATTGACAGTGTATGAACAAGACCAAGTCATTTTTCTTGGTCACATTTCATACTGTCTCAATGGTGCATGTATTTGGGACTCAACGAGGAATGGATGCAGGGTGAATGAGAAGATAATAATGAATGAGAAAATGATTTGGGAAAACTAACACCCCTTAAAACTGCTCCTCAATGAGGTTAAGACAGGTTGCATTGGACCTACCCCTCACATTCACTTCAGCTGTGGTCTTTTGGTCTCCGATAACACAGCTATATTCCCCAACATCCATAGGAAGGACATTCTTAATGTGCAACTCAGCAACTGACCCCTCCTGTTTCATCTTGTATTTGCCTCCATTATTTAGCTCCTCTTCACCTTTCCACCACTGCACAGGTACCCCAGCTTTTGACAGCTCACAATGCAGGACTACTACGCCTCCCTCTGGAGCCTCCTGGTTCTTCAGGCTTTGTCTGAATGTAACCGGAGTTGCTAAACAGTCAAAGCAGTATATGGGAGGTGTAAAAACGTCAGTATTAGCCCCTTAAAACCTAAGCATCCATAGGTGGGACTACATTTTAATTCCTGACACTCAAAGCTACCAAACTTACAAATTAGTTACACAATAGTAAGACAATAATAAATCTTAAAGTCAACCTGAAATCAAAATGTACTTTTTTGAACCTTGTTTGTTGACAAACTTCTTGTTTTCCTGTAATCTTATGACAAAATGTAATGACTTTTTCACCACCTCTAAAATATCTTCTGTTGTTTAAATACATCACTGTGTACCAGTGGGTGGAGCAAGATAATATTAACCAATAATATCATGGTTCACCTCCTCCCCCACCACCCCTGACTATGATTGAGGGCGCTGGCTCAGAGACCCACCCTGATGCTGTGTTTCACTCGCAAATGCATTATGGCATGGAAGAAGAGTGCGTTTATGTTATGTTTCATGTTGATTTTACACTGTTAGTAATAAAGGTTCTGTGCAGGTACATTTTTCATTCATCAAGGTACAAACAATGTAAAGTTTCCCTCAAAGGTACAACAGTGGTTTTAAGGTCCGATTGTGAACCTTAAATAAGTTTTTCCAGGTGAAAAGTTCGTATTTGTACCTTTTCATAACTGAATGTTTTAAAACAGAACAGTAAAATAAAAGCCTGGAGACGAGACGGGGTGTGTGGAGTCAGTACAGCTTAGAACATATCATTTCAGTGGAATTTGGTAAAATTATGCTCCCTGACTAAAGGTACTGAGATGTAGCCTTGAGGGAACCACCCCAGTGATAAGAGGGGAACTGCCCCAGTGACAGTTAAGTACCTTTATTTCGGAGAGTGTAAGATTAACAATGGAAGAATAAACTTGCAGTTTAAGGGCTTAACAAACATTCATTCAATCTTGACTGCATTAGAGAACCTCGTCCTACCAAAAACCTTGACGGTGGCTTTGGTTTTCTGATCACCACATAGGCAGCTATAGACTCCACTGTCCTCAGGCACTGCTTTCCTGATAATCAGCTCCATTACAGCATCTTGTTGCCTGATTTGATACTTCAATCCAGACTTTAGCACTTCCTCCCCTTTTTTCCACCGAGCAGAAATGCCAGCTTTTGACAGCTCACAATGCAGGGTTATGGTGCTTTCTTCCTCAACTTCCTGGTTCTTCAGCTTCACTTTAAAAACGATGGGTGGAACTAGAAATAGTAGCAAGAAAGGGAATAGCAGAAGATCTAGACTAAATCCAGTTTAAAGCCATGCAAGGCCTTGGCGCGCAAGAAGCAGCTACGCAAAAGAAAGCACTGTGAAATAGCGAGCAAAGCAAGCAAGCGAAAAAGCCACCCGCTTTAGCAGACTGACATATTCATTGGCTTACCCTGAACAGTAAGTTTAGCAGTTGACTCAGAATCCTTGGTTTTACATGAATAGTTCCCAGCGTCACTTTCCTCAATGTTGTGTATGAGAAGTTTGGCGAATCTTCCTTCTTGTTTCATGTCATATTTATCTCCCGCCTTCAGAATAACTCGTCCTTTTCTCCAGTCCACTTGGGCTCCAGTTTTGAGAGCTCACAACTAAACAAGGCAGTTTCTCCTTCTTTGGAAACTTCATTTTGGAGTTCTCGTTTGAAGGTTACAGGCAGAGCTACAGAACCCATTAAAATTTGAAAGTGAAGCTTATCCACAAGAAATTTCCAGCCAAAGAACTGCAGGATGTGGAACAAAGTGAAGGACTGCATAAATCAAACTCTGACTGATTGTTTGACTGCCATAAAACCTACCCTGAACTTTGATTTCCGAGGTAGTCTTCTGGTCACCAACTGTGCAGCTGTACGAACCAACGTCCTCAAGTACTGCATTCCTGATGATCAACTCAGCAATCCTTCCCTCAGTCTTCATGTGGTACTTTTCACCCAAAGTCAGTATCTCCTGACCCTTCCACCACTTCACCGATGCTCCAGGTTTGGAAAGCTCACAATGTAAAGTGACACTATTGCCTTCCACTGTCTCTTGGTTTCTGAGGTTTTGTTTGAATATCACTGGTAATGCTGAGAAAAGGCAAATTGCAGGAGTCAGTTCTCAGCATGTCTGTAAGGAATTTGATCAATTAGTACCAGGTAAGTAGTTTCCTACCATTGATTTTGATGGTAGCTTTGGACTTCTGGTCAGCACATACACAAACATAGACACCACTATCCTCAGGCACTGCTTTTTTGATGACAAGCTCCACTTTTGTGGCCATTTGCCTCATCTGGAACTTTTCCCCAGAATTGAGCAGTTCTTCTCCTTTCCACCATTCTACCTGAGCACCAGCCTTAGAGAGTTCGCAACGTAAAGTGACAGTGTTTCCCTCTTCAACCTCTTGGCTCTTCAGTTCTTGTTTGAAAGTGATGGGATGGGCTACACAAAACAACAAGAGGATGATGATACTTCCACCTCTGAAATTTTATGCTCCTATAGAGTCTTCTCTTCTGCATTAAATTGGTGCCCCGTGTGAGGACCAACAACAATTTTGAATCAATATAACAGATTACAGTGGTGCTAGAAAGTTTGTGAACCCTTTAGAATGTTTATATTCCTGCATAAATTTGACCTAATACTTCATCAGAGTTTCAAACAAGTCCTAAAAGTAGATAAAGAGAACCAAATTAAAGAAATGAGACAAAAATATTAGACTTGCTCATTTATTTATTGAGGAAAATGATCCAATACTACAGATCTGTGAGTGGCAAAAGTATGTGAACCTTTGCTTTCAGTATCTGGTGTGACACGCTTGTGCAGCAGTGACTGCAACTAAACCTTTCCGGTAACTGTTGATTAGTCCTGCACATCAGCTTGGTGGAATTTTAGCTTGTTGCATTGTTTTGCTGCATGACCCACGTTCTCTTGAGATCAGCTCACGGACAGATGTCCTGACATTTTCCTTTAGAATTTGCTGGTATAATTCAGAGTGCATTGTTCCACCAATGATGGTAAGCCATCCTGGCCCAGATGCAGCAAAACAGGCCCAAACCATGATACTACCACCACCATGTTTCCCAGATGGAATAAGGTTTTTATGCTGGAATGCAGTGTTTTCCTCTCTCCAAACTGAACACTTCTCATTTAAACCAAAAACATCTATTTTGGTCTCATCCGTCCATTTGTCTCAGTAGCCTTCTGGCTTGTTTGTGTGATCTTCGGCAAACTGCAGCCGGGCAATAATGTTCTTTTTGGAGAGCAGTGGCTTCTACTTGCAAAACTGCCATGCATACCTTTGTTGTTCAATGTTACCCTGGGTTCCTTTGTGACCTCGCTGACTATTACACGCCTTGCTCTTGGTGTGATCTTTGTTGGTTGACCACCCCTGGGGACCATAACAATGGTCTTGAATTTCCTCCATTTGTACACAATCTGTCTGACTGAGATCTTTAGAGATTTTTCCAGCCTGATTAGCATCGACAACTCTTCTTCTGAGGTCCTCAGAAATCTCCTTTGTTCATGCCCTGATACACTTCCACAAACATGTGTTGTGAAGATCAGACTGTGATAAATCCCTGTTCTTTAAATAAAACAGGGTGGTCACTCACACCCGATTGCCGTCCCATTGATTGAAAACACCTGAGTCTAATTTCACTTTCAAATGATCTGTTAATCCTAAAGGTTCACATACTTTTGCCACTCACAGATCTGTAGTAGTTGATCATTTTCCTAGTAGACCAAGTCTACTATTTTGTCTCATTTGTTTAATTTGGTTCTCTTGATCTACTTTTATGACTGATGAAGTTTCAGGTCAAATATATGCAGAAATATAAAAAATTCTGAAGGGTTCACAAACTTTCAAGTAGCACTGTATGGGAAGTGGACAGGCTTTCCTACCATTGACTTTGATGGTGGCCTCAGTACTCTGCTCTCCACACACACAGCGGTACACTCCACTGTCTTCTGGTTGTGCTTTTCTGATTAGCAGCTCTGTGGTTACATCCCTTTGCCTCAGCTGATACCTTTCCCCAGTACATAACCTTTCTTCACCTTTCCACCACTCTACATGTGCTCCAGCTCTGGAGAGCTCACAATACAAACTGAGGCTGTTTCCCTCTTGAGCTTCCAGGTTCTTCAGAATGGTTTTGAAGGTTAGAGGCAGTGCTACACAGAGTGATGGAATCACATTGAACAATTTTGGGTTTCACCATATTTCAGCTTGATAAACATCTTCTCCATAGAGACAGTGATGACTTATTCATGAATTCATGAGGTGTTTACACTTGCATTTAGTCATTTTTGCTCAAAAGAATCTATATTAACGAGCAACAGGAGTAGCTTGTCTCCAGACTCATTACATTGCTCCAAGCTACGATAGCCATTGACACCAGCTGGAAGCAACCCATGAATATCCATGCAAAATATCTGAAAACCAAAAGTGTCTAACCAAAACTCTACAGGGGTCAGGTGGTAGGACTAGAGCCACTCCACAATTTTTAAAACAGATTTACTTTAAATTAATAGCTTCTGCAGCCAGCTACACTGTGAGGATTTGTTCACGTTTGTGGTTCATAGTAAGTTATACTGTGTCATAAACCACATCGACAAGTCTGCCCCACCTCAATGCAGACCAGGATGCAGTTAGAGAGGGTTGAGAGAAGTTTTGGGGATGCATTTACGGAAAAGGTTTGGGTGACTACTGACTTCTAATGTTCGTCAGCAGTGTTCATCATGGCTGTACTGCATAGCTACAGAGCTGGAAGCCAAGATGCCAAATTTGGATATCAAATGTGTCTTGTCTGATAGACTACATCTGGGATACGTGGAAAACTGTGGAAAAGATTTTTTTTTGCTTTTGCTTAATTCTTTCAAGCTATACTGGAGAGTTTAATTAGCCTAAATCTTCCTCTATTTCAATTTCAAATATTTAATAATTCAAAAATGAAGAAGTACTGCAGAGGTCACAAAAATGAAGCAAAAAGACAGGTGCTGCTGGGGCATGGGTGCAGCAAAATAATGATTCCATGCTGGTAGTGGCAAAAAAACCAAAAAATCCATCCGCATCCACAAGGCATATGCAAAATAAATCCCAGAGCAAAGAAATTCATGGGTACACTTATACTTCTTAAGAGAAGTATAAAAAAGCCTTTAGTGAAACATGGCAATATGTATAAAGTGTGCCAACGTGTTGTGGCCTTCACAGGCCTTCATCAGGACACAAAAATTGGTATGCTGTTATAGAAGCGTGCGTTGCGGCCTTCAATGGGACACCAAAAATGGCATACCGTTATAGAATGGCACGTTACGGCCTTCATTGGGACGCCAAAAATGGCATACCGATATAGAAGGACAGGAATAAAGGCCACAACACGTTGGCAAATTTTTATACATATTGCTATGTTTCAATAAAGGCATTTTATACTTCAGACGGTATGCCAATGAATTTCTTTGCTCTGAGATTTATTTTGCACATGCCTTGTGGCTGCGGATAGATTTTTTATTTTTTGCCACTATGAGCAGACAATCATTTACAATTTGACCATTTTACACAGGTAGGTGAAGGTAAGGTTAAGAGTCTTGCCCAAGGACTTTTATTGGTATAGTGTGGGGTGCTTACCCAGGCAGAGGATTGAACCCCAGTCTGCAATGTAGCAGGCAGAGGTGTTACACATTACACTACACCAGCCTTAAAATCCAGGGTGTTATTATCACAAGGTTTGTGATATGGATGTGATCAAATGTGATGTACTGGTGTTTCACATCTAACAGTGGATCAAGGGAAATTCAACAGAAGTTGTTGTTGATGTTAGATGAGTATATATGGTGATGTAACTGTGAAAATAGAGCTGATAGGATGTAAAATTTCCAATGCAATGAAAGGTTTGGGTAACATTACGCAGCATGCAACCGGGTCACAGGGGTCTAACGTACCATTGAACACGTTCCCCCTTACAAAATCAAATCTTACCTTGCACGGTAAGTTCCGCCGCTGATTGTGCATCTTTGGTTTTACAGATATATTTCCCAGAATCACCCTCTTCAAGGTTATTTATCACCAGTTTGGTTAATCTTCCCTCTAGCTTCATCTTGTACTTCTCTCCAGGTTTCAGAATAACTCTTCCTTTTCTCCACTCTACTGGAGCGCCAGGTTTAGACAGTTCACAGGTGAACACAGCACTGTCCCCTTCTTTAGAAACCTGGTCCTGGAGCTCCCGTTTGAAAGTGATGGGAAGAGCTGGCACAGCATGAGCAGATTTTTTAAACCTGATCTATAGATATAAGCCATATTGATTTGAAAATGCCTATAATGAGTTTAACAATAAAGATACCTTTGATTTTCACCTCTGCTGTGCTCGTTTGTTTCCCAATAACACAGCTGTACTTCCCAGCATCGTTCAGATGAACATTTGTGATCTCCATCTCAGCAACTTTGCCCTCCTGTCTCATCTGATACCTCCCACCAGGCATTAGCTGTTCCTCACCTTTCCACCATTCCACAGGTACTCCAGCTTTAGAAAGCTCACATCTTAGTACCACACTGCCTTCCTCTGAAGCTTCTTGGTTCTTCAAGTTTTGTTTGAAAGTGGGAGGCAGCCCTAAAAACAAGAAAATTGAGGGTGAATGGTGCAACTGGTGCACCCACACTCCTTTTAAAAAAGGCTTCTTTGATACACTCTTAAAAAATGGTTCTTTAAGGGTTCTTTAGTAAAGGCAAAGGTTCTATACAGAACCATGAACACTCAAAACCCATCAGACGGAATAATCTGAATACTTGTTTTTTCATTGCAGGGTAAAATGGTCCTTCTCTATGATGGAAAACTGTAAATGGTTCTTTAAAGATGCCATTTAAAAATGGGACCAAAAAGGGTTCAACTATTGAATCAAAGAACCCTTTTTCCATACTATATAGAACCCTCTTTCCTGAGTGTGATAGCTGCTGTTGCAAGATCAGACAAGCTTTACAGAAAGCTACCAAAAATTCCTTCAAGCTAATAAAAACTGATGTTGTCATAATAACGTCATTTAGAGTTTGTTATTCATTTAAAATGATATTATTTTTCTCATTTGGAAACAGTAGCTATTAAAGAGAGCATCTTTAGGCTATGCTTGGATGGGTCTAATACCATATCTTGTAAATGTTCCATTACACATAACTGGTTCTCCTACCAATAATTTTGATGGTAGCTTTGGTCTTTTGGTCTCCACACACACATTTGTAGACTCCGCTGTCCTCAGGCACGGTGTCATTGATGATCAGCTCATATGTTGTATCTCTTTCTCTCATCTGATACTTTTGCCCAGGCTGGAGAAGCTCCTCTCCATTCCACCATTCCACTGGGACACCAGCTTTGGACAGTTCGCAGCACATGGTCACTGCTTTGCCCTCCTCAACTACTTGGTTCTTAAGCGTCTCTTTAAAGCTGATATGTTGCCCTGCAGGAAAGAAATGCATGCAAAAATCAAGGGAAAATATCAGTGGTTCCCAATCTTTGTCCTGTAGTACAGCACAACGCTTTACTGTGCTGTTTTAGCTTCAAGCAAACAGTGCCACATAGCGGCTGGGCAATATGACAGTATACACCGATCAGGCATAACATTATGACCACCTCCTTGTTTCTACGCTCATTGTCCATTTTATCAGCTCCACTTACTATATAGGTGCACTTTGTAGTTCTACAGTTACAGACTGTAGTCCATCTGTTTCTCTGATACTTTGTTAGCCCCCTTTTACCCTGTTCTTCAGTGGTCAGGACCCCCATGGACCCTCACAGAGCAGGTACTGTTTGGGTGGTGGATCATTCTCAGCACTGCAGTAACACTGACGTGGTGGTGGTGTGTTAGTGTGTGTTGTGCTGGTCTGAGTGGATCGTAACGTCACATGAATGAATCAGGTGCATCATCAGCACAAACTAACGAGCAGAACGAGCTTCGCTGAGAAGATCATTAACTCTGATCAGCTCTCAGCTTCATTATTAGAGCGAGACGAAGGAGAAAAAGGTGAGATGTGTTTCTTTTCCATCGTTTACAGGCTTTAACTTCTGTTCAGTGCTGCTGCCATGGTAACGCTGAATGATGGCGCAGTGGAAAAAAATCACATGAATTCCGATCTGAGTGTCACATTAAGGTCACATGGCCACAAATCGGATACGTATCCGATCTAGGACCACATATGAAAGTGACTCAGGTCGGATTTGAAAAGATCAGATTTGCGTGACCACACAGCCCTGAAAACATCAGATCTGAGTCACATTAGGGCAAAAAATCGGATTTGTGCCACTTCAACCTGGTAATGTAAACGTAGCCTAAAACACATTTATCGATAAGATACTGTTCAAGAATGCTAATGTTTGGTCAGACTTACTGCTAACAGTGACTTTAGCTGACGTCTGGACGCCACCATAGGAGCAGCTGTAGACGGCGCTGTCGTCACATCTCAAAGAGAAAATCTTCAGCTCTATTGCTGAACCTCTTTGTCGCATTTGGTACTTTTCTCCAGACCTGAGCAACTCGTTGCCCTTCCTCCATTCAACAGGAAGTCCAGGTTTTGACAGCTCACAGTGCAAAATAACACTGTTTCCTTCTTCAACTGTCTGAGTTTTCAGCTTCTGTTTGAACGTGATGGGTTGAGCTGTAGGGAAACAGTCAGTCAGTATAATCAGATATAAAGTGCAGCTCTGTCTACACTAGTGCGAAGTGCACACTATGACCACACATAGGCTGATTCATATTTTATATAGTATATTTAAATCTATGCTTGGTTTATTCTCTTTATGTAATTTTATATATCAAAAAAGAAACCGGAAATTATAGTCTGCGCTCTCAAAATGTATCTTCTTAAGATCCCCATCGTACGTACTGTATCAGTAAACAAGCCTTTAGTTAAGCTGCACCTTCTGAGTGGAATTTGTTACAGAAATATTTAAAACATCAAGAACTTTTATCACTGAAATATTTAAAAACATTCTTCAAACAGTGGAAGTGGGTAAAACTGCTTGTCAGTGTTTTAAATGATTAATTATGGATTGTTGATTACTGATTTTTTCTGTTTTATGTTTGTAATGTGTTATTTGTTTTGTGGGAATATTTTGCTATGCTACCTAGCTCAGCTAGGACATTCCTGTAAATGAGATTTTTAATCTCAGCAAGTTTTTCCTCTGGTTAAATCATATATACATAATTAAATAATGTGATAATGTAAAGATTCTCATTAGTAATTTATTTCACATTATACAACAGTTAGTTCCGGCCACGCGAGCTGATTGGTTGAGAAGTGTTCTAACTGTGCTGTTATTTCACCATAACATCACAGGTTTTTCACAAACCCTGTATCTCTCCGCTGAAACGCCGTTGCTAAGCAACGACTTTGACAGCTGTAGGAGACGCCCAAGACATTTGAACATGTTTACTTCTTACTTTGCCACAAACAGAAAATGGACACTTTTAAGATCACATCTGACCGACAGCTGATTTGGTCAGACTCTGAAGATGAGACGACACTAAATTCCCAAACTGTCATCACCACTGAGCAGCTTTTCAGTCGGCAGCTGTGACAGAAGAACAGCTGAACAACCTGGAATCAGCCAGAAATGAACCCAACACCATTCGCCAAACTAAATGGGCTGTAAGATGCTTTACAGACTGGCTGGAACAAAACAACATTAATACTGATCTGGCAAAAACTGACAAAACTGAGCTGAACTTGATATTGCGGCAGTTTTACAGCTTAGTCCACATTTCAAAAGGCGAGGTTTACAGCAGACTGTGCAGCGAGTGAGCGGAGTTCATTTCTCTGACGTAGCAACAAGCTTCTTTACTGTGTCAGCGCAAACAGCAGAGAAAACAGCAGCAGCTCTATGTTTGTTATTTGCGTCTCCCAGTAACGGGAGTTCGCGAGAGTTCAGTGAGCTCCGTTCAGTTCAGCAACAGCTTAAAAGTTGAGTAGTGTGTGATCCCTAATCGTTTAGTGTGTGATCCCCAATATTTCAGTCGCCCAAGAAAATCTGCAAAAACCAGTCGTATAGTGTGAGACGCCCAGTGTTTTTATGATCTGTAAAGACTTTAAAAGCCGTGTGGTGAAGCCGAGGCTTAAGTTTGTATGTGTTTGTATTTGGCAGCACTGTCTAGACTGTCCACCATTATGTCTAGCAAGCTGTCTCTTGTTGTAAATGGGATGGGGTAAGGGGGTAGTTCTGTGTTTCTTACCCTCCTTTGTTTTTTGTTTTTGTTTTTTGTAGGGCCACTGTTAATAAAAATAAAAATTGTTGACTTCGAGAATAAAGTCGTAATATTTCAAGAATAAAGTTGTAATATTTGGAGGATAAAGTGGGCTAACTGTAGGGGGGCTGCCATAACACGTTGGGGTCTCGGTTGCTGTACTGGTGCCGGAGCTCAACTCACTCCTGTCTCTTTGTGGATCGATCATTTTGATTATCATTCTCACTGTCTATGAAACTTCATGTCCTCTTTGAATGGTGCGGAGCCTTTGGCCACAATATTGCAACCTTTCCACTTTAATGGCGTAATTCTATGACTTTTGTTCTCAAAATATTACAACTTTTTTCTCAAAGTCTACCATTTTTATTTTTAATAACAGTGGCCCTAAAACCCTGTCGTATTTTTCTTCTATAACTGCAAATTCAATAAAAATCATTATTTAAGAAAATAAATCCCTACTTTGAAATATACTCAACCAGTCAGATTTTAGGACTGAAACTATCCCATTTATAATGCCTGTTTTGCCAAACTTGTGTGCCAAAACACAAAGCACTGTACATTGATAAACATGACCAACCATTAATCTTAATTGAGGCTTTGGTCCTTTGGCCTGTGCAGACACAGCTGTAGGTTCCGCTGTCCTCTGGCGCTGGATTCCTGATTACTAGCTCCTGTATTGATGCTATTTGTCGCATCAGATACTTCATCCCATGGCTTAGCACTTCCTCCTCCCTCATCCACTCCACCGGCACTCCTGCCTTGGAGAGTTCGCAGCGTAACGTCACAGGCCAGCCCTCTTCTGATTCCTGATTTTTTAGCTCCTTAACGAATGTGATGGGGACCGCTGGTGAAGAGAGTGGTCAAATGTAAAAATGTTAGATAGTCATTCTAGAATCTTAACCCATGTGAGGTATTGATGTGTTTGTTACTCAGTGGTCTGGTGGACCCACCACATTATGGTTTTTTTAAATCAGTACAGTCATAACAATTTATGTAAAAATACCAGATGTTTAAAATATCACAAGTGTTCAGCGTAGGGTTCTCCTTTAGCAGCTGTAGCCAGTCAGCAGCCTGTCCATGTTGTCCACCCTCTCACACACACACACATATATACAAACACATAGACACACAGACACACACACTAACAGCAGGCCATGTAGGAGGAGAACAGAGTGAAGGACACAGCACCTCCACACTTTCACTCCCCGCAGGTTCACCCAACACCACATGTGTAATATAAATGTGTGGGGGGTGAACAGAGTGAAGACACTGAAAATGGGTTATTTTATATGTTCTTCATTGAAAATGAGCAAAGACCAAGAATCTGAGGGTGAAATAATAATAAAAAGCATCATTTTTTTCTTTGGTAAACACTGAAAATGTCCCACAGACCCCAACACCACACAAGGGTTAAAGGACAGATCAATAAAAGTGGAAACTTCCACTACATCTCACCATGGACTGTAACGGTGGCCATAGTTCTTTGGTTTCTGCAGACGCAGGTGTAAGTCCCCGAGTCCTCAGGCTTCACGTTGTGGATGGTGAGGGAAATGTGATGTTTTCTTTGCTTCGTCAGGTACTTCTCTCCAGATCTGAGTGTCTCTGGTCCTTTACGCCACAAGTACTGAACGCCGGGCACGGAGAACTCACAGGACAGTGTCACACTGCCTCCCTCTTCAGCGTCTTGACTCTGAAGCTGCTTTGTAAACTCAGCTGGCACCGCTAACATTAAATAAACACAGAACGAAGGTCTGAACATCTGAAGTGAAATGAAACTGCTGGGTAAAGCAGAAAAAGTGAGCTCCTAATGGAGGACGCATCATCACACAAAGGGTCAACCACTAGAACCGATTTCTCTAAAGGGCTTAAGAGACATTTTGTTCATTTAGAGCACTTGGGGTCCAGTGTACTAAGCTTTTTGTGCAAGTTTCTACACACTTAACAACGACGGTCCTTCAAGATTTCTTTAGTACAGTACATTCTCCATTAATCTGAAGAACCCTTTCATGACGCAACCTCACGATTCGATTCGATTACGATTACGATTCAGAGGCTGTGATGCGATTATAAAACGATTATTGATGCATCTTGAAGCATCTTTTTTTTCTATACAGGATTGGTACTTTTAAAGTAAAGTATTTGTAATAATCCATAATGAATTTAACTGCAATATTTTCATTAATAAAATAAATGGAAGTGATGAGACGCTGCTGCCACTCATCTGTGATAAAATGCGCAGTTATGGTGAAATAAGATCCAGTGGAGCTGGATGTCCACGCAGCACATGTTACAGCCATTCTACCTGTTTTCCTTAGTGATTTTATAACTTTGGTTTGGTATCTCTGCTCCAAAGTGCACAACATAGCACAGAAGCCCTGGTTCTCAATGACTGAGAACTGGCGTGCAGACTGCAGGTCACATAGCAACGCAGTCTCGCCTGGCTAGTAGCGAACGAAAAGGCAAAGAGAGAGATTTAAGACAAACATTTGGAGACAAATGGACTTATTTGCATTTATAAGCAGCGCAGTTGATTTCCTGGTACATTAAATCTGCAATGAGAGACTGTCAAACACTAAAAAGTAACGAAGATGAACTCAGCTTCTCTTTCGAGTTTTCCCGTTCCACCTTAAATGGTGCCGCATTTACGTTCAGCACCTCAGTCAGAATTTAAGGCGGAATGTGAAAATTCGAACAAGAAGCTAGAGAATAAAAAGTGATTTCAGCCTCGTAAAACAGTCGAATGTTGAGAGACATTTTACAAGAAACGGTTCCACTTATAAGGAAAATGTCCTGGCAGAAGTGGCTGTAGCTAAAGCTTAAAGCAGAGCAAAGTAAATCTGCGTTTTCATTTATAATTTTTAGCCTATACTAGGACATCAGCACACACTGAGACATACTGGACATCAAATGTTGTGGATTTGATTTTTGTTGAAAGGACAAACTGGCTCTTCTTATCATTTGGGTTGTGACTCCTGACCTAACCTGGCTTTTAATGCAGAGGGAGCCGGTCGGATTTCTCGCTCACCAGTTGTGTTTTTGTTATGTGCGGCCACAGACTGTCCGGACGCTGCACTTCCGCACTTCCAAGTTCCGCCCTTTTGTGTTCCGTCAATATTATGTTATAAATTAAATATTTAGAAAACCGATTTTTGACAGTTGTGAATCGATTCTGAATCATTTACGTCCGCATTGCGATACATCTAAGAATCGATTTTTCCCCCCACCCCTACTATTCACACAGATTCTGATAATTACACAGCTCTCTTGTTGGAATGTGTTATTGCATGTTATGTATGGAAGAACATTTTGTAGTGTAGGTTGTGCTTCGGCTCCCTTGATACATGTAGACAGTTTCTTGTAGGCATGTTTATGGGTTACGATCACTCTGACATACCTTTAACAGTCACAACAGCCTTGGTGCTTACAGACCCTGCATCGCATTCATACACTCCTGCATCCGTGTCTTTGACCTCACGAATGGTCAACCGGGCCTCGTTTCCGGCTCGACTCATCAGATAGTTGGACGAATTCCACACTAAGCAGCCGTCCTTATACCACACAATATGACAAGGTTTGGAAGTCCTGCACAGCAGCATCAAACTTCCTCCCTCAATGGCTTCAGTGTCCTCTAACGCTTTGATAATTGTGGGGCGCCTTTCTGCAAATGACACATGAAATACATTATCTCCTGCTTTCAGGTGACGTGTCCTTTGGTGTGCATTAAAGCATTTCAGAACAAAAGTTAGCTCTATAATTTCATATTTCAAATTGCTAACCACAAATAGTGCAAAGACAACATATCAAATGTTGAAACTGAGAAATTTTATTGTTTTTTGAAAAATATATGCCCATTTTAAATTTGATGCCAACAACACGTTTCAAAAAGGTTGGGATGGGGGCCTGTTTACCACTGATTTTCATCACTTCTTCTTTGAACAACACTCTATAAGCGTTTCTGACACTTTTCCACTTCCGCCCAGTCCATTTTAAATGAGCTCAGGCCCAGAGAAGGTGGCAGCATTTCTGGATCCTGTTTATCTTTGGTTTCGTCTTTGCGTTTTAGAGTTTTAACTTGCATTTGTGGATGCAGTGATGAACTGTGTTCACAGACAGTGGTTTTCAGAAGTGTTTCTGAGCCCATGCAGTGATTTTCACCACAGAATCATGTCTGTTTTTAATGCAGTGCTGCCTGAGGGACCAAAGATCACAGCCAGCAAATACTGGTTTTTAGCCTTGTCCCTTACATACAGAGATTCCTCCAGATTCTCTGAATCTTTTAATGTTATTATGTATTGTAGATGATGAAAAGCAAAAGCTCTTTACTATTTTATATTGAGAAACATTATTCTTGAATTGTTGCACTATTTGATCGTGCAGTCTTTCACAGAGTGGTGAACCCCTCCTCATCTTCACTTCTGAAAGACTCCGCCTCTCTGAGATGCTCTTTTATACCCAATCATGTTACTGACCTGTTGGCAATTAAACACCAGGTGTTTTTTTTTTTAGCATTACAACTTTACCAGCCTTTTGTTTCCCCCGTTTCAACTTTTTTGGAATGTGTTGTTGGCATCAAATTCAAAATGGGCAAATATTTTTTTTATAAACAAACAAAATATTTTTTAACAAACATTGCTTTTGTTTTTATTTACATTTTGCACAGTGTCACAACTTTTTTGAAAATGGGGTTGTATTTCAAATGCCAGCTGCGTCTCTGTTACCTCTTACTAGCAGTGAGGCGTAGGATCTCTTGTCTCCAGCTTCAAAAGAGATGGTTCCTGTATCTTTGCGCTCCAGCTGTTTGATGGTAAGGGTATGGTAGCCACCAGGGAGCATGTTAATCTCATTTAAGTCGTTTGTGTAGAGCAGAGTCTCATCGAGATACCACTTAACCTCAGTGAAGTCGCTCGGACAGATGCGACACCTGAACGTCACAGTGTTCCCTTCTAGACACTCGATATCCTCCAGTTCATCCAAAATGAGCACTTTCTGACCTAAAGGACATAAAGTTTATAAAGACATTTAACAGTGTTTATTAAAGTGTTTTCCTTTTATACCTTTATCTAATGCTAACCATACACTAGAAGACTTTGAAAAGACTTTTGAAATACTGAGGTCTGACACCCTCATCTAGAGTGTTACGTGTAAGCACATACACCGGTCAGGCATAACATTATGACCACCTCCTTGTTTCTACGCTCATTGTCCATTTTATCAGCTCCACTTACTATATAGGTGCACTTTGTAGTTCTACAGTTACAGACTGTAGTCCATCTGTTTCTCTGCATACTTTGTTAGCCCCCTTCTACCCTGTTCTTCAGTGGTCAGGACCCCCGTGGACCCTCACAGAGCAGGTACTATTTGGGTGGTGGATCATTCTCAGCACTGCAGTAACACTGGCGTGGTGGTGGTGCTGTGTTAGTGTGTGTTGTGCTGGTCTGAGAGGATCAGACACAGCAGTGCTGCTGGAGTTTTTAAACACCTCAGTGTTGCTGCTGGACTGAGAATAGTCCACCAACCAAAAACATCCAGCCAACAGCGTCCTGTGGGCAGCATCCTGCGACCACTGATGAAGGACTAGAGGATGACCAACACAAACTGTGCAGCAGCAGATGAGCTATTGTCTCTGACTTTACATCTACAAGGTGGACTGACAAGGTAGGAGTGTCTAATAGAGTGGACAGTGAGTGGACACAGTGTTCTGTGCCTGATCGGTGTATTTTGGTCTGTTTTGTGTTTGTGTCTCTCTTTCTTTTCTGGTCTCTCCCTTCTCAGATGTACCTGCCCTGCAGTCAGTCAGGTGAGGACCAATCAGAGGCCTGGCTGGTGTAGATGGGGGTGAGGAACCTAAGCCTTAAAAGAGGCCTTAAAGATGGCTAAAGAGAGAGGACTGGTCACGAGTGTTTTAGTTCATGTTTTTAACCTCTTGTGTTTGAAGTGGGCTTTTGTTTTAGGTATTTTACCAGCACTTCCTTTAACTTAGTGTATGAGTTTGTCTCTTGTGTTGGGGAAGTGCTTTTGTTTGGAATTTTAGCTGCACACTTTTAACTTTGTACTCTGTCTAGTTCCCTAGGTCAGAGGGCACCGCACATGTACTTTTGACTATTGGCCAGGGTAGAGTAGTTAGCCTTTGTTTCCTTTTTAGGTTGGCTAAGTACATTTTGTAGCTCGGGTTTCTCTTCATTTGCGCACAAATCTTTTGCCTTTTACTGAAGATTTCCGTGGAGGGGAACATTGACGAGTACTTCTTATTTTTGCAGGCTCTGCTTTTGTGGGGCGGTCGTGGGCTGGAGGTTAGAGAACCAGCCCTAGGACCAGAAGGTTGCTGGTTCGATCCCCTGAGCTGACTGGACATGACTGACATGCCTTTGAGCAAGGCACCTAAACCCCAACTGCTCCCTGGGTGCCGTGGATAGGGCTGCCCACCGCTCCAGACTAGTGTGTCACTTCCCACTAGTGTGTATGTGGTGTTTCACTGCATAGATGGGTCAAAATGTGGAGGCAAAATTTCTCCGTTGTGGGACTAATAAGGGTCACTTCATTAATTTCAGAGCAGGTGAGCGTGGTTAGGTTTGGTTTTGTTCTTTTCTTTGGTGCCGTCCAGTTTGACTCTTCCAGTGTCGTATCATAGCACACCAGTTTTATTGTGGTTGGTTTTAATAAAATTTAATCAAAAGCTCTGTTGGTCTGTTCCTTAAGCTTTTAATCCATCATCACCAGTTCAGTGTTTTAATGCCACGTTATTGATCCCACAGCACCCTAGACAAAACGTGGGGTCGTAACATAGAGACAATGACAGTTTTTAGTCACAGACTATGATTTTGCAAAGACTGTGGCTCTTGCAGGGTCAATATTTGCAAGACTGCAATTAGATTTTTGAGATTATTTCCCATCATGCACCTGGTGGAAATCTACAAGCAGAGAAATCAAAACGAGAAAGACAGACTTAACCCTTGTGTGGTGTTGATGTGTTTGTTACTCAGTGGTCTGCTGGACCCACATTATTGTTTTATTGAATCAATACAGTCATAACAATTTATGTAAAAATACCAGATGTTTAAAATGTCACAAGTGTCCAGTGTAGGGTTCTCCTTTAGCAGCTGTAGCCAGTCAGCAGCCTGTCCATGTTGTCCACCCTCACACACACACACACATATACAAACACACACACACACACACACAGACACACACACACTAACAGCAGGCCATGTAGGAGGAGAACTGAGTGAGGGACTCAGCACCTCCACACTTTTACTCCCCGTGGGTTCACCTAACACCTCATGTGTAATATAAATGTGTGGGGGGTGAACAGAGTGAAGACACTGAAAATGGGTTATTTTATATGTTCTTCACAGAAAATGTGCAAAGGCCAAGAATCTGAGGTTGAAATAATAATAAACTGCATAATTTTTAATCTTCGTAAACACTGAAAATGGGTCCCATAGACCCCAACACCACACAAGGGTTAAGACAGCCGTCCTGACCACTTTACACTGAACTATTGAGATGAGGTGAGCATGATGCGACTCTGGCAACACTCTCATGAATTTATTTTGACATTGGAAATTTGCCTGCAACAGTGAAATCGCTTGAAAAGTCATTTGGTGAACGGCCAGCATAAGAGGCATTCCATAAGGTGGATTATAAAGTCATCTCATTTACTAACACATAATACAGTGCAGGTCTCACCAAGTACTGTGAGCAACGCTCTGCTCTGCATCGTGCCAACATCACAGGTGTACAGATCACTGTCACTCTTCTCAAGGTTGAAGATGGTAAGAGACAGGATGACTCCTTTCCTCCTCATCAGGTACTTCTGGCCTGAAGTGAGCACCACCATGCCCTTTAACCAGGTCACTTTACTGGCAGGCCTCTTAGTCTCACACTCCAGGATGGCCATGCTCTTCTCTTCTGCTCGTAAGTCTTTCAGCTCTTTAGCAAACGTGTGCTGGAGGTCTGAAGGAGTGGAGGCAAAAGAACAACAAGCTTGAATACTAAATATTTGAGGAAGATGAATTGTTTCTCTGATCACTAATGAGCAGCCACAGATCAGGAACCACTGTGCCTATTGGGCTGGGTGCAAAGGGTCTTGCTGATCTCCATCCCTTCAGTGGTTGTAACTAAAACAGCACTTGTAATCTATTTCTCCACCTTTTTCTGCAGCTTCCTAGTGGCCATTTATGACTAAACAAGGCACTTACCTCTGACCTCTAACCTTGCCCTAGTAGCAATGCCGTCGGCCTCACAGCAGTACTCTCCCGAGTCCTTTACAGTTGTGTTAAGGATGATTAGCCTAACCAGATGGCCTTTTTGGCTAATCTCATATTTAGGACTGGCTCTGATCAACCTGCCGTTCTTCAACCACTTGATGGTGGCCTGAGGCTTAGTGATCTCACAGCTAAGCTCGGCGTCTTCTCCAGGTGTCGCTTTAACATTCAGCATGTCTCTAAAGACCCTCACAGGCTTCTCTGAGAACAGAGGAGACAGAGGATCTGCTCAATTTGCAGTTGAAACAAAGAATAAATCCACTCAAAATCCGTGGAGGTGCCGTACCTTTGACGAACAGCATGGTCCTGCAGCTGAGATCCTTGATGGTGAAGACCACGTCCCCAGCATCAGAAATCACTACCTCATGGATGTCCATTGTGTACTTGCGCCCCTTGTTATCCACCTGGATTCTTCCGTTGCTGACAATCAACTCACCGTTCAGGGTCCAGGAAGCCTCATCAATGATGTCATGTGACAAAACACACTCAAAATGGCAGCTCTCCCCCTCGAGAGCTGCAACTGTCTTCAAGCGCTTGATGATAGTGATGTGGAGATCTGAAAGGATTAGTCACGTGTGATTACTGTGTCATTTTCGTCAGTTATTTTGTTAATGTTTTGGATACGTCATACACCGATCAGGCATAACATTATGACCTTGTTTCTACGCTCATTGTCCATTTTATCAGCTCCACTTACTATATAGGTGCACTTTGTAGTTCTACAGTTACAGACTGTAGTCCATCTGTTTCTCTGATACTTTGTTAGCCCCCTTTTACCCTGTTCTTCAGTGGTCAGGACCCCCATGGACCCTCACAGAGCAGGTACTATTTGGGTGGTGTGTTAGTGTGTGTTGCGCTGGTACGAGTGGAGAGTTTTTAAACTGTGTCCACTCACTGTCCACTCTATTACCTTGTCAGTCCACCTTGTAGATGTAAAGTCAGAGACGATAGCTCATCTGCTGCTGCACAGTTTGTGTTGGTCATCCTCTAGTCCTTCATCAGTGGTCACAGGACGCTGCCCACAGGACGCTGTTGGCTGGATATTTTTGGTTGGTGGACAATTCTCAGTCCAGCAGTGACACTGAGGTGTTTAAAAACTCCAGCAGCACTGCTGTGTCTGATCCACACAGACCAGCGCAACACACACTAACACACCACTACCACGTCAGTGTTACTGCAGTGCTGAGAATGATCCACCACCCAAATAGTACCTGCTCTGTGAGGGTCCATGGGGGTCCTGACCACTGAAGAACAGGGTAAAAGGGGGCTAACAAAGTATCAGAGAAACAGATGGACTACAGTCTGTAACTGTAGAACTACAAAGTGCACCTATATAGTAAGTGGAGCTGATAAAATGGACAATGAGCACAGAAACAAAGAGGTGGTCAGAATGTTATGCCTGATCGGTTTGTATAGAACTTACCACGAACAATAACCTTGGCTTTGGTTTGGCTCGTTCCCACATCGCAAGAGTATTCCCCTGCGTCGTCCTTTCTGAGACTGTGAATGATAAGAGCTAATGACCTGCCCAAGTGTAGAATTTCCTGCTTCTCGCTGGCGGTTAGGACTGTACCATCTTTCCTCCAAATGGCAGTTACTGCTTGCTTGGAGACTTCACACTGTAAACATGCTTTGCCATGTTCCTCAGCCACTACATCTTCCAGAGACCTGAGGAACACTGCTGGCCTCTCTGAGGGACATAGATACAGCAGAGTAGAAGGACTATTACAACTCTTATTTCAACTCTTTTTCCTGAATCAGTCAAAATTAACTCTAAGTGGCAGATTTACTAACGTTTTGCACCTTTGCGAATCATTAAAAACATTAAAAAGCGACTGTCGTGATTTACTAACTAGGCACAGAGGCCCTTTAGTGCCCATAGTAACTACACAAAGGGGGAAATACTGTGAGGGGATTATTATAATGAAGCGCCTACTCACATAAATCAAGGCTGACCATAAATACAGATCTGATTTTTGGCACTAACAAGATTGCCATTGTTGTTTTTGTTGAGTTTTTAAAACACATTTATTCAACAATTTAAAATGTTATGAAACAGAAAGTTGAAATAAATACTTATTTTTTTCCAATTGAACATAATATGACACGTAACAACACATTTCTTTCACCAGTCATTATTTTAAGCAAAATTTCAAGAAAATTGCACTATTTTGAGTCACAATGAGACACAATTTAGACCAGAATCAGAGAAACCTTTTTTTTTTCTCCTAACTTGATAGCTCAGTGATATTAGACTAGCTTGAAAGCTCAGTTATGCTTCTTACACACTTAAAAATGATGATTCTTCAAGGGTTCTTTAGTAAAGAAAATGCTTCTATATAGAACACTCAGAGAACCCTTTGCATGATTAAAGAGCTCTCTGCATCATTAAATTGTTCTTCAGATTGATGGAGAACATGCTGTAGATGGTTCTATATAGAATTGTTTTTGAAAATGGTTCTATATAGCACCAAAAATGTCCTTTAAGTATAGCACCATTCCCTTTGAAGAACCATAGGTCAGCATTTACTTGGTCATTAGTCTCATGTGGCCAGATGTGCTCTCAAGGACAAGAACAGCAGTGGACATTCCTGAGAAATGTTGGGCTAAATGTGGGTGGCAATGTGGGCGCTTATCAACATTATTCAACAGATAAAAAGCCTATCATTAGCACACGGATGTAGCGTTGGCTGGAAATCAATTATCATATCATTATGTTGCCATGGCAGCACTGTTTTCATAGAAAGCATTAAAGCAGGGGTGCCCAAGACAGTCCTGGAGGGCTGAAGTCCAGTATTCCCTGCTCTAACGCGCTTATTAAATCTAGTAATTAACTATGGACTTCAGTCAGGGGCATTAGAGCAGGAAAACCGAAATCTCCTGGTCTCTGGCCCTCCAGGAACAAATTTGGGCACTCTTGGTTTATGATATGAAGTTGTTAACTATTAAAACTAAATAAAAAAATGCTATTAATAGTGATTAGGATCGCGTGCAGGTGTGAGCCTAGTGTGCAAAGATATATCTGACCCCTTAAGGCTACTCAGTTCTTAGCTTTTGCTTGGTTGTTAGCTTTCGCTTGGTAAGTTTCTCTGACTGAACAGAGAGAGCATAGGAAGTGCATAGCTTTGTTAAAGCTGTGTGGGACAAGCAACATCAGGCTTGTGACTAGTGAGGACAATGCTTACATAAGCATTGGACTAGATTAGGTCTTTTTATATAAAAGGGGCGAATCTTGGCGAAAATGCATCAGTCATTTAATGGACACTGGAACCCACAATAGGTAAAATGCAAATAAAAACAGAAAGCAATGATTTATAAATCCACTTTGACCTGTATTAAAAAAACTGTACAAACACAAGATATGTAATGTTTTACCTTATCAACTTAATTATACTTTGTAAATCATTCTGAACTTGTGCCTGCAACTCATTTCAATTTAAGACTAGGAACATTGTGAAATGTTCAATAAACATCTTAAACAGGTGATGCAATCATGCTTAGGTATAAAAGGAGCATCCAGGAAAGGCTGAGTCCTGAGTCATTATGGGTCGAGGCTCACCACTTAATAAAATGCCATAAATATGGTTTAAGAATAATGTTCTTCAGTGAGCGACTGTAAGAGTTTAAGGTCACCTTCTAAATTGCATAATATCATAGATAATATCATAATATTATGGGAGCAGTCGTGGGCTGGAGGTTAGAGAACCAGCCTTGCAACCGGAAGGCTGCTGGTTCGATCTCCTGAGCCAACAGTAGGTGATTGAGGTGCCCTTGAGCAAGACACCTAACCCCCAGCTGCTCCCCTGGTGCTGCGGATAGGGCTGCCCACCGCTCCGGGCAAATGTGCTCACTGCCCCCTAGTGTGTGTTCACTACTGTGTATGTGGTGTTTCACTGCACAGATGGGTTAGATTGCGGAGGTGAAATTTCCCCATTGTGGGACTAATAAGGGTCACATAATCAAACTCAATTAATCATCAAAAGATTCAGGAATCCGGAGAAATCTCTGCGCATAAAGGACAAGGCCGAAAACCACTACTGAATAACCATAACCTTTGATCCCTCAGATGGGATTGCTTTAAAAAAAGGGCATTAAAAGGCATTCTTATGTGATGGATATCGCACATGGGGATACTTTGACAAATGCTATCAATAAACGTCTGTTGCTGCCTCCACAAATGCAAGTAAACACTGTTCTATGCACAGTGGAAGTCATATGTCAACAATGTCCAGAAATGCTGCCGACTTCTCTGGGCTCAAGCTCATCTGGATTGAGCTGATGCTCAGTGGAAAGATATATTGTGGTCTGATGACTCAACCTTAGGGCCAAAAAAGAAAAGGGCCATCCCGACTGTTACCAGTACAAAGTTCAAAAGCCAGTGTCTATCATGGTGTGGGGGGTATTAGTGGGTAACCCGCACATCTGTGAAAGTACCATTACCTTTTAGAATAACATACATGCTGCCTAATAGACAACATCTTTTTCAGGTATCCCTATGCATATGCTACAACAGCATGTCTGCGTGATCAGAGAATGTGGGTTCTAGACTGTCCTGTCTGCAGTCCAGAACTGTCTCCCACTGAAAACATGTGGCACATTATTAAGCTCAAAATATGACAAGAAAGGATTCATATGGTTGCGCAGCTAAATTCTTAACAGAACAATGGCAAAAGAATTCCACTTTCAAATTGGACCAACTGGTGTTTTCAGTCCCCAAAGGATTATTAAGTACTTTTAAAAGGAAAAGTGATGTAACACAGTGGTGAACACACTCCTGTCCCAAGGTTTTTGGAACATGTGGCTGGCACAAATTTTGAATGAGCGAGTATTTACAAAAAACAATGAATTTCATAAAGAAAAACATAAATATCATGTTTTTGTACAGTTTTCAATTTAATACAGGTCAAACAGAATTTACTAATCATTACTTTCTTTTTTTATTAGCATTTCACACACTGTTCCAACTATCCAACTCTGAACTGTGTTTGTATTTGTACATGTATATTATGGGCTTGCTAGATCAAGATCAACCTAATTGAAAGGAAAACATGGTTTTAGGTTCCCTGGAGCTTTAAATCAAGTTCACCCTCTGATGCTGTTATTATTAATAAGGGGCCACATCACAGGCGAATATGCTGAACCCATAACAAAGCAAAATCACAGTGTCTATAAGTTATTTTAGACCCAGTCTAGACACAATTTACCCCTTGGACACATCACTGTGTAGCATGTTCGAAAGAAAGTGTTTTATTATTGGCAACTGTTCTTCCATAAACTATTGAGATAACAGATCTGAACAGAACTCACCTTTCACTCTGAGCGTTGTGGACTCACTGAGGCCGATGGTTTTGAAAGTCACTCTGCTGTCCTGCGGAGTGAGCCTTTTGAGAATGAGGCTGTACACTTTTCCTGAGTTCTGGATCTTGTTTAAGTAACTGGGGTGAATCACTTTGTCGTCGAGAAGCCACTGAACACTGGGCGACTCGTGGTTTAGCTCACAGGAAAACACTGCAGTTCCATCTTCCTCCATCTCCACTTGCTCTAGATGCCGTATGATCTTCAGTCTTTTTACTGCATTAAAGAACACATTGAGATAGCATCTTATTTTTGCACTGACACTTGACTAAAAATACAGTTTTGTGCAAAAAGAAGGCGGCAAACCACAAAGTCCCTGGGAATATGACCTTATGACCCTCACCTTCTACGTTGACCCGACCCCTGCTCTCGGCTCCACCAGCCAGGCACCGATACTCCCCTGAATCTGCAGCCTTCACGCCCATTATGGTCATCTGGGCACGGTTCTTTTCCCGCCTCATTCTGTACTTGCTGGTGTCCAGCAAAGGGATTCTCCCTTTGAACCAGCGCACGACTCTGGGAGAAGGACAGAACTCGCAGGTGAGAGTCACTGACCCATTCTCTTTGACCTCCACATCTGAGATGGGCTGGGTGACCACCAGGGGACGCTCTGTTAGGATAGTTCAGGTGCGCCAAGAGAGAAATGTTAATTCAAATCTACTGACCTTTTCGGTTTTACAGTCTCTACAGCAGATATGGGCTGATTAATTAATTAATATTATGGAATATTGCAGTAATTTACATAAGTGCCGATGAAACAAAGAAACCTGGCACATGAGATTCAGGCCTTGTTTCAATTGTTTGTTTTTTTTATTGCCCTCGTCCACTATGACTCACTACTTAGATGTGCCCAAACCTACATTAAAAGCAGAGGAGGGGACAGTAAAGAGTGGATTATTCAGTCAGAGCATATATGCACTGGGCAGGTTAGCCTCAGTGAGCTAATCGATTAGCCATGCAAACTTGGCAAAGCAAAACGTTTTTGGAGGATTTTGAACATAACATGAATAAAAGTTGTGTATAACTGGCTTGTCTGACTATAAACTTTGGTTTAGCACTGTGGTGTAGGTTTAGAACTTTTGTTGTTAGCCATGTAGCCTTTAGCATGTTAAGTAGCTAGCAGAGTGAAAGTGTAGCTGTGGCAGCAGTCGTGTATAACAGATGAGGTGTTTTGTAACTTAAGCCCAGAAAATCTAATGTTCTGGTTTTGAAATGAGGATTTGGTTTATAACTGTAGTGTAGTGTTTTTGTTGTTAGCTGTGTAGCCTTTAGCATGCTAACTAGCCAGCTGGCAAAGTAGAGTGATGAAGTTGTATCAGTAATGATGTACACCAGAGTGGTTTGTAACCTAAAGCCCAGCAAATTGAATGTTCGGGCTTATTATTGAGTAACTACAGGGACTTCAATGCAAACTGGCTGAGCTATTCTTAGGTTATAGAAGTGTGTATAAAACTTTGGGCCCGCCGATGTGCCCTGGCCATTTAAGAGGCTAGTAAAGTGGACGAGGACTTGTTAAAGATCTGCTACTCCATAGTAGAGAGGAAAATTAACAAGCTTGTCCAGAAAAAGGGTGTAAACATGCCAGTGTGCCAAGCAAACAAGTAATATTAAATACTAAGCAATATTAAAATCTAGCCGAATTGGTAATTATATGGTAATTATTTTATCCTACAGAAAAAAATGCAAGCTGTAGGTTAAGGCTCTGTTACGCGTATATGTGGCACCTCCTGGCTAAATTTGGATCTTTATATTTACATTATCGTCCAAGCTTGCTCTGCAGCACCTGTAGATGCTCACCTGTAACAGTGAGCTCTGCGGTTGACTTGCTCTTCCCTGAGCTGAACTGGACAGTGCCACACATGCTGCTGTCGGTGCTGGTGAAAATGAGCCGGTGCGACGTTCCTTCTCTCTCGATCTTAACCTCCGGGCTGGAAGCTAGCAGCTCCCCGTTCAAAGTCCATTTGGGTGCTCGCTCCGCCTTGATGCTGGTCTCCACTCTGAAACGAGCCTCTTTAGGCTCTGTTACTTCAACTGAGCCCAGTCCACGCACAATGCTGATGGCCTGCTCTGGAAAGACAGGCGTAATTCACAATCTGTAAAAGTACCAGCTCAAATCATTAATGCTAACGTTAGCCAATGAGTTAAAACCCCGTGTACATCAACAACAGTACAAGAGTAATGCTTCACTCACAAAGCTACCCAGATAGCAGACAGTTCTGGGCCAATTCTGGCTTACGTCCGTGAGTGTTGGTTGACTTCCGGATAGATATTAGGCATGTGGGCCACAACTGGGCCAGATCTGGACCACAGCCGTTAAACTTACACACATTACAGTACATGGGCCAGAGCTGGGCCAGATCCCTTGGTTCTGCTCACTTTATAGTATGTGGGCCAGATCTGGGCCACATCTGTTGGTTCTACTCAATTTACAATATATGGGCCAGATCTGGGCCACGTCCATTAGTTGTACTCATTTTACAGTGTGTGGGCCTCATCTGGGCCGCATCCATTAGTTCTTCTCGTTTTACAGTACATGGGCCAGATCTGGGCCGGGGACCCAGCCAGAACCGGGCCAGAACTAAACCAAGTATGTGGCCCACATTGTGAGCAAATTGCAAATTGAACCATGATAACTTTTCCCGTTTCATTGCTAGCATTAGAAATTTTCAGTACAGTAAATCGTCTACTTCCTGTAGAGTTTTTGTCTATTTTTTGCACATTGTGAGAATATTATGCAAATTAGACCATGCTAACTAGCTTTCTTTTCACCGTAGCCATGTCAGCAATTTTGAGTAAAGTACTCCTTTGGCTATTTTTTGCACATTTTCAGAAAAATCAGATCATGCTAATTAGCTTTGTTTCATTCTTAGTCATGTTAGCCATTTTGAGCAGAGTAGTACTTTAGTTGTTTTGTACATTGTCAGCATATTAGGCAGAGTATCTTTCCAGATAGCGAGCATATATCGGCCCACTCGCTTGATAAGGTCGGCATCCCACTGACTGTTTGCCACTGCTGGTCCACCCTCGGACCACCTAGATTACTGTCCTGCATACAAGCTCTAACTAGTTTTTAATCTCCTCAAACAGATTTTAAATGCACACAGACTATTTTGGAAAATAAACTAAGACAAATATTACTAACAACTGAGAGAAAAAATAATGACTAGGCCTAAAATAAAATGATTTTATAGAAAATGTTGTTGCTAAAGCTGTGCTAGATTAAAATTATGTAATAAACAATTTTGCAAAATATAATTAAAGAAAGGAAGGAAGGAAAAATCAGTAAACTGGACTGTGAGTGGAAATTGAGCGAAGATAATTGGAATTTTGTTTATTACTCTGCTTAACCATCAGTGGGCCGCCCAGAAAACACTGAGAAAAATGCCAGTGGACCACCAACTTTGCCATCAGTGGACCAGCAGTGGCCCACTGACCTCTTGCTATCAGCGTTTATGGTTATTTTGGTTTCTTTTAGCTTTTTCTAAGCATTGCAAAATCATCACAACTAATATAATGTTTTAACCCCCTAGAATAAACCTAATTTAGCTCTTAAAGGCCTACATTCTCCAGATCTCACCAAACGGCTCTGAGTATCTCACCCTCCACGAACAGCTGGCAGGAGGTCTTGTCATCACCAGCATCACAGATGAAGATGTCCTCGTCTGAAGAGCCCACTTCATCAATGGTGAGTTGTCTGTAAACACCTTCGCTGATCACTTGGTATTTCCCATTAGGTACAATCTCTCGGTTCCTCTTGTACCACGTGACCTCGGCGTTGGAACGAGAAACCTGGCACTCCAACAGCGCTCGATGTTTATACATGCCAATCTTCACCCGGAGGGGCTTCACAATATGAACTGGAAGCTCTACAACAAGTTCCTTAGTTTTAAACCTGCATTCCAGCTTACCAGAATAAATGTAGCTCAATTTGAAATGACTGATTTTTTACCTTTCACTCTGAGCACTGCGGCTGAGGAAACTCTCTCTGCCGTGAATTTGATCTCACCAGCATCTTCTGGCTTGATGGCTTTGAAGGTCAGTGAGTGAGTTTTACCTGTGTTTACATTGAGAAATAGGTTTATCACAATGAGAATCAAGACATACCTAAAGTTAAAGGGTCAACAGAGCCATTCAGAGTGGTTTGGTGTGAAACGCTCTGTTCTAGAGCAACTTAGTAAGTCAGAATTGTTCACAGTGGTGGTGATAGGAACCAGACATCCACCTCTAAAAGGTCATTCACTGAAAGTTATTACTTGAAACAGTTATGAATTCATTGCCTGATGCAAGAGACACTTGTTTATAATTTTTTATGAAAAGTGAATTTCCTCTTTTAAACAGACAACTCACACTACCAAAGTACAGAGATGACACAGATGTTTTATAAGCTTTGTGTGGTCTCTCTATATATATAGACCGGCATAACATATATATATATATATATAGATCAGACGTAACACCTCCTTGTTTCTACGCTCATTGTCCATTTTATCGGCTCCACTTACTATATAGGTGCGCTTTGTAGTTCTACAGTTACAGACTGTAGTCCATCTGTTTCTCTGCATACTTTGTTAGCCCCCTTTTACCCTGTTCTTTAGTGGTCAGGACCCCCATGGACCCTCACAGAGCAGGTACTATTTGGTTGGTGGATCATTCTCAGCACTGCAGTAATACTGATGTGGTGGTGGTGTGTTAGTGTGTGTTGTGCTGGTATGAGTGGATCAGACACAGCAGTGCTGCTGGAGTTTTTAAACACTGTGTCCACTCACTGTCCACTCTATTAGACACTCCTACCTTGTCAGTCCACCTTGTAGATGTAAAGTCAGAGACAATAGCTCATCTGCTGCTGCACAGTTTGTGTTGGTCATCCTCTAGACCTTCATAAGTGGTCACAGGACGCTGCCCACAGGACGCTGTTGGCTGGATATTTTTGGTTGGTGGACGATTCTCAGTCCAGCAGTGACCCTGAGGTGTTTAAAAACTCCAGCAGCACTGCTGTGTCTGATCCAAACAGATGGACTACAGTCTGTAACTGTAGAACTACAAAGTGCACCTATATAGTAAGTGGAGCTGATAAAATGGACCACACCATATATATATATATGTGTGTGTGTGTGTGTACATAAAGCTTTATCTTGGAAGAACTGCTTTCTTTTTTATTACAGTATGTAGAGATATATGTCAATTTTTTACAATGTATTTTGTTAATTTTTTATATGGCCCTAATGTAAATGATATTTCTGTCTAAATAAATGAATTAAGTAATTTTATAAACATCCCCAAAATCTCTTTGCGGATGCTTACATTCATGTCTGATTTTGACGTTGTCCCCGGCCTTTATTCTGCTGTCGTTCTTGAACCATTTTCCATCCACATCCTCCAGGTTTACTTCACACACCAGCGTCACGCTCTCCCTCTCAGTCACACTGACGTCCTGAAGGTGCTTCACAATCTGTATATCTCTGGCTGGAGGAGAGCAGGAGCGAGAACCTTTAAAATGACTGTTCTGTCTGTACTATGAACATAGAGTCTGAGCTTTTTGTGTATATCTACCTAAATGCACTCATATGCAAAACTTTTGGCACCCCAGTCAAACATTGTGTTACTTTTCTAAGTGTAAATCCTGCAGAGACACACTTCTGCACATTTTAACACACAATTACTGTTTATGTGCTGAATTTAACGTATCGGGGGAAAAAGTAAAACATAAAATGTGGCCCGTGCAAAAGTGATGGAACATTTAAGATTTAATGTGTTATTTTTGCAGGTGTTCAACCTTTTGCATACGACTGTATACGTAAGGAGTTTAATTAAAAAAACAAACATTTTTGATATTATAAGTTTTGATATTGTTGATGTTTATGTTTTCAACAGCTGATGTTAATGAAAAACACATTTTTATTTCTCTAATAAAGTAGCATTAATTATATCACTGATATTTCCTGTATTTATAAAGCCCACTAGCAACAACTAGTACATTCACTCAATGTTCATTTTATATATATTAATGTTCATGAAATATTTGGATGTTTGGATATGTATTTGGATATATATCTCCAAAATGGTAACTTTACAGGAAAAGTAAAAAATATACTCTACTTTTAATGTAAGTCAATGGAACCAGACATCTTTCCAAGTAATTTCGGGTCATTTCTGTTGGCCCCTTCATCATGAAATTTACACACAATGGGTACATTGGGGTACAGGCCATGGGTACTTTCAAAATATTCAGTCAAAAACTGAAAAATGCAAGGTTTTGTTCCTACAGCAGCGATAAATGTTCTAAATAAAAGTGATGTAATCGATGTATCTGATCATATTTGATGCAGTGTTACAGCGCTGCACTGTGATACCTGTGACAGTGAGAGTAGCAGAGGTTTCAGCTCCTTCTGCCTGAAAGCTGATCAGACCTGCGTCTGACAGAGACACGCGTGTCAGAGTCAGGGCAGTGCGTCTTTCCCTGAGCTGAGATGCGGCACGTGGGCTTCGATTTGAATGGAACGCCGTTCCTGGTCCAAACGCCGCGGACATAAGAGTGACTCAGAGTCACCTCGAACGAGCAGGACTCCTTCTCACACAGCGACGCATCCTCAAGACCTTTCACCACCTCGACCTTCTTCACTAAACAGGGAACATTGACCAAACAGACATTTCAATCACTTTACTGATTATAAATACACTCTTCTGTTTGAAACCAGGTCCAGATAAAGGTAGTTCAAAGTTTATCTTGAGGTGAAATACAAAGGCCTTACATGCCATGGTGGAGCTCCCTTCTCATTCATGAGCTTCTGTCAGCGTCCATCTGGGTCACCATCTCCTGACCTACTGAATGAAAGCCTGTGAAATATTTATTTCAAATATGTATAAAAAGTTTATATTATGCATTTGGGTCATTCTACAGAAACACCACTTTTCTCTCTAGCCATAAGAGTCATCAGTGTTACCAATCCTCATCGGTGTTACACATTTTATTTTGAAATAAAAGTCACACTGATGACATCACTCGACTTCCTTTTACCTGTTTTCTGAGGATCTATGAAGAAAAGCACATGGTGAGTCCGCTGTGTCTTTCAGTTATCAGAGATTTTCTCATTTATTTCAGGATTTCATATGAAGCTTTTAGCTGAAGTCACTGGTGTGACCGACTTTATTCTGAGGTAATTGTGAAAAAATAGAATACAAATGGATTAAATTCCATATTTTAGTGGATATTCCATGATTGACAACATGTGGTTTGATGCTCTGTAGCAGCCGTTTTGTAAACTGCATTGTTCATTAAAAACGTCTCTGGTGTTATCTTTCTTATGTGGAACACCAATGAGGATCGGTAACACCAGTGACTCCTATGGAGAGATTGAAAAGTGGATGTTTCTGTAAAATGACCCACATCATCTCATAAGACACAACATCTCATCATAAGAAAACCTCCCGAACGATACTGTTTCAGAAGGAAAAACAGTCTTAACTTTAATGCACTTTGATGTGATGAGGCTTGGATATTGACATTGATGATGTTTATGCTTGTGAGCTTCTCATTTTGACCTGAAACAGATCAGACTCCAACTCTGATTACTATATTAATAATAGTTTCACTAATTGATCATTAGGTCGTTACAACGTTTTGACCTGTTACTCAAAAACCAAAGACTGCATTCGAGAGCCAGCAGTCCACAAACGAACAGGTAATAATTTCAAAATCACTGCCAAGTTGAAGTTCATCATACCCTTTTCTTTTAAAGGGGAATTCCACTGAGTCCACAAAACCTCTGAATAATTCAGTGAGTGAGATGTAATCAGAGTGATTCAGAGTGGTTTGGTGTGAAATGGTTCAGATGTCTTTACAGTGGTGGTGATAGGAACCAGGGGTCGCCATAACTACAACACAAATATAGACATTTTATTTACTATCCAGAACCACCAGTGAACCTACACGAGTCTTCTGAGCTTATATGGAATGTTGATGATGGAAAAATAATGGAAAATCTGAAAAATAAAACAAGATATTTCATGCACAAGCTTTCTGTGAGGGAGATTTTAAAGGCAGTAAATGATACAGATGTCTGGTTCCTATCACTGCCACTGTGCATTTCACACCAAACCACTCTGAATGACTGTGGAGTTTCCCTTAGAGTAGTGTACTCTCACTATACAGTCCAATAAAACATAGAAAAATCAAAAGTAGTGTATAATATGTTAATTACTACAAATTTAAAATGACTATAAACATGGCAGTTCATTGTTTGTCCGTGCCCTGTTTTACACTATACACCAATCTGTATTGGTGTATAGTGTGAACATTGATCCAAAACATTAATCTGCTCGTTTTTTACTACAGAATAGATCAAGGGACAGCCAAGGGTCCCAGGTTTTGTTTAAAAAGTTGGTCATTTTTTCCAAGTGGTACATGAGTTCACCTTTAGTTTGTTTGGTTAGATCGCACAAACGCTCGTTACAAGGACTATCGCTGCTGTCAGACCAAAACTTCGTATCTCCAAAATGGTAACTACAAGGAAAAAACATGCTTTACTTTTAATGGAAGTCAATGGAACCAGAAATTTTTCCAAGTCATTCTGGGCCGTTTCTTTTGGTCCATTCGTCATACATTGTAAAGGGCAACAGGCATTTTCAAATTATGTCAAAAACTAAAAAACGACAAAAACAAAGATACAAAGTTTTGTTCTGACAGCAGCGAAATACAGCAGAATATCAAGCTTTCATAATGAGCTCCTTTCAAACGTCAGCACTGCGCTAGAGCGGCACATAAACCGGCATGATGATGAAAGCGAAATGTGATATCATGTGAAACACGATAGCACAACAACTTCATTAACAACAAAACACTGGTCACTTCGTGAGGGCGTCTCTCATTCTATAGTTCACAAGTGAATCAACATGCAAATTAAAAATGTTTTCCATTATTCCATTATTTCTTTAGCATATGAGTGTTAATAACAAAGAGGTGCAATATTATGGGACATTAAATATCATACTGTGACTTTAAGAAAGATCTGATTGATTGATTAGTTCTGAAATAACTATGTGCTCTAACTTAACCCCAAACTCCCCCTTTATCTCAGTAACAAATGGTAGTAAAGACATTTTTAAGTATCTCCACAAATGAGTTCTATCACAAATGCCAAAGGTCCAACCTCCAAACACTTACAACGCCACTGAACAACAGAAGGGAATTAATATGAATTTTACAATAAAAAAGTGGTCAGTAATTTGAAGCATGAATCAGCTTGTTTACTACTCACCATCAGCTGAACGGTGTGAGTTTAACAGCACTTTTACAACCTGCTCCACAAAATCACACTTCAGAGAGAAAACTGGCCAAAGAGCGTCAGGAGGTATGAAGAGTTTATCCAAGCTTTGTGGTTTTTTTGCACAAATCCCCAAAGATTAACAGCAAAAGTCTGGCCAGAGTTTCACACGTCGGGTCAGTGTGCAGTCCCTCGTTTCCAGAGCCACAAAGCAGAGGGTGTTTTCTCTTTTTTTCAGCCGCACTAAAGCCTAATGCTGAACAGCTGACATATCTCTCCTCACAGTGTGTTCTCTAAAATAGCCGTGTGTCATTATCTGTAAAGATAGCAACATCTCGCTATCAGACGGCACAGACTGTCGACTGCAGCCAAAACATCTCCCAAAAATGAGAAAAATATATGTATATATTAAGAAAGGATGATAAACGGTTATATGCAAAAGTTTGAGCACACCCGGTCAAACACATTTTGTTGATTTTCTTTTTGAGACAATAAGTTTACAAATTCTCTACAGAGGACAATCTTATGTAGAGATTAGAGATTTTCTCTAATGTATATTTATTTGTTGACTTAATACTGGAAAAAAAATCAAAATCTGAAGTTCTTTTTGGAAATCATGGACACTGTGTCCTCCGGGCTAAAGACCACTCAGCTTGTTATCAGTGCACAGTTCAAAAGCCAGTATTCATGATGGTATAGGGGGGCATTAGTGCACATGGCATGGGTGACCTCCATGCAGTCCAGACCTGTCACCACTGATAACATTTGACGTATTATGAAATGAAAAATACGACAAAGGAGACCCTGAACTGATGAGAAGCTGAAATTCTGTATCAAAGAAGAACAAGAAAACATTTCACTTTCAAAACTACAGTAGTCAGTCTCCTCAGTGTACACACACACACACACATATATAACATATTGCACGTTTAATGTAAGGCAATGGAACTAGAATTTTTTTTCAAGTAATATTTGGCCGTTTCTTTTAGTCCATTCATCATGAAATTTACAAAGAATATAAAGGACAAAAGGCATTTTCAGATTTTTTGTCAAAAACTGAAAAATTGGAGATAAAAAGTTTTGTTCCAACAGTAGCGATATATATGGCACTGTTCAAAAGCCAGGTAACAATCTTCATTTATTATAAAACACGAGTTTCCAAAACTGGAGTTCAAAACTACAGAGAAAATGTGGCCCCTAACAACCACCTGGAAGACCTGGTAGACCCCAAAACTGCCCCATCAGATAAACAGCACTTAAAGCTTTCATCTCTGAGAGAGAGGAGAAAATCAAGCTGCTTCAGATCTGAAAACATCCACAGGTGTTTCTGTCCATCCTTCCACTGTGAGAAGACGACTCAGCGCTGTGGGTCTGAAAGGATGTGTAGCTGATCAAGAAGAACCTCACTGAGAAAAGGAGACGGACACATCAAACAAAGAAGCTGAACAGTGGACTGACCACCCCAGAGTCCAGACCTCAACACCACTGAATGTGTTTGATTACTTCAGAAAAAGATCAACCAGCTTCTAAGACTGAACTTTGGAGGTGTGTCTGCAGATTCTTTGAGGAACTGAAAGTGAGTCTCCTGAAAAGAATGGAAGCTGGAATAAAGGTAAAGAGTGACTCACTGAAAACTCAAACATCTGAGATTAGACTGAATAGTTGAGGCTCTACCATTTTGGCTTCTGATTATGTTGAATATAAATCACACCTCAGACATTTGTTGCACTAAGTGAAATGAAGGGGGCAGAGTCTTCCTGAGCTCCATTGTTCTCTATTTATAGATGCGTCAAACACAAAATAAAACTACAGAGAGGTTTTAATCTAAACTGTATGCAGACATATGCAAAATATAATGTATGTATATATAATGTATACCAAGCTATGAATTCCTAGATGCTTGTTTGGACTGCAGTATGTTTATCTACACTGACCCATATTTTGTATCCACAGTGCAGGTTGTGTGATCTATATTCCTGACAGAGCAGCCAGAGTGACTCGGGCTGGAAAGCTGGTGGAGATTAAAGGATCCTCACTGCCATGTTGATACGTCATCACTCTGCATGCAAACCTGCAGCTCATTGGTTGAATCACTTCAGATCGGTGCTGAAAAACAAAGCGGTAAAGTCAGTCCAGAGGTGGAGCATCTAGATTAACCTTACTGCCATATTAACACTCGATTCAGACGTTCTTCAAGAGCCAAAACATCTTTGCTTTTGATGTCATGACACATGCGTCTCCTCCTCTGGGTGATAATGACAGCAACCAGACTTTTGTACGTCAGCGGCCCTGCCCCTGAAGGAGAGGATGAAGCAAAGCCTTTTTGGTCTTGTTGATCTGTTTGATAGACAAGAGCACGTGTGAAAGAGCTGGTCAATCTACAGCAGTGGCCACTTACTGTTGGATGGGACATTGACAGGAGGAGAATCACACATAGATTTTGGACAAAGTGATCTGTATAAACCTTTCCAGCAGGGTCTTCCCAAGTAATCATGGAAAGCCGTTTCGCTCTGGAATGAAAGAGGATCAAATAATCATTGTTAAACGTTCACTTTCCAGTCCATACAGTCCATATATGGACTAAGCTGAGAAACAGCCTGTTTTGAATTCATTGTTTTTGTGATGTCACAAAAACCAACACATATTTGCACCTATTCAGGCTACAGCAGATTAGCTCTCAACATTCACGTTTAAGTTAAAAGGAGTGTTTTAATGCAGACTGAGGCACAATACAGGGCAGCCAGTCAATACAGAGTTCGTTTACATATATTAGACTTTAAGGCACAGTAACAACAACAGCCTGTTTAATACTAATGGATAAAGATGGGTTAGAAAATGGTCATTTTTCAACTGTTTTTGGTACATAAAACACACAAATGTTGAAAGCGTACTTCAAGGGAAAATATATAGTACAAAGTAAATGCAGGATATGGGCTCACATGTCCAGCCAAGACATGAATACAGTGTCCAAATGTAAGACATTTACATTAATGGCATTTGGCAGACGCCCTTATCCAAAGCGACTTACAATTTGATCATTTTACACAGGGAGGTGACGGTAGTGTTAGGAGTCTTGCTAAAGGACTCTTATTGGTATAGTGTAGGGTGCTCACCCAGGTGGGGGATTGAGCCCCAGTCTACAGCATGAAAGGCAGAGGTGTTACCCACTACACCATACCAACCAGTCCCAACACACTGCAAATAAAAAACGAGCTGCAGACGTTTTCATCTAAATGCCGACACCGACACTACATTTCACAAACCCGCTGCAAATATAGAAACACAAGCAACTTCAGAAACACTGATAAGCCACTCACAACACAATGAAGGTGTTTCCAGAGGACACTCGGAGAGGGCGGAGCCATTCAGACTTTAAACATTCAGCACAAACATTCAGCGCTAAAAGTAAATTAACTTAAATCACTGTATCGTAATGGGAATTAGCTGTAGAGCGTAACTGTAAACATTTAATTAAGCTACGTTCACGTTACAAGCCTCGTTGCTCAAATCCGATCTCTCTGACACGATGGTTCACACTCGTTTAGATAAGTGACTCAAATCTGTCATTAATGTGACGAACCGGCGTCCTGAAATGACCCTCATGAGCTCATCCTACTCAGTAACGTCACGTGAATGAATCACGTTCATCATCAGCACAAACTAACGAGCAGAACGAGCTTCGCTGAGAAGATCATTAACTCTGATCAGCTCTCAGCTTCATTATTAGAGCGAGACGAAGGAGAAAAAGGTGAGATGAGCTGCTTTTCCACCGTTTGCAGGCTTTAACTTCTGTTCAGCGCTGCTGCCATGGTAACGCTGAATGATGGCGCAGTGCAGCGGAGAAAAAGCACATGAATCGGATACGTATCTGATCTAGGACCACATATGAAAGTGACTCAGGTCAGATTTGAAAAGATCAGATTTGTGTCCACACAGCCCTGAAAACATCAGATCTGAGTCACATTAGGGCAAAAAATCAGATTTGAGCCACTTCAACCTTGTAATGTGAATGTAGTCTTAGTATTACCAGAGAACGACCACACCACAGCTGTGACATGTCAGAGAGCAAACTAGCCAGCCAGGTTAACCATGAACTCGGGATGTGAGTGTCTGAGTGTCTGTGGTCTGATCTACTTCCGTCAGTGACTCTCCATCGTAGATATTCCATCCCGTTTGAGCCGTTTGAGTCTTTCAGGGACATTTCCATTGTGTTGTGTCTGGCTTTGCGGCGTTTCCGTGTTTTCTATATTTGCAGAGCGTTTGTGAAATGCAGTTCAGGTCTAGTCATTTTGACGAAAGTGTTTTCTGTATTTCTGCATTTTTTGCAGCGCGTTTATGAGTTTGCGAAGTGTTTCGAATTGTACTATGAATAGGGTCTTGCCGCCACCGTACATTTGGTATCTAAAGCTTGTGTCTTTAGTCACAGAACTTGTTGTGAGGAGAAATACCACTCTCCAATGTCTTCCTGGTTTCTCAAACACTAGAGGGCGCTCCTGAGCAAGTCCAAAATTAATGGGTTAAGATGGAGCACTTAAGTAAAATCATAGTTTATAAATGCTTAAACATTTTTAATGTAAAAGAATACAATTATCTCCTTAACACTGAACAGCATAAAACATTTTAACACTGCTGTTATATTTTTAAGAGCTTTTAAATTCGAGTTATAAGAGTTAGCTAAAAGTAATGAAAGCTTATATAAGCACTCTGCAGACTGAAGGCCTAAATGATTGGACACTAAATGGACAAAAATGTGGATGAAATTCAAGCGTCAAGAAGTCTGCTGCTATGCTTTTAGCCACATGGCGTACTTTTGTCCATGTTTATAGTTAACAGTGTCTCATTCAGTGTCAGAAACATAGGAAAGTCTATTTGAGATCAATAACGGACACGGTTTGCACGGTTGCGTGAAGAAGCACGCAATTTGCACCATGCTAATAGACCTGAAGTCGTGTTGGTGTCTTGCCCATAGGCTACTCTGGGTGGAAGCTGGATTTCGCTATGGTAAAAATGCACAGCACTTTAGCAAATTGACACTGTTGCATCCAATAGTAAAGAAAAACGCTCCAAACCCGATATGTTTTGCCGTATGGACATTTTTCTCTGCATTACAAGGTGATTAAGCAACCGAAACACAACTATGGCTACATGCGAGCTAACAGAGCTGCACATTGACATTATAAGACTGGCAATCTCA